GAAGCGTTTCTCGCATATTTTTTCTCCACCAACACAACTCGATATAAGATAGAAAAACATCAACACATTTGGGATTGTTTATTTGAGAATGTAGGACACGTGATAATAAAAGGATTGAACTTTAATTGAAAATAAAAAAATCTGGTTAAGAGTGCATCAGTACATATGCTGTGGTTGATAAATAAGATGTGAAACTTTCTATTTCACTTGAGGTTTGATAGTTTGACACTTTGTAAGTGTGACTTGAACCTCAACATTCCTAAGCATGTAGGGACGAAGTCTACATAACTCTTGAGATGACCATAACCGCAAAATTTACCAACACAAACATTTCAAGAATGTTAAAAATTTCTCTACTTTGTAGGATGATCTTTTTACCTTGAGTTCAATCTTTCTCTTTACGATGTAAAGTCTTGTCTTGAGATGAAGAAACTGGTTAATGGTAACCGACAATAATAGCGAGACCTTTCTTTCTCTCACAATTCTTAAGCTGCTTTATGTATTAAATAACAGTTAAATGTAATGATTTCTTAGCACACATTTGATGGCATCTTTGAGTAGATTCTTTAATTTTATGACTTCTCGTGATTGCTTAATAACAGACTTAAAGGTTTAGAGGCATCGTAACTAATCATCTGAAGCGACTTTTCACGCGCGACTTTTCCGTTATTTCAGCATGATTTGCTGGTGAAAACTATCTATTTATGTAAGTCAAATGTGCCACTACATTCATGATGTTGTAGCAATAATTTGAGGCCACACGAATATTTAACAATCATCAATTGAATTTTCAATTGAAGAAGAGGAAATAAAATTGTTTCACGATCATGATCGGATGATTAAATCATTAAGTTCGTTTGCTTTCTTTGAAATTAGAGTGTGAACACTTCGATTTCTCTTGAATTTATCAATTCACTTCAGTTTTATCAAGATAAGTGTTTACTCATGTTTGCAGTAATGAAATGAGTTTGTTGAATGATATAATATCGATAGGTCTCCATCAATTCTATTAAAGGTTGAACTTATAATTTACAAAAGCTTATTTCAACGCGCACAATGATGTTCATGTCATTAGGGCCAAATCAATTATGATATCAAATGAATTATTTTTTGTCGCAAAATCAATTTACTTTATCAAATTTTGTCATCAATATCGTGTTGTTTGCAACTGTGGGCGATAATGTACATAATATGATTACATACTAAAACGAGAACATAAAAAAATGAGTTCGAACTGCGAACTTAATTTACCAACGATTTTTGTGAAAAATAATTCAATCGAAAATTGAATATCAATTTTATTGCATTAAAGTTTTAAATCATTTCTGTCATTTTTATTAATATTAATTCTGTCCAGCAAAACACTCGTTCATAGTAGTAAAAAACTAATAACTGAATTCAAATATTAACATATTGGCTTTGATCATTATCCAACTCTTTCAATTAAATCCCATTCAATAATGCTGCAAAAAAAGAATTAACGTAAAGTATCGAAAAGATGATGTCAACATTTGCTTACCAGCAATGACGTCACAAGAGAATCTTTTATTCTTCGTGAATTGTACGAGATTATGTAGCTAACATTGTGTGTAAATGAATGTTGATGTCGATGAGTTATTTATAGCTTTGAATAAACTGACTGATTTTTGTCGCTGATTCTTAATTCTGAAAACGAGACGAGACGCATCGAGATAAACGATTTTAATGGATGCGAAGACGTAAAATTGGCAATCTCCATACGTGATGCTAAAATTCTGTTCAAACATTTTGAATTTCAAGTTTTAAAGCTTAAAAATATTATTTAGAGGTTCGTCAGTGTTTAAGTACTGCGGAATTGTTGTTGAAATAAATCCTTCGACATATCTGGTTTAAAATATTTAATTGCAAAATCTGTTTGATTGATTTTCTTTCCAAATGCGAATATTGCTAAAATAATTCAGCAATTCAGTATCCGATTTTAGACGTAAAAATGTTGGAAAGATTAATGTCATAAGCGCAATGATCTTTCCAGTGTAATTAATGTTTTTTTTTGTTCACACTTTCTCTACTGTTTTGACTTCTAAGAATTATGGCGATGATGATTGTGAAGTCGACGTTCCATTCCCATCATCATAAAAGTCATTTTAGGATTGTTTATTAAAATAGTTTCTTGTCTCCATCATCGTTATTGCATCTCCGTAACTATTCGCAGATAAATTACGCAAGATATTCAACGAATTAATTTTTGATGAACTTTCATGGTGCTTGGGCGTACCATTCAAGTAGTTAACGAGATTAGTGCTTTTGAGAACAATCGATTTGCATTTTTTATGGAAATAATTTCTCGCGAATTTTTTTCTTTTTCAACTTCTTTTTCTTTTGAGTGGTGAACGAAACCAATAAACACATTTTCGTGTTCAGATTGAAATAAACATTGCGAGGATTAAGTTGATTTCAATGAGAATGTTAAGTGGGTGACTTATGGGGAAAGTTAGACAATGATGTTGAAGGTTCTTATACCTACATTGTTGATTATAAATTAATAAAAACAATTAAGTATTCAATAAATATAATCGCAAAGCATTGAAATTGAAAGTCGAATTGATTTGCATTTCCTAATTTGTTTATTCACGAGAGTAGACTAAGCAGCTTGATGTTAGAGCGTAGGTGGATTACATGATATTGATTATTCATATATTTTCATTCATGTTTGAATGAATGTGATCAAGTAAAGCATTCATATATCCTTCTCTCTCTTTCCATCGATTTTTATAGTTGAATTCAACTTAAGTTGAATTCCATTCAAGGAAGAGAATATTTGTGCTATGATTTCAAACTTTTCTGCATAATTTCAACCATATTGTCATTGATGTTGACCATATGATGTTTGAGAAAGGAAAAAGAAAAAGGTTTAGACTGTGTGGGCTATGAATAAACGTCAAAATACTTTAGAGTTGATTTATCATATTCATTACGTCACGATACCTCGCAATGATACGTTAATGATCATTTTCTGTAGTTGCAATAAAAACGGTAAAATGAACTCCGCAAAAAGACATTGCAATTCAATAAAATCAACGTCAATTGACACAGATTCTCCTTTGACAAATCAATAAAATAATTTAACGACTCAACACATCACATCACGTTGACATCCTTGAGAATGTTGTTCGATGTGACGAACCGATTCAATTTATGTCCAATTCGATTCCGGCAAATTAGATCATAATGTTATTAGAAGCACTCTTAAAGCCGTGATCAAATCTGCTTTAGTTTCGTGGGTGCAAGGCAATGATTTGTCATTGACAAGACAACACATTTACATTGTACTTCTTCGACAAAGTCTGGTTCTTTTAAGCTTTTTATGGAGAAAATTGCGAGCGGATTGAACTGAGTCATGATGACAAATGGTGATGTCATTGTAAGTAAGTTTCTCGCTCGTTTCATATTTGAATATTTGAGCAGAAGTTTTAAAATTCGAATGAAAAAATGCAACCGACAACTCGTTGAAACTTTTTGACATAAAATTATTTGAAAAGGATCGATTTGTGAAGACAAAAGAGTAATAAGAGATATGAAAATTGATACCTGAGGTCTGGAATTTCCCCAGGAACTTTCAACATCTTTTCATCAGGTCAATAATGTCTTGTTACATAATTTATGATTCATAAAATGTCATTTGTCTTTCTGATGCTTTATTTCATATTTAATGTAGGAATATGAAAGTTATGTACATATCCGTATTTAAATGACCATTTTTAATGGCAACGTGGGTAGGATGAGACCAGAGAAAGCTTCATTTGTCTGTTACTAATCACAAACTTAATTAATTGCATTAAAATATTTCATTAATTAATCCTTTCGTTTCACTTTCATTCGACCCTTGAGATATCAAATGGAAATTCGAAAAGCAAGTTGAATAAAACAATTCTTGTTATCCATTTCATGCTTAATTGACATCATAATCGGGATGTTTTCGTGTCCTATTTCAATTTATATGGGATCCAATTTTGGATGTAAATCGACAAAGGAAAAAAATGTAAATGAAAAATCATTTCTACATGTTACCCAAATGGTAAAAGGGTTTCGGAATGCGGCATGATTTAATGTTGGAGAAATGTCATGAAACGTCACTTGATTTGATCAAAATTCCTACGCGCCTTTTAGCATTCTTTTTACGGGAATTCGTTTTCCCTTGTGTCTCTCTTGTTTCTTCTTATCATGTCTTACGTGACATCGTAGCAAACTTACAATTAACTTAAATGATTTTTAATATCGCTAAAGTGGTTAACAATGCACATGATCATATTCGTGAAATAAATGTCAAAACATATAAAATATAGACAGAACAAATCTTAACAGATCATTGTCCGTTGTTCATAAAGAGACAACAAGGGAACCATTTAAAGACGACAGCAGTCGTCTGGAGAGAATAATCAATGAATTGCAATTAATTTGAGAATCTGAATGGTGACTCGGTCGCGAAATTCTTCTTGTTCCTGTGTGCTGTTTTCTTTCGTCGGTTCCATTTATGTCCATTTCTCCGAAACACCAAACAAACAACAATTGATGATCAGCTCATCATCAGGAGAAGCACCAACGCAAGAATAAACGAGAATAATAATAAAATATTAAGGTAGATCGGAACCAAAATATATGCGACACGTTACGCGTAGGTGTTGAATGATTTGAAGGAGTCATAAGTTGATTGATGACGTCACAAAATGCTTGGAAACATTTTTCATTTTTTTCGAAAACACCTGTTTGTGTTGGTGTTTGGCGAGAGTTTCGGAGAGAGAACGATCAACTTTGAAGGTGTTAGTGTTGAGAAGAAAATTCGAAACTTGTTTTCCGTCTTGTAAGACGTTAAACGACAAACCTCCATATACAACGATAAGTGAATAAATGAAATGTGAATTTATTACCATTTATGAACGCTCCAACACATAACATGATGATCGAAAGAGAGCTGCTCGTTTGTTCGACTAAGCAAGTCTTAGAGTGTGTGACTGTTTAGTCCCCTATTGAATTTCATATCGAACGGTTCGCGATCAATTTTTGCAGCTCGACACTTTTGAGCTGCAGAAAAGTTATTTCTTTTATCTAAAAAAGTGGTTCAATCTTATAGTTTTTTTCTTTCTATCTCGAGTTGTTATTTTCGAAAAAAAAAGACAAGAATTAAATAAATAAACCGAGAATTAAATAAAAAAATAATAAGTCGAGTGTAGAAACGAGAGATAGAATCGAAGCTGGTGAAACAGCGGAAACAAGAATCATCTGCTGTTGATTCTACGTTCCTTGTATTTATCTCGTCGTGGTCGTATGTAAATATTTCGAGTTGAATTAAAGAAAGTACCTTAGTCATAAATAAATGAGCTGAACATATCCAACCATGATCAATTTCAATGATGAAGCATTTTTATTTTAATCACCAAGCAGAAATTACATTAATCATTCAATGCCTAAGTGCTTTTGTGACTTTATTCACACTTCAGACTGGCATGCGACACTGATAAATTTGTGAAAATTACAGAAAACTTAAATGTGAAATTGATTTTAAGCTCAACAAAATTTTCTGTCTTACGAACACTTTTAAGTTTTTAATTTCTTATTAAGTCCATCTATGAAAGGCATGTGACAGCAACATGCCAATATCTTAAATGACCAAAACAGTTCTTTCAGTTTCGATCATATTTGGATGTACACTCAAAAACCTTGACATGGTACTTACTTTTTTTCTCTCTCGATGATTGTGTTGTGATCACACTCATAATAATCCCATGTGTTGATGTTGATGTTTGAGAAAAAAATGATTAAGACTTTAAACATTCTCATTCTTTATTTATCTTTGATTTTTTAGTTTTTTTTTTTAAACTTTGAATTTGCAAATGAAAGAAGAAAAAAAAGTTAAACGAACAAACGAAGGTGGAAACGTAGAAAAATACATATTTAAGTCGGAAGACAGTATTTAATGAACAAAAGTGATTAACACCTGAGGAATCTATCAACAAAAATAAATAGAAGTGATCATCATTCCGACTAAAAAAAGAAGAATAACGAAAATTCAACCGTGCCATTATAATTGCTTGTTGTGTTGTGAATTGTGCGATAATATTAGAAGTGAAAGATTTTTTACCATAAACTTCGACTGAAAAGGAATAATCATGTCGACCCAGTCATATTATAAAGATCGTTTGGGATTTGATCCACGCGAGGCTCTTTACGATGGTCCCGTAAAAACCTCACGCGGTCACTCTCAAAATAGTCATTACGTGTCTAATGGTAACAACAATAACGATCATTATGCAACTCCACCTAAAAAGCATAAACAACAGCATCATCATCACCATGCTGCTTACCAGCAACAGCATGAACAAACACCGCAAGGTGGCTATGAGGATGCTTTAACGCAATTTAAAGGTAGCATGAGTCTTTGGGAATATTTCGTTGAGAACAGCGACAAGTTGGGTATGTCAGTTGTGAGTGAGAAAAATGAACAAGAGAAAACACACAAACAATGCATGCAATCATGGTGCTTGCTTTTCAAGCCCAAAAAGACGATCATTGTATACTTACCTAACGAAACAAGAGCTCTCAAGTCGCATTAACGACGGTTCACCGGAAATTTTACACCGGTCTTGAGAAGCTCTTCTTTTCTTAATGAATTTCTTGTTTGAGTCGTTTTTTTTATTTTGCTGTGTTTGCTAAGTCAATAACTCGTGAAAGAATTGAATAAATTAGAATATGTTTGTGGCATTTTTGAGTGATTCAATTAATAACAGAAAATTTAGTCGTGTAACTTGACCAGACGATGTTTGACATTTACTGTTTGCTACCAGCTTCCTGAACTCACAATCTGTGGGCTTTAATATTCTCTTATTGCAGTAAAATGTAACGCGACAATATTTTCTTCCTGACTCGTGAATAAACATGTTCATGTAAATAATTTTTGCGTTCCGCTCGAATTGAATTAACTTAACTTATATTTCTTTTTTATCCTTTGTCGACATCTGTCTGGGTTGAAAATAATAAATAACTTTATACGAAAGAGAGGCCGAAACCGGTTTATTATCAGAGAGAAAAAAGGAGTTTAGAATATAACTAAACGACGGGTTTTTTATTTGATAAATAATGAAAATTGGCAACAATGTGAAAAAGAGAATCCAATTAGAGAAGTAATAACAAAACATCAAGTAGCTTCTTCAAGTTTATTACTTCATTCGATTTCTCTCTTGATTCTCTCTTTGCCGCGCGTGGTTTGTTAATTTTATTTATTCATTTTTTCGTCTCCTTCTACCGTTTTTTATCGACTATCAACTGAAGATGTTTTGACTTAATCTTGCGACCTTGAAGACTGACAAGAATGCTGCGACGATAATACCCGATACCAGTTTCTTTTATTTTTATTTTGCGATATATTTCGCATCAAAATCCATGAGAATTGATGTCGATTTGATTGGTTCGAAAATTTACATTAAATTGAATTCGTCCCAATCATTTATTCATTGGATCGTTCGGAAAAAAAGCGATCAAAAAGTTTTATTTTATACCTGATGCCTTTGGGGAGACACACAGCAAAATGAAATTGAATTCTTTTCTTTGATTTTCGACCTCCAAATCTCGTTTTGTGAGATCCAATCTCGATTCTTCTTGACAAATATTAGAAATATTCGGAAACTTTTATGGAAATTCGATGCGATTTCTTTTTATTTTATTTAAGTAACAGAAGTTTGAAACTTTTTAATGGAAGTCACATAGTTTGCAATTCATTAATTAAGATCGTCTGAAGTCTCGAGAGTGAATAATGAAGTTCACCGAAAAGAATTTTAATTGTATTTGACATCCATTAAGAAAGATTCTTTTTTATTTTTGAATGAATAAATAGTGTTGAATTGTTTGTGTTTCTTTTTATTTTTCTAACGCTTACTGACATATTAAACTGACTTGCCGTGGAATTTATTTTTTTTCTCAATTAAGATTATTAACTAGAAATCACTTGATGTAATTTCTAAATAAGTTTTCACTGATAAACATCATTAAACAGCATTTGAGATTGTTGTGCTTATTTTGGATTAACAATCGACAAGCTTTTCCAATCTGTTTTCCATAAAAGATTTTTTATTTTCGTTCGTGTTACGACTAAAAAAGCTTATGTCTGATTAATTGACTCGTGTTGATTGTTTCTTTTTAAGTGTTGTAAGTTGTAACTCTGAAGAATTCGACTTATTTAATGGGCTGCTTTCCATTTATTTGAAATATCTTGCTCTCGTGCTTGGTGTTATCGCTGTGAGAAGTTAAGAAAACGATTTATTCGAAAAAGCAAGCAAGATGAGCACTTAATCAAATAAATATCTCAATTTAATGGAACTGAATTATTAGCTGCTCCATTAAGCAACAAAATGATTTTTCCCAAACTTTCCAACAAACTCTCAAATATTGCCCGCATGGCGATTTAAAATACGAAATACTTTGCTGACGATGAGAATTTAAATTTCCATTTTTATTGTTGACTTTAATTTCAAGATTTCGCCTTTTTTGGATAGCTTGTTTAGCATATTTTCATCCGACTTTGCTTGATACAGAACACAAAAATTCTTTTCTGATATTCAAATTATTCTAAAACTCACTGTGGGATGAGTTCGACATCGGCGCTTTACTATAAGCAAATATTCGTACGCAAATTTCACCCACGATAAAAACTTCTCTTTGACAAGAATTATTTCGAGAGGGTACAAACATAATTTGGTTAACCACTCTTCAGATAATTTAAATGAGAACTAAATAAATATATATTTAGGATTTTTTCTTTTGCCAGAATAATTCTGATAAAGTTATAAATAAGAATTTATGAAGCGAAAATAAAAAAGTTATGAAACTTGAGCTTTAACTTCCACTTAACAGCAGCTATCAAGTTAACCAAGATGTTGTTTTGAGCATGAAATATTTGTCCTTGCTCATTCATCAGTGATTTTCTGTAATTTTATTCAAATACTAATGCAAGTTGCTTTGCAAAAATCGATTTTTTTCTTTCTTCAACAGATGAACGCGATGCAATTCAGAAGAAAACTTTCACAAAATGGGTCAACAAACATTTGAAAAAGGTAATTCACGATTTAATATTTAACTTTATTTCTGTATGTCTGTTTATTGTTTGGTGTGTCGTTGCTTAAATATTGTCGCTTGTTTACTGAATGAGTTCTCATTTAACTTTTGTTTGGCGGCGCCTTCCAAAATCCGTGAAATTATTATAAAAAAAGGTTTATGTTCGATACCGAAACGAGTTAAAAAATTGGGATGGCATTTTATTGCCGCGAATAGTATCGACCCACGTTTTTAAGGTGTAATTGCAAACCGGAGTTATTTTAATTTATGGAGTGTTTCTCTGTTAAGTTTACATTCCAATCGAACTGCGAGATTTAGGTACTTTCTTTCGATGATCTCGAACATAAAACTCTTTCAATTCACGATGAAATTTCTGTTCAATAACAATAAAGTTTTGCTTGCTTTTGTAAAGATTGGTTATTTTGCATCCACCATGGATTTTTATTTAAAATCTTGCCTTATACAAAAGCATCAGCTGTGGAATGTTTTGTGTTGTTTGAGTGTCGGTATCCGTATTTGCTTTTCGACTCTCATAAATCAAAGATCACAAATGAAGAATATGACTCTGCTTTACATTCTTTTTCTTGTCTTGTTTCTCATTCGATTTGTGTTATCGGTAGGCATGTTTAATTAAACAAATGAAACATTTTGTACATTGAACTGACGATGCTAACGGTTCTTGCTCCTATGTGCGGTCAGAGTCAAACTTTTTATTTCTCTTCTTAATTTATAATTATACTGCTCACAGATTTTTCTTCTTTTTTTTTTGTTCATTACAATTTTTAAACGATTTCTATGACATCATTCGAAACAACGACGTTTAAATCTCATCATAAAAGCATTCAAAGCTCAACTTGAGAACCATTTGGCATTACCAACTCGCTAATTAAATGGAAATGGGTCAGCGTGAATTTTTTTGATGATAAAATAAAACAGAAAGTGAATCATTAAAGGCACTGTTGTGTTCAAAGTCACTCACATTTGTGGCGATGAGCGTCTTCAAGGCTTCTGCTTCGTGTAAGAAATTAATGAAAATTGTAGCTTGACGGTCGATATTTTCTCTCGATCTGCTTTGTTGTCATGATTTTCACGTTGACTGAATCGATTTTCAATACGTTGAACTCTTACAAAAGTTGACAAATTTAATGTCTTTCTTCAACTTTTAATTTATTTCATTTCTTTCATCAGATGAAGTCAATTTTATTTACTACCTATTTGTGTTGCATTAACATCGAGCCGCTTTGTCTTTTTCACAAGTTTCACAATATTTTGCACAACGTAAAATTATTTTCAAGAGAAATTTTTCCATGCTTCGATTTCATGTTGGGATCGAGTTTGAAGTGGATCATAATGTACTTTATTGTCTATAATTATTTCAATAACAATTCGAAGAGTTTTCTTTTTTTATAAATTCTATTCAATTAAAAACATTGATTCAAAATCGTGACTTTCCTTTTCAAAGAGTTTCATTATTCTTTGTAATAGCTACATATGTTTATTGTGACGTTGAATGCGAATGCACAACATGTACATCGATGATCATAAATAAAAGATTAAAAAGCGTTTCGACGGTTCAACGCCAAACGAATATTAAAAAATTAAATAAAATTCAATGGATGCGAAAGATGTCAACAAGGTTAAAGTTTTTATTTTAAGTGAAACGAAATTGAAAGTTCTAAACATTTGGAACGAATGCTATAACGACGAGGTGCCCTCGCTCTCTCCATACCAACAGGCAATGTTCAATCTAATTAAACTGAACGGAATCAGTGGTCTGAGTCATAGTCCAACTATGTTTGTGTTCATGTTCACTTCCTTTGCTTTGCAAACTCATGAGAGTAATTAATATTTTCTGTTTTCCAAAAAGGTTTTTTGTGTTTTTGTTCTTCACTGCTTTTACTCTCATTTCATCATAAAAATCTTACGAATGTCTATGAATAAATAATTAATAATGACATGTGTTTTTGCACTAATTAACAATTTATATCGAGTGAATCGTGTCTGATCAAACAACATACTTTGCTTATGAAAATCTTTGTTTGTTGTTGAATGGAGTTTCGATTTCATCTCACAAATATCAAAAGAATTTTGTGGAATTGATCAGAGAAACAAACACATTCACGTAACAGATGAAACAGAAATATTGAACTGCATTCAACTTCCCAACAGATTAGAAGAAGCGAAGTGAGAAACAAATTATTCAACATCAGCATCGTCATGTCGCATGTCATGTTTTTTTTGTTGCTGTTTCATTATTGCTGTGGATGCGAGTAAAGTTTATGGAGTTAGAAAACATGTGTTTTCATTAACAAGACTCGTTAGAGAGACAATCAACACTTAATTATTAAAGTACATCGAATGCCGATTCGTAAACATCAACAGCAGCATTGCTATTGGAATGAAAAAAGAAGTAAAGAAATTTTTCTAAAGCGACATTGTGTACATTTTTCACACAAGTTAAATTGTATTTATTTTTTATTTTCTTTTAAAAAAAGTTAAGAAATTCTAAAGAATGGCGTCGAATGTTGTTTGCGATAAAATCAGTCAATGAAACGGCGTAAGATAAATCATGAGATGATGATGTTTTTCAGCATAAAGTTGACTTCTTTTATGGATACAAACGGAATCATTGACACAGATTTCTTTCAATCAACAAAGTGCTTGAGAATAAATATCAACAGAAGCCGAAAAGGCGCACTCGCATTCAATTCGTTAGAAGAAAAAAAATCGAAACAAAAATCATTTATGGACGCTTCAAGGACAGACAACAAGACGTTAAACATTTTGCAACATGACACTGTCCATAAAATTGAAACGTGAAAATTTCGTTGATTGATGAAAAATAAAGACGACAGAAGAGGCTTCATCAGTATTCTGGTGATGAGCGCTCTTTAAATGTTTGCTTTGCTTGTTAACGATCCCATCGAATGTCGCCGTAAAAGCTTTCTTTCTTTTCTATGCTTAATTGGATAAGTCGACAAGAACTGAATGTAATTAAGCAGATGATTCCAAAACACAACATTGTGCTTTTTGTAAAGAAAAGAAATTTAAAGTAAAAATATTTTTATTGTCAACAAAGGTGAAAAATTATGTGGCCAAATAACAATTCAACGATTCATATCATTAACTTCAAAGGCAAATTTATTATCCTCAACAAAAGCCAATGTCTCTTTGTTTAATGCATAATCCAATTAAACAACAACTTAATTTCACTATTTTTCGTTTTTTGTGTTATTTTTTGTTTATCTATTGTGTCTCAGTCAGTATTTTGCATTAAATCATTTTTTTACCGATAAAATGTCGAAACTTTTACTGCAAAGTGTTGAACTTTTTTCATTTTTATATTGCATGAAATATTACAAATTTTTTATTGTCGAATGAATGAATGAAATTATTGCTTTGTTCTCACTTAAATGAACTCTTAATGAAAGGAAGAGATGCACGAGGTTCATTAATAGAACAGAGTACGTCATGTACTGGAAGCTTTTAAATATCCGTCGTGACATTCAATGCAACTTTTTTATGACTTCTACGTAGTGACTTTAATTGCTTTGCGGTTGTCACGTGTCGTGCTTTTCAGATGCTTTTCATTCATTTTACTGTTTATCTGTTGAATTGAATTTCCATCTGCTCGTAAATTTCATTTTATTTTTCTATTTTTTCTATTTCGCTATTTTTTCAATTCATTGCTTTAATTTGCTGCTGACAACAAAATCCATTTAAGAAACAAATCAATTATGAATATTAACAAAAACTTGATGAATTGTTTTTCTTCTCTCCCCCGCTTAATTATTGACTTAATTGTCATGAATAATGCAAAAAAATAATTATACGCTTAGCATTGGAAATATGTAAAGGTAACGATTTGACCGGCAATTTAATTCTATGAAATCTTTTTATTTCATTTCGTTCTGTCTTATTTTGTTCGTTTCTAGAATTACACATTGCTTCATGTTTGTGTAATCATCAACGGGGTTCCATGTTGTACAAGTCCTGTAAGTTTTTCTTTCTTCTTTTTTAATGAGCGTACGTTGTCCAAATCTTTGATCAAGTAAATGAGTAAATGAATGAATGAATCCAATGTTCTTCCTATAAATGTCACTCCAAATAATGAAGATGATGTTCGTTAATAATAAATTATATTCAACTTCTACATCAATTAGGCATCACGTCGTGTCGATGACTTGTTTGAAGACTTACGCGATGGACACAACTTACTTTCATTGTTGGAGGTGCTTTCTGGCGAACATTTGGTAAGACTTGATTATTTATTTAATAACTCTTAATAATTTAACAAAATGTTTTCATTTTAGCCACGCGAAAAAGGAAAAATGCGATTTCACATGCTTCAGAATGTTCAGATGGCACTCGACTTTCTCCGCTTTAAAAAGATTAAACTTGTTAACATCCGAGCAGAAGACATTGTAGACAGAAAGTATCGTTCCCTTAAATCTCTCATCGTTCATCTTAAAGTCCTTTATTTGACAGATTATATTTTCATTACAGGTAATCCAAAGCTCACCTTGGGCCTCATCTGGACGATCATTTTACATTTCCAGGTGAGTTTAAATTCACAATGAATTTGCTATAAATGCTCTCAAAAAATTACGCAATTCTTTAAATTAGAAGTTATAAATAAATAAAATCCTCTCTCTCACACACACACGTCTGCTGCCTATTCCGCAAATAATTTCACTAGTGGAGGCGGCAGGTAAATCTCTCAAGTATCTATCTCAAGCATTTTAAAGCTCACACGATGTTTTTCCCTCTCACTCATACCTAATTGAACGCCCCCGCTTTGAATCTTAAATAGCCATAGAAGACCTTAAATGGCATCGCGTTTTTTTATATGAGCTGTTGAAGAGAACTTAAAGAAAATAAAGTAAATAAAATGCTAATTCTCGCTTGATAAACGATGATCCATAGTCGAAATGTTATCGTGGTGTGTTGATGGCTTCATTTAAATAGTTTGCTTACTTAAGAAGATATGAAAGAACTTTTAAGGAAACAAGCCACATTAAAAAGAATCAGTCCAAGCAGTCAAATTGATTTCGTGAACTTACTTAGCAATATTCGTGTGCCACCACCACCACCACCCACGATTGCAAATCGCTTTCTTGAACGCGTGAAAATAAAAACTCGATGGCGTTTGATTTGACCATATTTGCAAGGTTTTATTATTTATGTGCTAAATATTTTTGATGCCCACACAATTCATGGACTCATAAACTCAACAGAAAAACAACAATTTCTTGTAAGAAGTCTGAGCATATGGTAAATGAAGTATTGTCAGGCCATTTATTTACATGATTATTGCTAAGCATTCAATTTAACTTTAATTACCTTTAAAGAACAGACTCAGTTACCACCAGCATTGCATGTTGTATGTTTAGCCATTGAAACGACTTTGATTAAACAAGATTTAACATCAATTAACGTCAAATTAAATCACTCGATGGATAAAAAGGAAAAAGAGTTAAATTCCATCTCTAAATACTTCGCACGTTCTCTAAATAAGCCAACATGAAGCGACATGCTGGGCGCCTAAATTCGTCACAACAACGAAAACAAGACAACTTGAGCGAACATCTATCTACATATTTATCGCAATTAAATATTTTAATGTCTTATGAGATAAGTTTGAACATTTATCGTACCAAAAATTGTTTTTTATTTCTTCTAATTTGCTGTTACTGAAATTACATCTATGGAAAGATTATTTAGTTACGGACATGAGACAATCTCAATGACATGACAGAGCTCAACAGTGAAGTGTTCGTTACAGATCGATTTCCAACTTACATGTTTGCGATGCTTATTTATTACAAGATTATAAGTCACCGATTTTTCAAGGCGTCATGCCCAGAAAAGTTCCTTTTAAGGAAATATTTAATTAATATAATATCTGATTCGGTTGCGGTAAGCTTAAATATGACGACACGAAATGCATAAATTTTTATTAAAAAAAGCAATAATAAATGACGATTTTTATGCATCAATCATAATCTTAGAAATCTGGCTTATGCATTTGATTTAAAACTTCGAAACAATTACATGGAGAACGACAAATCAATTAAGCATTCATTGGCAAGTGGCAGAGATTGAAATTAATCATCATCTTGTAGCGTTATGAACAGTATCATGAACAGCATTAGAAACCATAATCGTTCAATCAAGATTCGACTTTCTGATATGACATTGCACTGCCACCAACTAACTGACATTCATGCTTGGAAACCTCTTTTCACATGAATGAATGTCGGCTTTTGTTAACTTTTGTTGCGTAACAATACGTCAAGGCATGTAACACGTTAGTTATATTTTTTTAACTTAAGTGTATGTCCACCCACGCGACCATCAACAAAGTGGATGTAAAAGTTGTACTTGAGAAATATTTAGAAAATTAAAATATTCAAAATGTAAACAACACTTAATGCTCAACTAACCCAATTGATTATAAATAGTAAGGTTAAAAACCTACTTAGTGATGTCATCATTGCTTATAAATTGTCTATCGCAGTCTCATATATTGTGAGCATCACTTTTTAATTGATAAATGTTAGCATGATGCTGCATAAAATATTTTACTAACTCCCCGACCTTACACAACATTTCACAAAAATACATTTTTTCAAAAACAAAACTTAAAAACTCAAGTATCGAAGCTCTTAAAACGATTATGTTTATGAACCTCGCCCTTTCAATGTTGTTATGTCCGAAACACGAAATGGACACCAAATCTAATCACTTGAAATTTCCAATTATGGTGAAGAGTTTGTGAATTGTCAGAAATGAGAAGCTTTTAATGTTCAGCATCGATACACATATTTGAAATGAAATGACTTATGATTGAGAATACTTCCCATAAACGGTTTTTAACATGATGGAAAAATTAAACAGATAAATCTCATTTTCCTCAAATGCATTAACCTTGGTGTTGATTCAGCTCATATTTGCTATAAAAATGAAAATAGGCAATAATGGATAAATATGAAGTAACAAGCGACAATTTACATCCATTCATTAAGCTTTTATCGAAGCCGATGCCGATGCTGTTGTCGCTACAGGTCAAATAAATTCCGTTTAACATAATTCAGATATCACAAATACTCGTTTCGGAATCAAATAAATTCATATATGAAGTTGAGATTTTGATGTTTTTTCTGCTTTTTTTTTCTTTTGTGTGTTGGCGTCATGGAAGATTAAAAGCTTGGCAGAATAAAAATTTTAAAATTTGTTAATACACCACCAAGCGCGAATAAGTTGTCTCGAGGGTGTCGGAGAATTTATATTACGCTAAATCCACTGCCTACACAGATTAAGTTAAAGTGATTACAAAGCGATTGAAAAAGTTTATTTGACTTGTTCAGTAAAGCCACCAAACTGTTTCGAATGATTAATTTAATCAAGTGCAACTTCTGTTGCGATTAAAATTTATTTTCGCAGTTATTTAAATTTTTATGATCATGAAATATTTTTCATAAATTAATTAACGCCAACATAAAAGTTGTTTTCCTACAAGACTTATGGATATTTCTTGTCTTAATTTCTTGCGAATGATGCCGGCAGTTAACACCAACCCGAAAGACAATGAAGGAAGCTATTTGCATACCATGCACAAATACATACATTAGCGTTAAAACATCGATAGTTAATAGAAATAAAACGAGTGGGGAATATTATTACGTCATTCTGTTATTTTATTTTTCCTACCTTTGATTCGCATTGTGCTTTACCGCAACTCACCGCACAATCGACCATCTGTTCTGTTGAAGCGTTCAATTCTTTCTTAACTTTTATCTTTCACCTGATGATGCAGTTTGCTCATTAAAGACGATACAAAAGGTCGATGAAACTTATTAAATTGTCATTTCTGCGATGTCATTTCATGCGAAATTTCCCTGAGAATGTTTTCTTAATTAACTGAATTTAACGTTGGCGAGAATGGAATGTATTCAACCTCTCGTCTTGCTGCTCGTTAGACAATGAAGTTCTTTGTGACCATCAAAATGTGGAATAATATAAAATGTCATTAAATTTACACACATTACTGAGTTGCGTCGAGTTGGGTTTAAGTTGAGAGTGAGAGTCCATCGAAGCATATCGAGCGACAGTCTGTTCCATCCACTTGACTTTTTATTGCTCGTTTCGTCGTCATCTTACATGTGACGGTTGGCTAATGTTCTTTGCAAAAAATTTAAAACAGATTTCGGTGTTCTAAGAGTATTGAATATCAATCAATTAAAGCGCCCACCAAATTCTGAATTGATGTTGTCTATAAATGTTGGCTTTTAATGAATGAACCTACTAACGATAGCAAATATTTTAATTTTCATAACAACTACAATCATAATCAAGTGTTTCAAATTCGGAAATGTTTGTTTATGGCAACAAATGCCCAACAAACGTTTGTGTTTTACCATCCGTTGCAAATACAAGCACAGGTGAAGCCCTACCTGGCTTAAATTTTCTATGATGTTAGTTAGGGTATGAAGGTGTATGCGTAAGCAAATATACTTACATTCACAATAAGAAACAAACATTTTCCAGCTGACTTAGTGAACCATTCGAAATAGTGGTAACATATTGTATTCGATTGCTTTAGATGGTGGATGGACGGAAAACGTTGTACGCGACTTTACATTCTTTCATTCGTTCGTTCGATTCTCGCGTAGCTGAATCGTTCTTAAATCGTTTACGAGTGTTTTTCTAGTCGCTTGATCATTCCAGTCATCCAGAATTTCACCGCGGAATATTTTTATTAATGCGTTAATTAATAAAAAGCTTTGTTCACGGTCGCATTGTGTTATCACCATTTGTGGATTTAATTCTTGTACTGATTGATAAAAGCAAAAACAAAACAAAAAAGAAAAAAAATTTTGTGGTGACATAATTTATAGTTGATAATTAGCGCCATTAAGTGATTAATGAATTGTTTTGAAACGTCGAGCTTTTGGATTGTCGATAAAGTTTTTCTTCTTCTTTTCGAGAAATCAAAACTACGTTAGTGGAATATTTAACTGTCTATAATCACATAATAGAATAATTCTGTTTCAATTATTAATCAACCAAAACTACATATGTTGGAACTTGGGAGAAAGTTCAACGATTCATTAATTTTTAATTCAATTTATTTGCTGTTCCGTTCATAAAGTTTATCAATTTATTTTCCAAATCATCATCATAATAATTTATCATTCCAATTTGTAAATTGAATTCTTCAATATTTTGGAAAACGAACAATTACAAAATTTCTTTAAAAATTTAATTAAAATTTTTCCTTTTGAAAATCAATTTAATTTTTGTTATGACGTGACAATGTTTATTATTATTTTTTTATGACCATTGATAACGATTTATGATAAGAGTTCGGCAAACATTCTTCTAAAGTACCTTGAGGTATAAAATTTTTCTTTTTCCTTCTCCATGACACGACGTTTCTCTTTTGAAGTTGAAATTGTATGGAAAAACGTTGTTACCTAGTTTGTTGCCCTTGCGCAATGATAAAAAGAAGAAACTCAATAGGGAAAATTGCTTCTTCAGTGCGTGTAAAAAGCACTTGAACTCTTCATAAATTCCACTAATATTTAAAGCCATCAGCCAAATCCAAAATAAGCTCACATTTTAATCAATTCATCAATCGTTTTATGATTATTTTCTACTGTTCTTCATGGACAGATAAATAAACAGAGTGGAAATATAATATTTAACTATCAAGGTGCTCTCGAAGTTGAACGGGGAAAAAAGTAATCGGAGAGTTGAAATAAACAAACGAAGAGAGCGAGACATCAAAGTCAATAAAAGTTTGTTGTGGTTAATGGACATGAAAAGCTGTAAATCGAAGCGCATAGTGAATTTGTGAAAAAAAAAGATTAAAAAATGTATAAATTCGATGAAGAATTTCGACCTCCCGGTCGAGTCTTTATGAAAGCAACTCGTGAAAAACTCGGGAGTGCTCTTGTGCCTCGCGGATCGGCAATCACGACAAATATTGATGAAAAGGGAGTGAAATTTAGACACGATGTCATTCATGAGAAAACAGTTGAAGCGGTCATTACCGACTATCGTAATGGCGATAGTCGTTATTCAACTGATCGCGATGTTGTTGATTCGAATAATGCTTTAATGTATTCAGTGCCTGTGCGTGATAGTGGAAAATCGTCGACTGATCTTCAACAAGTCACGAGGAATAAACGCTTGTCAACTGAAGTTTTAGGAAGTACGTTGGAAACAACGAAAACTTCTCAAAAAGCTCCAGATGGACATCGTCGACATGTTACTCACATCGTGAGGAAAGTGACAACATTGAGTCGTGCTGAAGAACGCGCACAAGCTAATGATATGATTAAATTCTCGAATGACAGACGAACAGTTGAACTCGGATATTCTCAGACGCAAGCAATTCAACCGAAGAAAGTGAAGGTACAAAACACTTGCTGTGAACATTCCGCCCATGCATGTGATTTGGTTAACATTTTAAAACTGAAACTTTATCGCCTACACTCACAAAGTTTTTGAAAAAAAAAGTTCTCAATGTCAGTGACGACGGCGACGAAAATAAAAGTTTTTGTGTTTTCATTTTTTTTGTCCGTCCATTCAGTTTGGACTCATGGAACACAAAAAAAATTTGTTTTGTTGATGTTGATCACCGCCTTCGCACAATAAAAGTGGTTTCCTCTTTCGATTTTCTATTTCATGAATGTGTAGAGTGATGGAAGTATTCAAAATTGATTTAAAACTTGGACGAATTCAGAATTAATTTGGATTAAAATCTTGTGGCATTTCTTTTTTTTTATGATTGCCTTCTTGTTCATAAATGAAATGGCAAATGAAAGACATAAAAAGACAAACGAATTGTCGAAATCTTTTGTACATTGATTCTTTGTAATAAAAGACAAACATCCAAAACATTTGTTACTTCAACTCATTCCGTAAAAAAAATAATCTTTCTTTTGTGCTCGTCTCGTTTGCTTCTTTTGTAATTCTTATGTAATGATTTTTTGTTTTACCATATCGAGACATGATTGACAATAAAAGAAACAGGAATCCCAACCCAAAGAAGACATCAGAAAGATAAAATATCTTGTGTAAGATATGATCAATGCAAAACTGTTCAACTTATTAAGAATTCAAATTCCAGTAGCTTTTTTATTTTCATTTTTAAAAACGTGCGCTACATCTCATTATCGTTCTTTAGAATCGGATTTCTTAACTATCTACTCGGAACATCTAAGAACAAAAACATTCTTTATGAAAAAATTTATTTATTTACATTCAATGAAGTGGTTGAGTTTCAATTGGCTTCTTTAATTTTAATTTTTTTTTCGCTTAGCACATTTTCGTTGTGTTACGTCATCTGTCAATAAATGAACATTTGTGTGCCTTGATGACCATATATAGCTCAAGTCGATTTATTAAATGTTTTTTCGTCATTGAGATCAATGGTGGTACGAAAGCTGCAGGGGCGGGCGGTTGTGTTGTTATTACGCCGTGAAAATATCTCAAACATTGCAATTCGATGGCATAAATTTTTATGATCAAAATTTCACTGACAACTTCTTTTTTTTTTTCTTTTAAATGAAAGTGAGAGAAATTCGTCTTCTTATTTATAACGCCCACCCACGCTTTAATTGTCAGAAAATTTACCAAATAGAGCATTTATAGTTGCTTAATGTATTGAAATGGAAAAAAGTGATAAATGACAAAGCATTATGAAAATTAATTCTTCCTTTCTTTTGTGACAGATTTCTGACATTGTTGTCGGTCAGGAGGATAACATAACAGCACGCGAAGCTCTTCTCAGATGGGCTCGTAAATCAACTGCTCGTTATCCTGGTGTACGAGTCAACGATTTCACTGGTTCATGGCGTGATGGATTGGCATTCACTGCACTCATTCATCGTAACCGTCCCGACTTAATTGACTGGCGCGAAGCTCGTCAAAGAAGAGTTCGTGAACGTCTCGAAACAGCATTCCATGTCGTTGATAAGGAATACGGCGTGACACGACTTTTGGATGTCGCAGGTTGGTTAAAAACTGAAATAAAAAGAAAATTTCCATCCCATTCCCACCCACTTTCTTGCTTTTCAACCCACTTAAATATTATTAGATATCATTATAAAGACAAAGATTGTATGATTTATGCAAAGTAGAATATCTTCTGACATCTTCTCAAAACAAAAACACAAAAAAATATCAACAGGCAAATGATGCTCGCGATTATTAATAGAATCGTGATGATAATCGTCACATCGAATGACAAAATCATGTTTAAAGATTCTTTAAAAGTTGTTGTGTTGTTATTGATGACAACCATGAATTGAATTTAATTCCTTTTATGATTTTTATTTTAATTCATTGCTCCATTCTTTAAATGGAAAAAGCTGTCAAGTCGAGTCAATCAAACTACTTTTCTTTTAAGGGTTTCTTTTTTTTTTATTTTAATTTCTCCTTCACCTGAAGATTTAATTTGATATTCTTTTAGATGTTGACACTAATGAACCTGATGAGAAGAGTATGATAACATACTTGAGTTCGTTATATGAAGTCTTCCCAGAGCCACCACAAATGCATCCACTTTACGACATGGATTCACAACGACGCGTTCAAGAATATCGTGAAAATGCTCAGCAATTGTTATATTGGTGTCGCGAGAAGACATCACTGTTGCAAGAAAGATCTTTTGGAACGACTTTGATTGAATTCAAGCGTTTATCATCGGATTTGAATAAGTTCAGGAATGAAGAGATTCCACCACGACATCGTGACAAACAACGTTTGTTCACAACTTATAAGGAACTTGAACGATATTTCGAGTCAACTGGCGAGATTGAAATTGAAAACGATCTTCGTCCAGATGCTTTAGAGAAAGCTTGGAATCGAATGCTTTCAGCGCTTGGCGATCGTGAACATATTTTGCAATCAGAACTTAGCAAAGTTGACAACATTTCACGTTTGGCTGAGAAAGTTCAGCGAGAAATTAAAATCACTGATCAACGCATCACAAGTTTGGAAGTTAGAATCTCTGAAGAGTCGAGACGAATTGACCGTTTACATCCAATTGATGCTAAGAACACAGTTGAAGGTCTCGAATCAGAGATTCGTCATTTGGAACCTCCAATTCAAGAAATGAATCACGATTGTCATATTTTGAAAGAAAATCGTTATCCAAAAGCAAACGACTTGCAGAAGAGTGTCACAAAATTACATCAAAGATGGACACAATTAAGATCAAACTTTAACACGTCATTGGTTCAGAAGTTAGCTGGCATGAGTTATCCAATTCATGAGAAGACCGTGAAGAAAGAAATCCGAACCGTTGTCGAACAACGTCCGATTGGAACCAATCCGTACTTCCGTGACTTGCAAGAATATACTGAATGGTGCCAGCACAAATTGAAGCAACTTCATGCAGCTGATTATGGTGGTGACTTGCCATCAGTTAAAGTTGAATTGGAACGTCATCAACAAGAACATAAAGTCATCGATCAATTCCATTCAAAGATTCAACACGCTGAACGTCAGCAAAATAACTTCAGCGGTGATGAGTTGCATTTGTATCAACAGAAGTTGAGTCAATTGCAAAAGATTTATGCTGAACTCTTGAGTACAAGCACGAAGAGATTATCAGAGCTTGATGCACTTCAAGATTTCCTTACAGTCGCCACAGCTGAACTTCAATGGCTTCATGAACGTGAACAAATCGAAATTCATCGTGATTGGGCTGAGAAAAATCTTGACTTGCCAGCAATTCATCGTTACTATGAGGTGAGTTGATTTTGTGTGTGTGTATGTGCTGGTTATGTGTGTGAGAGTGTAATTTATTATTCTTCAAAAAAACTTTATATTTTCTCTTAATTCACAAGCATCATTATGGAAATGGTGCAGATGTAAGTTGTTGAAATTTTAAAACTTTCTTTGCTTTTATTCATGTCAAGGTTGCATCCTTAAAAACTGACATTAATTAACACTTTTTAAGTGACAAAATTATCGTGATTAAGTCAGTTTAAATTGAATAATTTTTCTTTCAAAATTCGCTTTAAATTTTCATTAAAATTAAAATCGTATTTCTAATCACTTAATTAACGTTGACGTTACAGAACTTGATGTCCGAATTAGAGAAACGTGAAATGCATTTTGCAACGATTCTCGATCGCGGTGAAGCTTTGTTGCTTCAACAACATCCAGCATCAAAAACAATTGATGAACATTTGCAAGCTTTGCAGTCACAATGGTCATGGCTGCTTCAATTGACATTGTGCCTCGAAGTTCATCTTAAACATGCCACTGAATATCATTCATTCTTTGCTGAGATTAAAGACGCTGAAGCATGGTTAGCGAAACGTGACGACATCTTGAACACAAAATATTCGCAATCAGAATTTGGCTTAGACCAAGGAGAGTCATTGTTGCGTGGCATGCAAGACATTCGAGAAGAATTGAATACATTTGGGGAAACAGTTCAAGCATTACAGCAACGCTCACAAAATGTTGTGCCATTGAAACAACGTAACCAGCCAGTGAATCGTCAAAGTCAAGTTCAGTCAATTTGTGCATACAAACAAGGTGGCTCCGTTGACTTGGAGAAGAATGAAACATGCACATTGATTGATACATCAGGAAGAGTGAAATGGCGTGTGAGAACGAATAGAAATGTCGAAGGAACAGTACCGGGAGTTTGTCTTTTACTTCCACCACCAGACAACGAAGCTATCGAAGCTGCTGAACGCTTGAAGCGTCTCTTTGATCGCACTGTTGCATTATGGCAAAAGAAACAACTCCGATTACGACAAAACATGATTTTTGCGACAATTAAAGTCGTTAAAGGTTGGGATTTCGATCAATTCCTTGCAATGGGTGCTGAACAACGTACAGCAATTCGTCGTGCTTTAAATGATGATGCTGATAAATTACTTGCCGAAGGTGATCCAAATGATCCACAATTAAGACGATTACGTCGTGAAATGGATGAAGTCAACCGATTATTCGATGAGTTTGAGAAGAGAGCTCGCGCTGAAGGTAAATAAATTATTTTTATCCCTTGAATTGTCTCCACCCACACAGCATTCAATCAATTGATTAATTGCTTTCTTGAAACAACAATGTTGAGAAAATGAGAAGAAAACTCTTCTCAGTTGAATTCTGATGTTTAAAGAAATGCGAAGTTTATTTCAATGTACAGTGACTGGTTAGTAATAATTCAATAACTAATTTCAAATTCTTTTATCATTTTTTAATTACAACAGAGGAGAGTAAACAAGCGAGTCGTATCTTCACTGAAGAATGCATCACCTTCAAATCACGTCTTGAAGAGATGGCAAGAGAATTGGATCACATCATACTGTCGCCTCTGCCTCGTGATCTTGATTCACTTGAACATGCTGTCCAAATTCTTACCGATTATCGTCGTCGTTTGAATTTGTTGGAACCTGACCTTAACCATCTTCAGGAGACATTCAGAACAATAACATTGAAGACACCGGCTTTGAAGAAGAGCTTGGATAGCTTGAAAGAGTTGTGGAAAGAATTGAATACTCAATCAAGTTTACATGCTGATCGATTGAAGTTGCTTGAAGGTGCACTTGCTGGTTTGGAAGAGAACGAACAAGTTATCTCTGAACTCGAAGGACGCTTATCAAAGCACATCGTAATGCCATCAAGTGCTGAAGGTCTTCATGAAGTCTTCCAACAATTATCATCACTTCAAGACACAATCACACAACAGCAGCCACGAATGGACAGAATGAATGATCAAGCTGATCAATTAGGACGAATGGGTGTGCCAACAAAAGTTTTGAGTGATTTGAAACGTCTTCATGCTAATGTCGAGAGACTCAACACCCGATGGAATAACATTTGTGTTCAATTAGCTGAAAGGTGAGACAATTTATTGCTTTTCTCTTAAAAACATTAATTCATTTCTTCTCTCATTAGACTTCGAAGTGTCGAACAAGCAATTGGTTTAATGAAAAATCTACAAACAAGCATTGTTGTTGAAGAATCATGGGTTGAAAAACAAACCGAGAAGCTTCAGAGTCTTCCAACTGCAACATCAGCTAGGGAATTAGACGTGAGTACCCAAACATTTATTTTATCTTTCTTTATACAAATGATAATGACGTTTGACCAAAGAAATCGGTAAATTATAATTGAAATTAAATTCCTGTTGACTACGACGAAAATCCTTTTGTTGTGATGGATGAATGAGATTCTCGTGTGACTGCACAAATGTGACAATGTTTAATACACAACAATAATTAAATACAAACAATCAAAACTTTAGTTTAGTGCATGACAAAGAAAATGATGCAACAAGAACGACAAATGTAATTTTAGAATTAATTAATTAATTTATATTTAGATGACTCGTACAAAAAAAATTAAATTAATTTTTATTCCAATTTATCTCTCCCTCTTTCTCTCTCAATTCTTTTTCCTTTTATTCTGAAATAAAATTTTATTTCACGAAATGTTCTCATTCGCCCACCCAAAAACTCCCCAAAACCCCCCAACATTGAAAATGTAAAGAATATGTTGGGATCGGCAATTGAAAGAAAGCCCAAAGTGGAGCAGGTTAATGTGACTGGTGGACGGTTACTCAGAGAGGCCAAGGTATGTCAATTGAAAAACAGAAAATCTTCTCCAACTCTTAAGTATCTTATCCTACTATCTCTTGACTTTAATGAATAAAAACAAAAACTTTTAATGAAATCTGATTTAATATTCATTCAGCGTTTATTAAGAACGTTTGGATATTGTATAAATAAAATATAATTAAATTCAGGGAAATACTTAAGTTCTTCAAGAACTTTGCTTTCATTTTTCTCTCAGGAAGATTAAAAATTTTAAGTAGCAATTAATATTGGAATTAAATCCACAAAATATATCTCACCACCCCCACATCCTCCATCGCCCCTTAACATTAACACACTAATTACCAAATAACACAAACTAATGAAACTGTACAGATTTACGACGGAAAATGTTTGCATTACAACGATTGGTTGACGGAGATTCGACCAAGCTTCACAGCACCACGTCGTGATTTACGTTCTGAAGACGATCCAGGTGCAACAGAGGTTTATAGCCAAAGATTAGATAGTTTAAATACGAAATATGAATCGCTAGTTCAATTGTTATCACAACGATTACGAACGGCAATTGAAGTGAACGGTGCCGAAGGTTTGGTGAGTATTTCACATAACTTCGCATCTGAATAAGTCCATTATGTTCACTTTAAACATCTCAGAACTATGCTGAAACTCTTCAACGACCTTTGAAAACTTATCGTGTTGGTTTAAACACAAGTGGAACATCCATTGATGAACCTGATCATGATAATTTAATTAGCTATAGTAATAAAGAGTGAGTACTAACAAACAAATAAATAAATGACTAACTTAATGAATGACTGTTATGATGGTTCTTCCCAGAATCACGACTTCAACTCGTACAACTGTTTATCAAATTGATAACGGCACCAATGGAAAAAGTTCATTAAATAATTCAGAGATTCGACCATCAAAACGAACTCATATTAATGAAGGGATTGAAAGCGATAATAAATTGTTAGAATTACCAGGCATTGTCGATCCAAACACGGGAAAAGTCATAACAGTTGGTGAAGCCATTAAACTTCATTTACTTGATGTTCGAACTGGTGAAATTCTCTTAATAAGTGGAGAACGTGTGAGCTTAGAAAAGGCAGCTGAGCAAAGATTGATTAACCCAGAGTTAGCATTGAAACTGTCGAATCATTTGGAAGCAGCACAACAACATTTGACAGAAGCTGAGAATAACTCAGAGACAGCTGAAAAGAAAATTAAGGTAACGACCGCAACTGCTGCCATTTCCAGCCCTATAAAGACAATTGCTGATGCCATAAAAGATGGCACAGTTGATCCCATTCTTGGTGTTTATAAATTACCTAATGGCTCTACAATCACCATCACTGATGCTTACCAACACGGTCTTTTGATTAAAAATGAAACTATTAAGATAAAATCTACGCCTATGTGTTTGGCTGATTCAATTTCTCACGGACTTGTTGATCAAGCTGGTTGGGTTGTGGATCGCAATGCTGGTGATAAATTTAGACTTGACTCGGCAATCGAAAAAGATTTAATTATACCGCGATTACTTGAAGTTGTTGACACACGAAACGATGTGAAAGTTTCGGTGACGAAGGCAATTGAAATGGGTTTGTTAAATGCGAAAACGGGTCGCTACATTAATCCACTGACAAAAGAAAAATTGACTCTTATCGAAGCGAAGAATCGTCAGCTAATTGTTCGTCCCATGTCGTTGAAAGACGTTTGTGAAATGAATTTAATAGATCGTGAGGGTTTGATAATTTCTCCTACGCGTAAGTCTCAATTAACAATTTCAGATGCAATTAAAGTCGGAATTTTAGATGGCGATTATATGAATTCAATATCAAAGGGTGACAAAAGCAATTTGTTGACATTAAATGATGCAATTGAGAAAGAAATTGTTGGAAGTGTTGCGAATGTTTTTAAAAATTTAACAACGGGTGAAACGATGACAATACAAGATGCTGTTAATGAAGGGTTAATCTCGTCTGTTACACAAAAATCTCTATTTGATATTGAAGCATTCAAAGATCCACATTCGGGTGATTTTCTGTCATTGAATGATGCATTGGCGAAAGATATTCTCGTGAAAACTAACAAAGGTTTTAAATTGGTCACTGCTAAAAATAAATTGATAACATTAAACGAGGGAATTGAAAATAATTTAGTTAAACCTGAAGTGAATGAAATGTTGAATCGAAGAGTTGGTGTGTTTGATAAGAAAGATGAAGAAATAACTGTTTTAGATCTCGTTTTGTTTGATTTGATTGATCCTAAATCGGGATATTTGTTAGAATATAATAAGAAGACAATTGTTCCACTCAATAGCGCTGTTGAGAGAAAAATGATCACACCTGAAGGTGCTTTATTACTTAGTTCACTTTTAAACATAACTTTGACAACAGAAACGCTCATGAAAATGGAAAAACGTTACATTACAATTGCAAATTTAACACCAGAAGTTCAGTCACAACCACAAGAAATACTTCAAGACGACGGCTTAAATCTCTCTGATGCAATCAATCAAGAAGTTTTCGATCCCTCTACTGGTGTTTTTACAATCCCAAACACCGATCGTTTAGTGAGTTTTGAAGAATGCATTCAACTTGGATTGATTAATCCTGAATCAATGAAAATTGTTGATCCTAAATATAAAGAAGAGATAACAGTTCATCGTGCTTTAGAAAAAAATATTCTAGACACAACTGGTCATTACAGATCGCAAGAAGGTTGGCTTCCAATGACCCAGGGAATTGAGAAAGGTGTCATCATTTTAAGTGAAGATCAGAAACCTCAGAAATTTACAAAAACTCTTGAATTCCATCATATACCAAAAACATCTCCTAAGAAAACTCCTGAAGTAGAAGTTACAAGTCCCGAACCTTTGGAAATTATTCCTGGTTTGATTTACGATCCTTCGACAGCTTTAGTCATAAATATGAAGACAGGGAAATCTGAAAATCTTCTTCAAGCTGTTAATGATAATCTTGTTGATCCTGAACTTGTTCAAGTTGTCGATGCTTCAACTGGAAATGTGATTCCAATAAAAGAAGCAATTGAGAAAGGAATTGTTTCGCCTGATTCGGGTGAAGTGATTGACAGTTCTGGTCGTAAAGTTAATTTGATTGACGCTGTTAAAACGGGTCTGTTAATTGTTGCTGGAACTCCTTTAGTTGCAGCAGCTGGTGCTTTAAGTTCATTGAAAATGATTTTCGATCCTTCGACCAACGAACAAATTCCTGTTGAACTCGCTTATGAAAGAGGTCTTGTGTCACGTGATGAAATCAGTGATTTCACTTTATCAGATTCCATTCCCCGCTCTTCTGTGATATCTCAAGCTTCAAGTTTTGATATTCCTACTCCAAAAGACATGGCACAGACGCCTTCGAAAACAGTCAAACATTCCACCTTTTATGAGAGTGAAAAAGTTGTTCTTACACCTGAACAAAAACCAACTCCTGTTCCAAGAAAGTCTTTAACTGATTCTGCTCCAAAATTCAATGACAATCAAATTGATGCTGATAAAATTCCTATCAGTGCGATTCCTGAAACTTCACCAAGTATGTCAAATTCTCAAATAAGTGTGAATGAAGCACTTCAAAGAGGTTTGTTGGATCTTAAAAGTGGAACATATATTGATCCTTTGACGAATCAAACAATTACAATTCAAGAAGCTGTAAACAATGGCAATCTGATAAGTGTCACTGATGATATCGAAAAAGAGATTCTTATGATGTCACCTCAAAATAAAGCAAAATTGCCAACTGAAACCGTTTCAAATCTTGTTCCTTCTACGTCTTCAGAACCATCACAACAAAAGTCTTTACCACAAGATAATTCTAAAGCAGCTTCTCCGTCAGTTTCTATATTAAAAGCAAAATCAGAAGAAAAGGAAAAAGATTTTCCACCCAAACTTACTTCTGATCAAATCACACCTGAGTGTACACAAATTGTCTCTTCAAATATTCCTAAATTTGTTGAAAATGAACCTTCGATAGAATCAAAACCTTTTGAAAAATTAAACGAAGATATTGACGATAAAAATTTTCCTCCCATTGCTCTTGAATCTCATCCAATGTTGGAACATAAACGAAATGATGAAACTGGAAAAACATCAATTGAAAAATCTCCAAATGAAACTGAAAATTTACTTCTTCAATCATCCGAAAAATTGTTAACTTCAGAAAAAATTATTTCCAAAGAATTACCAACGGAAATTTCTACAGAAACTTCCAAATTCCTTGAACAAGAAAGATCAGAAATTTCTAAAGATATTCCTAGCCCATCTCCGAAAGATTCTACATTCCTTGATCTTGAAAAGTTATCTGAAATTCCAAAAGATTCTGACACCCCAAAAGAACATCTTGAAAATGCATCGAAATTCGTTGAAAAACCAGATCAAGAAAAATCCACAGACGTAATTGCCCAAGATAACTCAGATTCAAAAGCGTTGTCTAATATTGCGAACACAGCTAAATTAGGTTTGATGGCTTTAGTTGGTGCACCTGTTCTCGCAGGTATGGCTGTTGCAGATTCAGTAAAATCAATGATAAACAAACCTTCTGAAGATCAGAAAGATCAAAAATTAGTTTCACAAACATTTTCAACTAAGGCTATTACTGATCAGAATAAAATGGAATTTAGCACAATTCATGAAATGAGTGAATCTGGAATCACTGAAAGCGTATACGCGAAAGATGACAAACAACAGCCACTGAAAATAAACGATCAATTAAATGCTGAAGATCTTGAGAAAGTTGGAGCTTTTGATAAGCGAACAAATTCTTTCATTGATCCTTCTAGTGGCAGTAAAGTTCCTTTTGATACTTTCATATACAATTGCGGTGTTTTTGATCCAGATTTAATTTATGTTAAAGATTTCAGTAATGATAATTATGTTCCTTTAGCTGTAGCTTTAGAAAAAGTTTTAATTGATCGCAATACTGGAATTATGGTTGAACCTAAAACAGGTAAACGAATCCCATTTTTTGAGTGTCTTTCACGTAAATGGATTATTCAGAAAGAACCAGAAAAATCTCAAACATTCTCGTTGCAAGATGCTCGTAAATCTGGTCTTGTTGATAACGAAAATGCTAATGTAGTTGTTGATGGCATTTTAGTTCCAATTCATGAAGCTTTAAATTCAGGTGTTCTTGAATCTGACACAATTTCTATTCGAGGTTCGTCTGGGGAAATTATGCCATTGAATTTGGCGATTGAATCTGGTGTTGTCGACCTTAAACGCGGTGTAATTATCGACCCATCATCTGGTAAAACAAAACCATTGAACGAAGCTTTTAAAGATGGAATTTTCATTGAGGGAATTAAATGTCCAATATCTCTAGAAGCTGCAATAAAGACAGGTCTTTACGATAAAGATTCAAGAAAAATACAAAACCAAGACACTCTTTTGAACGTACAAGAAGCGGTTGATGATGGAATCATTGATCCAAATATCTCAGAAGTGAAAAATACTCAACTTAATCAAATTGTTCCACTTCAAAAAGCATTGCGTACACGACTGATTGATGATGGTTTGATTAACAATATTAAAACTGGCGAACTTGTGCCACTTGATGAAGCTGTCGAGCAAAATCTCATTACGACAAAACCAATCAAAATGACTTTAATAGAATTAATCGTTAAAGAGTTTTACAAAGTGAACTCACAAAAGATTTTAAATCCAATGATTGGTGAATTACAAACAATTGATGAAGGAATGAAATGCGGCTTTGTTGATGTTTCAACAACGCTTATTGTTGATGAGAAAAACGATCGAGTTTTGTCAGTTGATGATGCGATTAGCAATGGATTACTTGATGCTTTAAATGGCCAGCTTACAAATCCCCCTTTAAATCTTTTGAATGCCTACCAACGCGGTTATATTTTGAGTTCCAAGAAGCCAATTTCATTGTCGGATGCGATTTTACGAGGCATGTATAACATTGAAAATGGAAAATTGAAGTTGAATGAAAAGGAAATTACGTTGAATGAATGTATTCAAACGGGAGAGATTTCATCGAATGATTTGATAGTACATGATCCAAAGTCAAATGATATAATAAGTGTGAATGAAGCGATAAAATCTAAACTTTTAGATGCTGAACTTGGATGTGTTAACGAACCATTTACAAGCGAAAAGTTAACTTTAAACGAAGCTGTTGAAAGGGGAATTATAATAATTTCTAAACGAAAATGTTCACTCCCTGAAGCCGTTTTCAAAGGACTTTACGATCCATCTTCTGGCACTTTTGTTAATACAACAACGACAGAAAAACTGTCAACAGATCGTGCAATAAAACGTGGCTTCATTGATCCCCAATCAACAATAGTTAATTTAGGTGGTAAAATTTTGCCTTTTGAATCATCTGTTGAAAGCGGAATGGTTGACGTTAAACGTGGTACAATTAATGATGAATTTGGAAACAAAATTGATTTTCGTGAGGCATTTGATCGAGGTATTCTTGTTGAAGTTCGTAAGCCTTTAAGATTATATGAAGCACTCGTGAAGGGAATTTACGATGATAAAAGTGGCAAATTTATGGATCCACAATCTGGTAAACATCTTACTATGAAAGATGCAATAAATGTGAAATTGATTGATCCTAATTCAGTTCAAATTAAAGATTCATCAATTGGTAGCTATAAAGATATTTCGCTTCTTGAAGCAATTTATTCTGGTGTGATTGATGACCAATCTCATGTGAATGTCGATTCGAGAAGGCTTACTTTGAAACAAGCCTTTGACTTAGGAATATTGTGTGATAATAAAGCGCCCATAAGTTTACAACGCGCTATCCATCAGGGAACATATGACAGTCAATCTGGAAAAATTGTCGACCCAACAACACAAAAGAAAATGACCTTACATGAAGCTATGAGACGTTGGATAATAAACTCACAATTGCCATGTTATTTTAACGAGAATGAAGAATGTTTGTTGTCACTTGGTGAGTGTTGTCGTTTGAAGATGATTGATAGACGTGAGGGTGTTTTCAAAGAACCCGGAAGCAATGTGTTTATTCCTTTGAATGAAGCAATGGGACTGGGACTGATTGTAGACATTGAAAGTGGTGGTTTTGGTTTGTATGAAATGCTTTCAATGAAGTTGTATGATGTTGAGAGTGGAAGATTTATAAACCCTTCAAATGGTCAACTGGTGACAATGGCTGATGCTATCGAAGAAGATTTAATTAGCTTAGTTTCTTCCCTTGTAAAAGACACAAATAACGGTGCCTACTTAAAGCTTAATGATGCCATAAAAGCGAAAATTATTGACGTGATTGATGGTAAATATATTTATCCAGATGGAAAGAAAATTGATTTACAAGAAGCACGAAAACTTGGCTTGATTGTGAGTCATCAAAAACTTTTGTCACTCGAAAATGTAATTAAGATGGGATTATATGATCCAAAGACGGGAAAGTTTGTTGATCCATCAAGTAACGAAGACGTAAACTTACAAATTGCTGTTGATACTGGGTTGATTGATGGCGACACGACTGTCATGAAAAACTTTGTGACTGGTCAAGAAAAGCCAATTAGAAGTGCAATTGATAATGGTGAAATTGATGTTTTGAAAGGTCGTGTAATTGATCCAGAATCGAAAATGTCATGTAATTTTGATGTTGCATTTAATAAGGGTTTGCTTGTGACAATCCAAAAGCCAATTACAGGGAAATCTTTTGTTAGAAATGAAAGCTTCGATAATATTTTGAAATCGGAATTGTCAGCAACTCCATTGCCTAAAGAAATGTCACTGGAAGATGCTATGAAGCATAACATTATAGACAAGGACAAAGCGTTAATTAAAGATCCAAAAACTGGTCAATTCCGTCCATTGTCTAAAGCTTTAGAAGACCAAAACATTGACATGAGTAAGAAAATTTCAATTGATCCATCGTCGCCGTTCTTTGCGTTTGATTCAAATTGCGTTGTTTATTTACGCGAGCCTGAAACATTTGAAAATGCTGTCGAGTCAGGTCATTTAAGTTTATCTGATGGATCCTATAACAACCCCGAAACAACCAGCAAAAGTAATCTAAAAGAAGCCATCACATGTGGCTTCATCGATCCTGATTCAGCATTGATAAAAGATGGTGCGAAGGGGAAAATGATTCGTTTACCTGAAGCTTTTCGCAAGGGTCTCATAGACTCCGACAAATTTAATGTTGTTGATACAAGTTCATCAAAATTGATGAGCTTACAGCATGCTGTTGATGATGCTATCCTAGTTACGCCAAAGCGCTCCCTTGACTTACTAGAAGCCCTCAAATTTAATCTTTACAACCCTGAAATTGGTAGTTTTACCGATCCCTTCATCACAGCAAATAAAGCTCTCACACTGCAAGATGCCGTCACGAAAGGCCTTATCGATCCATCGACAACAATGGTGCGGGATTTAAACAATAGCCAAATAGCACCACTTCCGGCAGCCATAAACAGTGGTCTAATTGACCCTGTTGCTGGCCGTTTGTTGAACGATAATGAGCCAATAGATTTTATAAAAGCTCGTGACAAGGGACTTCTTTTACCAGCCGAACAAAGAGTAAGTAATTCGGTTGGAGAGCGCACCACTCATTCTGTTTTCTGCCATTTTTTTTATCTCATGTGAACGCTAACGCAAAATCATAATTTCATTGAAAAGTTTATTTTATTTAAATATCAAAAAGGCTTTGGCAAAAATAAGCAAAAAAGATTTTTTTGCTTTGCATGGATAATTGCATCTAAAGCAGCTCATTGTGTTCTTTTTTATGGTTGGCGATGTCACTAAAACATCCCATGGAGGGAAAGCGCGCCACATGAATCTATTTTTGTTTTATTTCTTAAACATAAAGTCAATCACCTTCACTTATATGTTGATATTGACAAGGTAATGAAAGCTTTTGGTATTATTTTTTTGTTCTTTCTCTCTTAGAATCTTGAGAAAGTCAAAATCATTCATTCATGTGTTCGAAACTCTTCATTTATTTATTTTTCAATTAGGGTTTTCTTTTATCTTTTCCTCGAACAATTTTCTTCTTTTCCCAAATCAATTTTCATTCTGTCACCAGCAAATATTTTATTATGATTTTCACGTACCACGAACGTGTATTTAGATTGAAGAGCTTAGAGAATCTCTTTATATTTTACTTACTTATGTACATCTTGCATGCGAATAATTCGTGTCTTCATCTCTGTTATGAAATATGGTTTCAAAGAAGATCTAATGGGGCTTAAAGAGAAAATGAATGTGGGAGGTGAAATCACTTCCAGAAATGACAATTTCATTTCTCTGTTAGTCTCTTGTGATTCTTCATTCTTAGTTGTGACAAAAAATATTTAAATTTGAATGACTTTAAGTATTCTCATGGACATTGAGGTAGTATAATTGTTGCATTTGAAGCGTTAGCAAACTATTCAAGATAATAAATTTACAGAATTTATTTCAGTTTTTCATTCAATCTTGACATCATTTGCTATCGCTTCCCTTTTATTTAATTTTATTTTTCATTTTTTATTTTGATGTTGTTTGTTTTTTTTCTCAATATTTTTCAGGTTTAATTTGTAATTTGATTATTTTTTTTCCTCTTACTCAAATCCTATAAATATTTAATTTCATTAACCTAACAACACTGCACGATAAATTTTAATGACACTTTTATATCTTAACCCTCCGATAATGTATGAATGCATGCGAAAAGCATTAAAACAATGTGTGATGTGTATGAATAAAAAAGAATTTAATGGTTTTGCACTTGCTTGTCTCTCAGTCTTTGCCTTCTCCTTCATGAATTCGCAAAATAAATTTTCCACAAGCTGGTGGAGAATGTCATGATGATGCACCAAACAGAATTGGAATTGCACAAAATTAAGGAATTTATATTCCCATGTCTGACGCATGTTTATGTTGCTTGTCTTTTGGTTGTCACTCACAGTTTATCTTATTTTTATTATGCCACTCCATTTGATGATCAATGAGAGTTTTTCTTCAGATATCATATCTTTTTTTATCTTCATTACTTAAAGCAATTTTATCGTTTTCAGCATCGTCTATTTTATGTCAATCATGATTTAATTAACTTTATGCTTTTTTCTCTCTTTCTCCATCTCATCGTTTAACAGCAAGCGGTCATTGAGAAGTTCGCATTATGCGAAGAAAACTTGTCACAGTTGCTGAAATGGATTACCGAGATTGAATATAAGATTTCAAGTGTTGGCGGACCGAAAGAACGTATCGATGATTTGAGGAATCAAATCAATTTATTGAAGGTAAGTTATTGACATTCCGATTGATGATTCTTATTAATTTTCTTTTAATTTAAACAGCAAATTAAAGAAGACATCGACATCAATCAAAGACCAGTTGCTTCATGTCTTGAACAAGTTCGTCAGATTGTTCTAACCGGAAGTGAAGTTTTATCAGCTCCTGAAGTGAATGCTCTCGAAAATTCAGGTCGTGAATTACGTTCACGTGTTGATAGAGCGCAAGATCGAAATGGAAGACTTTTGAAACGTTTGTCGGGTGTCAGAGACGAACTCGTGAAACTTCAATCGGAAATGGAGATCTTCAAGACATGGTTGCAATCAGCAAGACGTGAATTAGAAGACAAAGAACGTGCACTTTCCGATTTGAATAAATTGCCCAATCAATCTGACACAACGAAAGAATTTGTCAGTGATGTCATCGCTCATCAAGCTGACCTTCGTTTCATTACAATGTCAGCACAAAAGTTTGTTGATGAATCGAAAGATTTCCTTGGTGTTCTCAATGAATTCCGAACAACTTTACCAGACCGCTTGCCACATGTTGAACCATTGCCAGCATCAGAATCGCATATTCGTGAAGATGTTACACTTGTCAGCGCTCAGTATCGTGATTTGCTTAATCGTGCAAATGCTTTGTCAGATCGATTGAGTGGATTGTCGGGACGACAACGAGATTATCAAGACAACTTGGAAAAGGCGAAAGGATGGATGCGTGAAATTCAACCGAGAGTTGTGAAAGTTCTCGAAGATCAACCAGGTGCTGATCCATCAACAGTTCAAGATCAGTTGAGTGAAGCTAAAGCATTACATCATGAATTCATCGGTCAAGGACGTCGTTTGATGGATAATTTACAACAAAGTCTTGATTGGCTTTTAAGATCACTCGCTGGTCAATTATCGCCTTCGGAAGTGTCAGCTTTGGAGATTCCAGTGGAAGAATTGAAGGATAAATATCATCAATACTTGGAAGCTCTCAATGATCGTTGTCGCTTATTAGACACAGCTTTGGTTCAATCTCAAGGCGTTCAAGACGCTCTCGATGGTCTTGTTTCGTGGATAAATCAATCTGAAGATAAATTCAAACTCAATTTGAGACCAGCAAGTCTCATCAAAGAACGTTTGCAAGAACAAATTCGTGAACATCGCGGATTACTTGCTGACTTGGAATCACATCGTGCAAGTTTAGATTCCGTCACTGTCGCTGCTCAAGATCTTATGAAGACAGCTTCGAATGCTCGCTTAGCAAGAAAGATTGAACAGAAACTTCAAGACGTCATCAGTCGTTTTGAGAAACTTCTGGACAAAGCTATTAAGCGAAGCGACTTCTTAGACGAAACTCTCGCACAACTCTCCAAATTCAATGATGAAAGTTCAGTTCTCGAACAAGAATTGTGTGCACTTCAAGAACAAATGGATTCACGTGAATTGTCAATGTTGCCAGCTGAAATTCTTGCACAAAAAACACAAGAAATGATGAGAATGAAGGAACAAATGCGACCAATGTATGAAGCTTGCATCACATTAGGAAAGGATTTGATAAGTAAACGTGACGTTACTGACACAGGAATTGTTCGTGACAAGATTAAAGCACTCGAAAATCAATGGCGCAATCTCGAAACAATCTTAGATGAGAAAATGAAATTATTTAAGCAGAAGGCTGAACAATTTAATGCTTACGAGACACTCAAAGATCAAGTCTTGCAATGGTTGGCACAATTTGAGAAGCGAACAAACGCACTTGCATCTGTTGCTATTGATTTGGATATTGTGAAGCGTCAAGCAGAAGATTTGAAGCCGATGATCAAGGAATATCGTGATTATGCTTCAACAATTGATCGTGTAAATGATCTTGGAACACAATACGACGCACTCATCCGTCCGGATTCACCAAGTCGTAAACGTAACGTTTACAGTCCAATTAAGAGAAGCAATGTGAGTCCATATCGTTCTGATGGTCGTTCACCATCACCAACAAAAGGAACACCTGGTGCTTCACCTTTGTCACCATCATCAAGTGGCTTTGGATCACGAATTTCATCACAAGAAGGCTTCCATATCAGTGACTTATCACCGATTCAACAACAACTTATGGAAATCAATAATCGTTACTCGATGCTTGGCGTTCGTTTGACTGATCGTCAAAATGAAATCGACTCGATTAAAGATGAAGTTCGACGACATCAAGAAAGTTTGAAGACACTCAGCAACTTCTTGGATAAGATTCAACGACAAGTGCCAACAAATATCATCGGAAGTAAAGATGACGCTGAAAAGTGCACGAAACAATCGCGACGTGTTCTTGAAGAGATGTACGAGAAGCAAAGTTTGTTGGACAGCACACGAACACAGGTTCGTGATTTATTGAAGAGAAAACCAGACGCTCAAGGTGGTGAAACACTTCGTGTTGAGCTGGAAGCTGTTGTTGAACGCTGGAAGAATTTGAGTGATTTATGCAAAGATCGCATCAATCATTCTGAACAGTTACGTGACTTCTTAGACACTCACGACAATTTGAACTCGTGGTTGAATGCTAAAGAAAAGATGTTGACAGTTTTGGGTCCAATTTCATCAGATCCACGAATGGTTCAAAGTCAAATTCAACAAGTTCAAGTTCTGCGTGAAGAGTTCAGAGGTCAACAGCCTCAATTGAGTCATCTTCAAGATGTTGGACGATCACTTCTTGATCATTTACGTGAATCATCACCAGAAGGTCAAGCAGTGTCACAAAAATTGCAGAATATTGAAACAAAATGGGATGATTTGGTTGGCAAATTAGATCAACGCGCAAATTCACTTGGTGCTGCTGTTGATTCGAGCAAAGAGTTTGATGCAAGTCTTAATCGCTTGCGTGAAGCATTACAAAACATCAGCGACAATCTTGATAGTTTACCACATGACAAAGATCATCAAGAAACACTTCGTAAAATTGAGAATCTTGAGCGACAATTGGAAGGCCAACGACCACTTTTGGCTGATGCTGAACATGCTGCTGATGAGCTTTGCAAAGTTTTGGGTGATCCCGCATCGCGTGCTGATGTCATGGCACGTATTGGAGCTCTCGACAAACAATATCAAGCTTTACAAAGGAAACTCGATCAACGTAAAGCTGAGACCGAAGCTGCACTTCGTGATGGTCGTCAGTTCGGTGAAGCTTGTGCAAGAACTTTAGGATGGTTGGCATCAGAAATTTCCAACTTAACTGATCGTCTCTTAGTGTCAGCACACAAACCGACACTTCAACATCAAATTGACACTCATGAGCCAATTTATCGTGAAGTTATGTCGCGTGAACATGAAATTATCATGTTACTTAATAAAGGTCGCGATTTACAAGATCAACGAGGCGATCGAAGTGTTCAACGTGACTTAGAGAAGATTCAAAGTCAGTGGGAGAAATTGCGACGTGAGACAGTCGAACGTCATTCACGTCTTCAAACTTGCATGGAAAATTGCAAGAAATATCACACAACGTCGGAATCTTTCATGTCATGGTTGAGAAATGCAGAAGAAAAGCTTGCAAATCTTCGTCCTGGCGTTCTGAAACGACAAGTCATTGATCAACAATTGAGAGATCTTCAGACATTCCGAAGTGAAGTTTGGAAGAAATCTGGAGATTTTGAAGCAACAAAGAACAGTGGCGAGACATTCTTGAATGCTTGCGATGTTGACAAAGATCCAATCAAAGCTCAACTCAATGACATTAAGGAAAGATGGGAAAGATTGAACAATGAACTGTTGATTCGTGCACAAGCACTTGAAGAATGTGCACGTCGTCTTGGTGACTTCAATGATGAACTTCGTCAATTGGATAATTCGGTTTGTCGATGTGAAGATCGTTTAGCAGCACATGACGCACTTGGTGGTGCAGCTAAAGATCCAAAACTTTTAGAACGTGTTCGTGCAATCAAAGAAGACACAATGTCATTGAAGAAGCCATTTGGTGAACTTAAAAAACTTGCAAATGATATTGGAAGTGAGACAAGAGCTTCTGGTGGTGATGCTGATCATTTGACAAACGAAGTTGATGCTATCGGTGACAGAATCGACGATTTAGCAGCTCGATTGGGTGATCGTTATGGTGAATTACAATCAGCAGCCACCGCTGTTCATCAATTCAACGAACAGGTCAAGACACTTGCTATCGATTTATCAGAATTGGAAAGTCAAGTTGATGCACTTCAACCACCAGCACGTGAAGTTAAAATCATCAAAGTTCAACTTGAAGAAGTTAACGTCATTTACAACAAAATGTCGCGATTACAAGACAAAATTTCCGATGCACAAAGAGCTGGTGAAGTTTTAGTTGACAGTGGATTCGCTCCAGATACAGCACAAACACGCGATCAAATCACATCATTAAGAAAGACTCTCGGAAGGTTGGAGAACCGAACGAAAGATCAAGAAGATGCTTTGCAGAAGGCTTTGAAGAGTCTCGAGAAGTTCTACGATGCACATTCTGCTATCATGGATGACCTTACTGAAGTTGGAAAAGAAGTTAAAGCAATGAAAGCTGTTTCAAGTGAATTAGAACAAATTCGTAATCAACAAGATGACTTTAGACGATTCCGACAACGTGTTGTTGAACCATTAGCACACAATGTTGATGGAGTTAATCGTTTGGGACAAGACCTCGTGAGATCAGCACAATCTGGTGTATCAACCACGCAATTGGAGAAAGATTTGGAGAAGATGAATGAGAAGTGGAATGAATTGAAAGAGAAAATGCAAGAACGTGATCGTCGTTTAGATGTTGGACTTTTGCAATCTGGAAAGTTCCAAGAAGCACTCGATGGATTCTCGAAATGGTTAAGCGATGCTGAAGAAATGGTTGACAATCAGAAGCCACCATCATCTGACTACAAAGTGGTGAAAGCGCAACTTCAAGAACAAAAGTTCCTTGTAAAGATGTTGAGTGACCGTCAAAATTCTTTGTCATCATTAGTCAGTTTGGGACAAGAAGTTGCAGCTAATTGTGAACCAGCAGAAAAGAATCGTATTGAGAAGCAACTGAAAGATTTAATGAGACGTTTCGATAATCTTACAGATAAGACACAACAACGCACTCACGCATTAGAACAAGCAATGAACATCGCTAAACAATTCCAAGACAAATTCCAACCACTTAACAAATGGTTGGATGGAGCTGAAAAAGCAGTTAAAGCCATGGAAATGGTGCCAACAGATGAAGAAAAGATTCAACAAAGAATTCGCGAACATGAACGTTTGCATGATGAGATTTTGGGCAAGAAACCTGATTTCTCAGACCTTGCGGACATTGCTTTCGAGTTGATGAAACTTGTTGGCGATGACGAAGCTGCTGGTTTAGGTGAGAAAGTCAAAGTCACCACAGAACGTTACACAGATCTCGTTCAAGCAAGCGAAAACATCGGACATCTTCTCGATGAATCACGTCAAGGTTTACGTCATCTCGTCTTGACATATCAAGATCTGATCGCTTGGATGGAGTCAATGGAAATTCGTCTTAACCACTACAAAGTTATTCCAGTGCACACTGAAAAATTATTAGAACAAATGGATCATTTAGTTGATCTGAATGAAGACATTGCATCACGTGCACCAAATGTTGAATCGACAGTTGAAGCTGGTTCTGAACTAATGAAGCATATTTCAAGTGATGAAGCACTTCAATTGAAGGATAAGTTAGATTCACTTCAAAGACGTTATGGAGATTTGGCAACAAAGGGCGGTGACTATTTGAAACGAGCACAAGAAACTTTACCACTCGTTCAACAATTCCATGAATCTCATCTTCGATTGGTTGATTGGATGCAAGTTGCTGAAGCGACATTATCATCAGGTGAACCTCGTGAGACTGACATCATGAGATTGGAAAGCGATCTTCTTGAGATGCGACCAATTTTAGAGACAATCAACACAGTTGGTCCACAATTATGTCAAATTTCACCAGGTGAAGGTGCTGGAACAATTGAAAGTTTAGTGACACGTGACAATCGTCGTTATGAAGCGATTGTTGAACAAATTCAACGTAAAGCTGAACGTCTTCACCTCAGCAAACAACGAAGCAAGGAAGTTACAACAGACATTGATGAACTTTTAGAATGGTTCCGTGACATGGATGCAAATCTTCGTGATGCTGATCCACCAGCATTACAACCAAAACTTGTCCGTGCACAACTTCAAGAACATCGTTCGATTAATGATGATATCAGCAGTCAGAAGGGACGTGTAAGAGACGTCACAAGTTCAGCTAAGAAAGTTCTTCGTGAATCACAACCAAACGACAACACTTCGACATTACGCGAGAAGCTTGATGATCTTAAAGAAATTGTTGACACGGTTGCTGGCTTATGTGCTGATCGTTTATCGATATTGGAACAAGCCTTGCCATTATCTGAACATTTTGCAGACTCTCACAATGGATTCACAGCGTGGTTGAATGACATGGAACATCAAATTTCAATTCTTGCCATGCCTGCACTTCGTCCTGATCAAATCGCCATTCAACAAGATAAGAATGAACGGTTAATGCAATCGATTGCCGATCATAAGCCATTGTTGGATAAATTGAATAAAACTGGTGAAGCACTTGCTAGTTTGGTGGCTGATGACGATGCTGCGAAGATTCAAGACATGTTGGATTCGGATAATCAACGTTATGGTGCTTTGAAAACAGAATTACGTGAACGTCAACTTGCACTTGAAAAAGCACTTCAAGAATCATCGCAGTTCTCTGATAAATTGGAAGGAATGTTACGAGCTTTGGCTAACACTGCTGATCAAGTTAATCAAGCTGATCCAATCTCAGCACATCCACCGAAGATTCGCGATCAGATTGAAGACAATGCAGCTTTGGTTGATGACTTAGATAAACGAACAGAAGCATATGCTGCTGTTAAACGTGCAGCAACTGATGTCATTAACAAAGCAAACAATCAACAAGATCCAGCTGTTAGAGATATCAAGAAGAAACTTGAAAAGTTGAATGCTTTGTGGAATGAAGTTCAAAATGCGACAAGCAAACGTGGTGCCAGTTTAGATGACACATTGAGAATTGCTGAGAAGTTCTGGAAGGAACTTCAAGATGTTATGGCGACATTGAGAGATTTGAAAGAATCTCTTGAATCTCAAGAACCACCAGCAGCACAGCCACAAGCCATCAAGAGTCAACAAGTTGCATTGCAAGAAATTCGTCATGAAATTGATCAAACAAAACCGGAAGTTGAAAAGGTTAGAAAGACCGGAAGTAGTTTGATGTCACTTTGTGGTGAACCAGACAAGCCAGAAGTTAAGAAGCACATCGAAGATTTAGATCATGCTTGGGATAACATCACAGCTTTGTATGCTAAACGTGAAGAGAATCTCATCGATGCCATGGAGAAAGCGATGGAATTCCACGAAACACTCCAAAATCTCTTGAAGTTCTTGAACAAAGCCGAAGATCGTTTCGCACATTTAGGTCCAGTTGGATCGGACATTGATGCTGTCAAGAAACAAATTGAACAATTGAGACTCTTTAAAGACGACGTCGATCCACATATGGTTGAAGTTGAAGCTTTGAATCGGTGAGTTAAAAACTTAATTTTGATTAATGTTTAATTTTAAAGATTTCTTGACTTAAATTCACCAGGACTTGGATTTGTCATCAATTTATCTGAGATATTCCAAGTTCTGAACTTCACTTGATAACTTTTCACTGCAATTAATTCGATTCAAAAAATATAAAATAAATTTTTTAATTTAATTTAATCAAAAATCTCTTGACAAACAAGTTATTGAGTAGAGAAACATTTAAATTTATCAACATCACTTGTAAATATATTTTGATTATTACAAAATATTTTTCATTTCTCTTGCACCTGAAAATGCAAACAAAAGGTCACTTAACAGGCAAGATTATTAATTATGAAGTTTCTTTTATTTTAAAACTTTCTCGTTATCGTTATCAATTTCTAAACGAAACATTTTTCTTGTAATTTTCCTTTAAATAGGCAAGCAATTGAGTTGACTGAAAGAACATCATCAGAACAAGCAGCTGCCATTCGTGAGCCACTCAATGCTGTTAATAAACGATGGGAGAATCTTCTACGCAGCATGGTCGATCGTCAGAAGCAATTGGAGCATGCACTTCTTCATCTTGGTCAATTCCAACACGCTCTTAATGAACTTCTTGTTTGGATTAGCAAGACCGACTCTACATTGGATCAATTGAAGCCAATTCCTGGTGATCCACAATTACTTGAAGTTGAACTTGCTAAACTTAAAGTTTTGGCTAATGACATTCATGCTCATCAAAGTTCAGTTGACACATTGAACGATGCTGGTCGACAATTGATTGAAACCGATCGAGGTTCACTTGAAGCGTCAACAACACAAGAAAAGTTGAAAACTCTCAACAAACAGTGGCGTGATTTGCTCCAAAAAGCTGCTGACCGTCAACATGAATTGGAAGTTTCCTTACGTGAAGCTCAAAGCTTTACAGCTGAAGTTCAAGATATGCTTGGATGGTTGGGAGATGTTGATAGTGTCATTGGTGCAAGTAAACCAGTTGGTGGACTTCCTGAAACTGCTTCCGAACAACTTGAACGTTTCATGGAAGTTTTCAATGAATTAGAAGAAAATCGATCTAAAGTTGAGTCACTTTTAGCACAAGGTGGTGACTACATCAAACGTCAGAATCAATTGAATGTCACATCAAGCAATCTTCAACATACATGCCGAACACTCAAACAAAGATGGGAAACTGTTTTGTCAAGAGCCAACGATAAGAAAATTAAACTTGAAATTGCTTTGAAGGAAGCAACAGAATTCCATGATTCACTTCAAGCATTCGTTGAATGGTTGACAATTGCTGAAAAGCAATTGACAACTGCATCGCCAGTTTCTCGTGTTCTTGAGACAATTCAACATCAAATGGAGGAACATAAAACATTGCAGAAAGACGTTTCAATTCATCGCGAAGCAATGCTTTTGTTAGACAAGAAGGGAACACATTTGAAGTACTTCAGTCAGAAGCAAGACGTCATTTTGATCAAGAATTTGTTGGTGTCAGTTCAACATCGTTGGGAACGTGTCGTTGCTAAAGTCACTGAACGAACAAGAGCATTAGATCATGGGTACAAAGAAGCTCGTGAATTCCATGACAGCTGGACTCAACTCACAACATGGTTGAAAGAAATTGAACAATCACTTGATGCCGTCGAGAAGGAAACTGCTGGAACAAACGATCCAATTAAGATTAAGAAGCATTTGGAGAAGATCCGAGAAACTCAACGTGCATTGTCTTCGAAACAAGGACTTTATGATCAAACAATGAGAACTGGCCGTGGCTTAATTGATCGTGCACCGAAATCAGATGAAAACACGCTCGTTAAAATGTTGAATGAATTGAAGGAAAGTTGGACGAGGGTTTGCTCAAAGAGTGTCGATCGTCAACGCAAGTTGGAAGAAGCTTTGCTGTTGTCTGGTCAATTCTCTGAAGCACTTCAAGCTCTTCTTGAATGGTTAAGAAAAACGAAAAATCATTTGTCGGATGATGGACCGGTTCATGGTGACTTAGATACAGTGACTGCACTTATGGAACAACATAAACAACTTGAATCTGATCTTGAAAAGAGATCTGCTCAAATGAATCAAGTGTTGAAGACTGGAAAAGATTTGGAGAAGTCTGACGAGACACGTGAAACGTCAAAGAATCTCAAAGAAGTTCAAAAACTTTGGGAAGATGTGCATTCATTAGCAAGTCGCAAGAAACAACGATTGACAGATGCTCAACGTGAAGCTGAAAAACTTCATAAACATGTGCACATGTTGCTTGAATGGTTGTCAGAAGCTGAACAAAAATTGAAATATGCAGCTGCCTTGCCTGAAGATGAAATTGCCACACAACAGCTCATTGACATTCATTCCAAATTCACACGTGAATTGCGCGAGAAAGAACGCGACAAGGATGAAACTTTGAGAATTGCAAATTCAATTTTGCAGAAAGCACATCCCGACGCCATTCCCATTATCAAGAATTGGATTTCAATAATTCAGTCGAGATGGGAGGAAATCTCCCAATGGTCTTTGTCAAGAGAAAACAAACTTAAAACTCATTTGCAATCATTGAAAGATTTGGAGAATTCCATGGAAGAACTTCTTAAATGGTTAATGGGGTTGGAATCGACATTGCTAACGCTTGAAACTGAAGAATTACCTGATGACATTCCAGCTGTCGTTGAACTTATCAACGACCATAAAGAGTTCATGGAGAACACTGCCAGACGAACAGCAGAAATCGATCGCGCTTGTAAACCAAAAGCACCAGTTGCACCGGTTAAAGACCATAGAAAGCCTTCTCGCGCATCTGTCTTGAGAACACCAATGTAAGTACTCGGAATGGAGATTTATAGCATGAATTTTTTATGTGGACATCAAAATTGTGTTTTTGTTTTTCTCTTTTGAAGCAAAAACAAAAGAAAAATCATTTGGCACTTACTTAGAATGCATGCATTTGCATATCGTTAATGTTTTTTTATGCTACTAAGCGAAAAAGAAATGTCAACGACTTTCAGAAAAGTGAACATTGGCAATTTTATGGTTTCTGTTAATGCGAAAATAAAAAGCATACAATTTAAGGGGAAGAAATTTCAAAAGACATTGAGGGGAAAATCGGTTCAATAATTTTTGAACCGTTTAACAATGTTTTAATTAATCCGAACATGAATTGCTAATTTTCATCTTTTCTTTCTTTCTTCTGTTTACATTTTTCTTAACTTTATTTTTGTTTCATTTTCGTTTGTGTTTTGCGTGTCAAACTAACGAATCACGCCATAAAATGCACGAATACACATAAAATTATGATCCTTGAAAAAAATGACAGACGAGGATCGAATCAAGATTTACGTGAATCATCACCAGACCGCAGCACGTTGGGTCGCAAGCAAAGGTTTGTGTTTATGCACGATTTTCATTGAACTTTATTATTTTCGGTGAATTGTTCATGAGCTGAAAAGGCTACAATTAAAAATAATCCAAAGGAAAACATCAAGAGATTAAATCATTTACGAGTGAACAGTTCACCTTTCAATGCTAAATGCACAAAGTTTTAATGAGTTTTTATGTTTTGTGATTCATTTAGTATTCTTTTCATTAAATATTGACATTTTTTTCCGTTCTCTTTTTTTCCATTACTCTTTTTTTGTGTCACTTCATCATCACATAATTTCGAACGCCACCCACGCACAATGCACAATACACGTACTTTTTTATGTTATGTCATTGTTTCATTATGTGTCGCTACTCATCATGGTGTCGAAAATGTTTACATAACTGAACTTTATTTCATCTTAATACGCGTACTCTCTGTAGCTTTAAAGGCTCAAAGGATGCTGGCCTAAATCAGAGACGCACAAGGTACATAATTTCTGACTCGTTTTATGTTTGTTTATTTGTTTATTTGTCATCTAAAAATAAATCAAGCTTTGCTTGAATTTGGTGATGGATGTTTATGTTGTTCAATGTCAATTGAATTGTTGTAGGAAAAGAATTAAACTTTTTTTTTCTGTTTATTTATTTTACATTTCGTTTCATTTTCTTTAAATTATATTTTGATTATTGTCTGATGTGCATCCGATACTTGCCTGCTTAAACACTGTTTTATGACCATAAAAAAACTCTTGTGTCTTGCTCCATTCTTCCTCAACCGTCATGTGAATATTCATTCAACAGCCGCATTAGTCCGATGCGTGATGGTCAAACACCAGAACGTGATCGTCTTCCACATTACGGACCGAGATTCTCGGACAGGTAACGACTAGTCTTACAAATTTAGTTGCTCATTTTTCTCGCCATTTAGCTCTTTATGTTTTTTTCCTTATGGGATTTTATTATTTTCTTTTCTTATGTAAATTTGCTTTATGTGCGCTACAATAATAACGAGAATGAATGTTTCAAACATATAATTTCATTATATTTTCTTTTCATTCTAACAGCAATGCTCCCGAGCCAGAAATGCGTTCACCAAGAGCGAAGCTTCTTTGGGATAAATGGCGTCATGTGTGGATGTTAACATGGGATCGTCAAAAGAGATTACACGATCATCTCATGTACCTCCAAGAATTGGAGCGTGTTAGACAATTCAGTTGGGATGACTGGCGCAAGAGGGTAAGTTTATAAAAGTTTTCATTTAATTGCCAATTATTCCGTTCGTCTGAGCTTTTTAAAATCTCACATGTGAAAATGTATGCAATTAATTTACATAACATATCTGCTTTCATCTCATCCACCCACAAGTGAAATGAACATGAAAGTGCCATTTTTATTCATGTTAATCGTTTATCGTTATGCGCATCAATGGCTGATGCTTCAGGCGGAAATTTATGCAATGAAAGCATTTTTTTTTCATCATCCACCCTTACATTTTATGCAATTAACATTTCAAGTACGTTTCGCAATTTCGCTGATTCATGAAAATTTTCTTTTTTCTTTGCTCCCTTTTCAAACACTCGTGCAGTTCTTGAAATTCATGAATCATAAGAAATCACGCCTCACGGACTTGTTCCGTAAGATGGATAAGAACAATGATGGATTAATCCCCCGCGATATTTTCATCGATGGAATCATTAACACGAGTAAGTTTAAATTCATCTTGAAAACAGTGAACATTTTTTTTCTCAACTGTAAAATTTAATTCATGATGTTTAGAATTCGACACATCTCGAATGGAAATGGGAGCTGTTGCAGATCTTTTCGATCGTAATGGTGAAGGTTTAATCGATTGGCAAGAGTTTATAGCAGCATTGAGACCCGATTGGCAAGAACGAAAACCAGCAACCGATGCTGATAAGATTCACGATGAGGTGAAACGTCTGGTAATGTTGTGCACATGTAGACAAAAGTTCAGAGTCTTCCAAGTCGGCGAAGGAAAATACAGAGTAAGTTATATGAATGTTAATTAAATATATCCATGAACAAAATTAATTTTCCGTCTGAATCTCAATTTAGTTTGGCGACAGTCAAAAGCTTCGTCTTGTTCGTATTCTAAGAAGCACAGTGATGGTTCGTGTTGGAGGCGGTTGGGTTGCTCTCGATGAATTCCTTATCAAAAATGATCCTTGCAGAGGTGAGTACATTCATCCACTCATTGAAATATCAACAAAAGACAACATTTTGATTCAAAGAAATGTATTAAAAGATGCCAAGAAAAAAAATAAAATTTTTAACACATTTTTTAAGCCCAGAAAAAAACAACATTAAAGAAGGAAAATGGTCATTTAACTCGAAAGATAAAAAGGAAACAAAATAAATGTGGATGGATCTACAGAATAAAAAGAAAACTAATCCACGCTAATTTGATTCAGTTTATTAACAAACTTAACGCCCTCTCGTCAAAGCTTTTTAAACAGAAAATAACTGAAAGGATTATTCCAAGATACGAAATTAAACTAAAACAAATTAATGCTAATCAATCCCTTTACATCTTCTATTAAAAAGCTTGCTAATTAATTATCTCAAAAATTTGACTAATCTGAGAATTTTTGTTTTCTCTTTTTTTTATTTACGATCTGGAAAATAATTTGCCTGCTCCCCTGCGAAACAAAAAATATGAACAAAAATTAAACAAACACACACACACACGCACACAAATTAAAATTCATTACATTGCGCTAACTGTTACTTGTGATATTAACCCTCGATTATTGGCTATTTGCAACACAACACTCCGGATTCAACATGAAAAATTTATCAACCAATTTACCGCAAATAATTTCGACATAATTTTTCGATTAATTTTAATTTGATTCTTGCTTTTTTTCCTGTTTCGTTCTGTTCTGTTTATTGATTCATGATTTCTTGTAAATCATTTTCACCATTTCGACAATCTCACTCCATTTCCTCACACATTGTGTGTGACTAAAATTGTATCGTGGTTCATCCACCCACACATTAAATTATGTTGAATGATTTCACATGATTTTTCAATTAATTATTGTTTAATCCTTCTGCACCTTTTTGTTTGCTTCAAACTGTGTAGTTGCATTGGTGCTTCCATTACCAGATCCGGGAGTTCCTGAACAGCACGAAAAATGCTGCGTTTTATGTAAGAAACTTCCCGAATGGAAATTCAATTCAATGCAACATCTCAGATGTAGATTGCATCATTATTATAAGCCCAAAGCTGATTGCATCTTACTCAATCGTCGAGAATGAATGAACTGAATTCGCTGCGAGAATTTAAAAACTTTCATCTTAGACATTTTTAATTTTAGAGATGAAAATAGAATTTTAACTTTGAATGAAACGCTTTGATTTCGAAGAAAAGCTTAACATGTAGAGAAGAAGAAGAAAAATTGAATTTCCAATTCCAGAAAGCTGTCGATACAGTCACAAATTGAGATGTCGTGGCAAGAGCTTTAGCTGGTTCACTTGATATATTAAAAAAGAAATTTCAAGATCTTACGAAGCTTAAAGAAACTTCAAGTGAAGCCAAAATGATTTTCTTTCTTATTGTTATAAATATCTTGAAATAAAATTCGCTGACATTTCACGAACCAAATCTAAAAGTCGATTAGATAATAAAAAAGATAAAAGACAAAGTTAAAGAACTAAAGAATTCAAAATGTTCTTTAAAGAATTATCGACGATAATATTTTACATGAATTGAATGCAAATAATAATGATTCAAATTCTACGCCTGAGACTGAACTATAAATGCTTACCACGTTTTTAATTTAGTTTAGTCTTCGTGTTCTGTTCTTTTCCTGTCCTGAAAAAACTTCATTTTTCTTTCCTGTTTTCTTAAGATTTACAAAGTTTGCATTGCAACAGTATATTGATGTTTTTTTGAAATTGAATTTTCTTTCTATTTTCCTCTTGTTTGACTTCTTTCACAATACTTTTATTGGATATCCTTGTACAAGATATTCAAGCTTGATATTTGATGTTAAGAGAAAACTCCCATAAATATCCGATTACGTTTGAAAGGAAAAGAGTTGATTAAAGCATAAAAAAGAGACTTTCCTCCGCCTTATAACTGTTTATTGTTGACTTGTGGTGTTGGTTGTGCAATCTCATATCAAATCCCAAAAATATGTCTTTTCCACTTTCTTATTTACTATATTCGGCAGTAGCCGTTCCATGCCTTGTTTCCGGAGAGAAAAAAAGGAAAGAAAGAAAGCCTCATGAATGTTTGATAAACATTTAACAGTATTCGGTTATTATGCAATATCAAATATTCATTTCGCTTACTGAATGTTTAATTTAAAGATCGTTTGAGTGTTTTTTGTTGTGTATTGATGGTAAAGTATGTAGAAATTTGTGGTATCAACAGAATTTAAATTATTTTCGTGGTTGCACAGGTGAGGAATTAACCTCGTTTTAATTGATGTTTGTTATTTATGCGTCAATTAATTTTCATGTTGCATGCTTTTTTTTATTATTAATGTAGATAATTACTAACTTTATGCACATTTTTAATATGGAAATCCTTATGGTAGATGTGAAATTTATTTTTGGCATTTTTTAGTTTTGTTAGAAATGTTTTTATATTTTTTTGTACACAGATTTGTCGCTTTTTATCAATGTAAATTTGTGATGGTAATCGTTAATTAGATAAATGTCAAAACTTGAAACTATTCGAATAGTAATGCTGAATTAAATTGTACGCGTTTTTAATTAACGATCACCATAAGTGCAGTTTTTCCATCAAAACATTAAATTGTGAAATGCATTTTCATTGGGAAAAACGAGAAAAGAAAGAGAGATGGAGAGAAAAATAACATTTAAACGTAATTCAACTCAATTTAAAGCTTTTCCATGCACAAACTGAAAGAGTTCTGATTGGAATGAACGAAGTTGAGATTGCGAAAAATTTTCAATTCAACACTTGAAATGTGATTTTTATTCTCCCATTTTTTTCCCTAGATCTACCCATTGCAATCATATTGTGTGGGTGGAAAATGTAGGAAAAAGAGAAAAACAGAACTAAATCCGTTCTCATATTCATGGAGCCAGAATTTCTATCGATAAATATGTTACGCAATTACTCGAACTGCATTTTAACGACAAAAATATTGCGATTTCAAATGTTGATTTCATTTTCATTTTCTGTGATAGTTTATTTAGATTTGTGCTTCTTGTTTTGCTATAGGAGTTGATTGAAATATTTTATTTCATTTAGTGATGTTTAAGTCACATTAATTAAACTTTTTTCCCCACTACACAATTTCCTTCCTTTTCAATAATTTCTTTCCTTCTTCTTTTTTCTTAAACTTATTGAAAATGCGAGTCGAGTGTGTCAACTCGACCCTTCACAATTTAATTATTTGGATTTTTTTAACTCTTTCAACGAGTTGGCAAAAAGAAAAGACATTCACATATACACAAATATCAAAACCTTCTTCTTTCCACTTCCACATTATCATTACATTATCCACAAAAATCACTGTTTGCCAACTTGAAAAGTTTTATTTGACTTTATTTCTTATATGTTTTTGTTGTGGATTAATTTTAACGTGCGGCTTTTAATTGTGATGATAATTGCAAAAATAAATAGCCAAGGGACGCACCAACATTGAATTGCGCGAACAGTTCATCCTTGCCGATGGAGTGTCACAAAGTATGACAGCATTCAGACCACGTGTGTCATTAACAACACAATCGCCAAGTGGATCGCCAATTCCAACTCAAGGTCCAATAATCAAGGTAAATTCTTTTTCCTCTTCTCAGTCAAATATATATCCACGACAAATCATCATTACATTAAATAGATAATTTAAGATATCGATTTATTTAGAATGTAGAAAGTTTTTAAATTTTATTTATCGGGAGGGTAATTTGAACAAAAATATGTTTTTATTTTTTGTATAAAATGGAATCTTCTCAGTCTATAATGGTTTGTGTCTTCACGCGTTATATTTTATCTCTTGTGGCAATGGAAGAAAAAAAACGAATTTATTTGAAAAGTTTTACATCCAAGATGGAAAACTTTCATATTGAAACTTTTCCAAAGTTTTTCATTATTTTGGATGTAAATCTTTGAACTTTTTTTTTCACGGGTTTAGATCGGTTTTTCTTTAAAATGAATAAAGGAAGGAAGGTAGGTCGGTTTGTTGGTTGAATTCACCACACGAACATACATGCAATGCATTAGAATTTTTCCTTCTCTTTTTTTATGCATCACATATCTTTGTTGAATATTTATATTAGTCTTGCACCAAACATATAAACATCTACCACAACCACCCGCTTCGAAAAAGGCAGATGCGGATGGAAAAAGAAAAGCAGCGCTTTTTCTATGGTGAAAATTTACTTTTTCCTATTTGTCATGGAATATTCATTTCGTTTTATTGTTTTGCTTTTTGGTTTATGCATGTTTTGTGCAATAATTTTTCATTTAGTTATGTATTCATTGTTTCGTTGGCTTTTTTTTGTGTCGCTTGCCGCTTGTCACTGTAGCAAAGTAAGTAAGAAGAAAGTAATGTTGCAGATTTTTGTGGTCTCAAATGAAAAGCTTTTGTACCGTGTTAATAGATAAATAACGGTTGTGAAAGAATGCGAAAAATCTCTAAAACCATCCCCAAGGCGGATTAAAATCTTATCTTTGAGAGTGACATTTGATAACAAATGACCTTCAATGTCATAGACATTGCGTAAACTTTTATTAAGTTTTCCTCTCCTTTTGCTTTTGCTTTTGTGTCGCTCCATCCCCGCCGTTCGTCCATTTTCGTTTCTCATGTTGAAATTAATCAAAAGAGAAGGGAAAAGTTTCCGGATGGAAATCCATCAAGAGCGAGATGAAAAAGTTTGTTAATAAAGCGATTCGGTCGTTGTTTTCTCGATTAAATGATCCATCTTTTCAAGGGCCTCAAATGTTTTCTTATTTATTTCATTGTTTAAACAAGAATTTTTCAATCTTTATTCGATTTAAAACGCCATGCCCTTAAAATCGAAATTTGCAGCTGAAGAACATCTTGCTGAGTTGATGCCAATTTTTGAACAATTGCGAGCACAAGGTGACTTACCTTGCACCTATCCACTTCACGTTTCATCGTTTGGCACTGCATTTATACGAGGCGGTAGTCGATCGACACCGTTAAGTCCACATGCACCACATTGCCATCCTTCGACGCATTGGGTAAGTTAACCGTAGAATGATTTGCCTCGAAACTGCTGGAAGATTATTCAACACTCGAGAGAACGTTTTTTTCGTTTTTGATTAAAAATCTTCATGATGCGAAATAAATGAAAAGAACTTCATGATGAAAATCCATCAACTTAACGGACACGAACCATTTTTTTTAATCAGTTTTTCTTTGGGGAAACTTTGCTATTTATTTAATTTTTTTTATCAAACGTTTTGCTTTAAAAAATACTTTCAACTTCAACGAACTGTCATTGAAGATGACGACGAAGACGATGGTGTGAAAAAGAAAAGTTTCAGAGAATGAATTCGCTCTGATAAGCTTTTCGTCTTCGTGTTTAAATTCTTCGACATCAACAACGGCAGTTCACTTCTCATCTCATCTCTCAGTATGAAATTTTCATGTTTTTTAATTAAAATCATTTTTTCTTTCCTTTTCCACCTTCAACTCGTCACTTTATACTCATCGCATCTAAACCATTAAAACGGTTGAAATGTCAGGTACGTGAACGTTCATCGAGATCTATCGCAATGTCACGTCCATCACGATCCTCGTTGTCCGCATCAACACCAGATTCGTTGAGTGATAATGAGAGCAGCATGGGACGTGGATACACGCCGAGAAAATCTTCGGCTGGAGTGAGGTAAGATTATCCTTCTGCCCCTCCCTCTTCACATCCTTTCAAGGCTCTTCAATGGAATCACGTCGTTTAATGCGATTAAATTTTTTTCCTTTCACTTTGTATTTATTCAGAACTGGGTTGACACCTGGAGGCTCTCGAGGTAACTCCAAGCCGAATTCCAGACCGTTGAGTGCTAGTGGCTCCAGGCACGGATCAAATTTGTCGCTTAACAGCAATGGTGATTTCTTTTTTTAATACACGAGAATATTTGAAAGGAAATTCAATTTTTTTTTGTTCTCATCAGATGACGGAACACAAACACGCATTCCACAACGTCGTGTGACAACATCAACGACACCCTCAAGACCATCACGACTTTCTGTCGGATCAGCAACGAAAACGAATGGCTCAACGCGAACTCCATCCGGTTCAGCTAGTCCAGCACCCACAAGGTAAATAAATAAAAGACAAAAATATTTAAATTTAAAAAGAAAAACTAAAAACAAAAAAATTCTCTCACGAAAATTCATGTAATCCAAATTAACTAAATTAACAATGCTAATTCTCATTTAAAATCCATAAACGAACGACGCTAACAAAAAGGAATGGCAATGGGATGAGTCGAGCATCGAGCATACCAACACTCACCGGATTACCAACGCCAAGGTAAAGAAGAAAATTTTCTCACCCAACTAAAAATCATTTGCAAGTTGCAAGAAATTAAAACTATTTAAGTAACATTAAAACAAGACTTTAAGATTATCCAGATAAAAATCAGCATCGCACAACGCGATATCATTGAAAGCTTTTAGGGTCGTGAGAGTTTATTGGCATGTCGTCGACTTCTTATTCTCATTCTGATCCCAAGTAATCTCTCATCGTTATTTTATTTTCTTTTCTTCAGATTTTTCTTGAAACAGCGATGTAAATTGACTCCTTTTTGGTCAAATTGACATGTTAATTGACGTCAATATCGAGTTTTTCCAAATAAAATTTTCTCATAATTTTCCGTCATTTACTTAGTTATGTTATTTGACACTGATAACATAGAACATTAAATATCCCTGACATTTAACGCTTTCGTAGTGAGTGCTAAAACATAAAAAGAAGAAAAACGAAAGTTTTTCGTTTCAAAGACAAGATTTCTCCATCAACTCATTGATAGATTGGAATTTATTCAGAGAGTTGAACTAGTTCGATGGTTGCTGATTTTACTGTTCAACTAGTTCTCATTTCTGAATAAAATTTTCTTTTCATACATCAATTTTATTAATTATGTATTTATCAATATTTCTTTTTGCGTTCTTATAATTTGAAAGCCGGCCACCTTCTCGGATTCCCATTCGACAGCTTTCGAATCTTTCGAATTCATCATCAGCAGCTGGGTAAAGAATTGAACAACGAATTTAATTATCTCGTTTGTATTTTGCTTTAGATTGTGTCACTGACAAGGTTTTACATGTCTTTAGATAAAGTTTCGTTTATTCATAATCACAACAACACAAACTATCATGCTTACAATGAAATTTTGTTTTGATTTGCTTTTGTCACTATTGCAGTGCATCATCATGGTGTGATGATTATTTGCCAGCTCTTTTCTATTATTACTGTCGCCAAGATTTATTCATTGTTACCATTCAATAATAAGAAAGAACTTTTTCCATTCATTTTATTTCAATTCATTGCCTTTTTATTCTGTTGCCAACTTTTACAAAGCTAAGAAAAGCTTCTCATGCAGCCTAAAACTTTTTATTTCTTCTTTTTCTATTCAACGATTCATTCAACGTAGGCGTTAAAAAAAGATTTTTTTTTTCTCTCTCTGAAAAGACAACAAACAATTGGTTCTGGACTTTATCATCCATTTATCATCTTCTTTTGCTTTTCTTTTCATTTGCGACAACATACAATGCCATTCGGAAACACAATAACTGGAAAAGCATTTCATGTTGTCGTTGTTCGTGTTTCGACTGCACTTTATCCTTTTCATTAGTGTAGAAACAAGAAAAACGGAAATTCAATTGAAAATATTTTCCTTTTCTCTTTTGCTTCAAACATACGAACTCTCTCTTTTCAATTATCGAATTGCATTTTCATTTCATTTCATCCAAAGAAAGCAAAGAAAAAGAAAGAAAAGTTTCATTGGTTGAATTGAAAATTGAAGTAAAATAAAATTAATTTTTGACTTTCTTCCATTGTTCATGGAAAGTTTATTTCATCGTTATCGTTCTTCATTCAATTCCACCTACACACTGCACACATAAGCAATACGATTATTATGACAATGAAAAATCAATTTTTTACGTCCTTAGAGTTTTTCTTTGTGTTTTTTCGTTCCATTTGTGCACATATTTTGCTGCATTTCCACTCGAATGATAAAAAAATATGTTCAACTTATCTTGCTTTTCTGTCCAGGATCAATTTTTATGTTTTTCATCAATTCAATTTTTAGATCTGCTTGTTTATTTGTACTTCTTTTGCTTTTTTTTCACTTTTTTGTTTTGCTGAGAGTGGAGAAAAACAAACTTCAGTTTATGCTTTCAAATTTCTAATATTTGTTTTTGTTCTTTGAACTTTTCTTCAACAGACGTAACTTGAGTGGATCGAGCACACCGTCAGGCATGCAGACGCCAAGAAAAGGAAGTGTTGAGCCACAATCACGATCATCACGCGGAACCACTCCGCTAGATAGACGCGAACCATTTAAATTCTAAATTATCGAATATTTTCTCCACCCCCGCAATTTATAAGATGTTGAATGATGGAAATCTTCTAAGAGAATTAAACCAGACAGGTGTCTGGGGACCATTTAATTCTGACTTGGGACATCATCATCGTCAGACATCACAAGCAAACGAGACAAACGGGAAATTGGAGTCAACAGAAATAAAATGTCGACGATCGAAAAAGAAAAAAAATAAATTATATGTCTTGATAATTTCTTTTTTAATTTAAGTGTCAAATGTTTCATTTTTTTCCCTCCACATAGAGGGAGAGAGAGAAACAGACAAAATCGCAATCAACATTAATTCACATCAACAATATTTTTTTGTACTAAAAGCTTTTCCAAACAACACATCAACAACAACAACAACCAGAGAAAATAGAAATCTTATAGTTAAGATAAATGGGACGAGAACTAATAAACAAGACTAATAGGGGACATACCGACTAGCCTCGGTAACAGAGACGTCACTAAATCATTAGGCGTTTTCTTTAAAAAATGTTGTCTTAACAAATCAAATTTTTCAATGAAACTAATCGAGGAGAAATTCTTGCAATAATCTTTTATTACATTTTTTTTTAAATTTAAATATAATTACCTTAAATATGAATAGAAATGTTTTTTTTTTCCATTTAAATATTTCTTACAAAATGAGAAGAACTTAGTCGCTAAAATTAAATTACTCTTACAGCAAAATATATTAGCTTCATTGAGAAAAACAAAAATATATCTACGGAAATTTTTTTAGCTTAATTAAAGAAAACATAAATATTTTCTATGCTCTAAAATTTTCTTACAATTTGTAAATTTAAAACCATCTTATTGTCTACTTTCTTCTAACTACTTAAAGAGTTTAATTGTATTAATTTATTAATGTGATAATGATAGGAAACAAAAAAAAAACATTTTCAAAAAAATATTTGAAAAACATGAAAAAAAATCTTACAATAAAAAACGATAAAAAATTAATACCAAAAAATAAAGTTTTTAGTTTTTGTTAAATTTCAGGAAACCGAAATAGAAAAAAATTAAATTCTCGTCACGATTTTACTTTTTGTTGCAACATCCTAAAGTTTCGAAGCTTTAAAGGTAAATTTCATTGAGCAACTTGTTCTTAATTCATACAAGGTATGAATGCACTAAGAAAAACACCCGGAGATGCCTGAAGCCAATTAGAACTTTGAGCTATGTATACAAATAAAGTTTCTGGTTAGTTACAAAGTTCAAGAAAGTGTTATGAATAATGAATAATACTTATTCAATAGAGAGATCGCTGATTAGATTCACCTCAACAGAAAATCGATTTAAAATTTTTCTTTTAACTTTCTCATTTCTTTAAGCCATTAAAAATGATTGGAAAGCAGAGCTTGTCGTTAAAGTGTAAAGAAGCAGATTTTCAACTAATAACAAAGTTAAAAGTTTTCCAAAGTTAATAGCTAATTCAATTAACATTCAACATTGGTTGTCAGAAAACTTTCATATATTGAAAATCAATTTCCTCCTAACAAAGAAGATATTTCACCTTGCAACTTTTATTTTCATTTAATTTCTCATCTATCACTTTCTTACTTACTTTTTTCTTTGATTCTTGGTCATCATTCTTCTCATGCTCGCAACTTCAATTGATTTACCGACACACTTAAGAGAAGAACGATGCTTTACTATTCTTAACAGCTTTCGAGAACTCTCCTCAAGTATTACTAACATATTCCCATGGCGCTAAGCTTCCCGGATTTATTTTCTTCGAATTTCATTCAGTCCACGTATAATGATGACAGAGAAAAGTTTTATTAGCGTGATTGGATGATTTTTATTAATTAGGATTAATTAGGTAGCTTTTGGGATATTTTCTTACTTCTTAGAAATGCTTGCGTGATCAAATATAAATATCCACTAACGCTAAACAAATTGCAAATTTCAGATACATATTTAATACCAGAAAATTTCTTTTCGTGTTTCATAAGAAAGAAATAAATATGGGATAATGAACTTCGTAGTGGGGTAACTTGAAAAGCGATTAAGTAGCGACTCTGCGAAGTTGGTGTGAGATTGATTATGGATTCTAAATCAGTCTTGGAGGTGTATAATGGCCCTAGTCAGAGTGATTAATTGAGTGTTTGTGGGTGGGAATTTTAATTGTTCTTCTGTGGAAATGAATGGAGCAAAAAAAATAATTGCTTTTTAATGAATGAGATAAAAAGAAATTTAAATTGACCACAGAAAGCTTTTTGTTAAAGGTGAACAACATAGAAAAATCCAGGGAAAGTTATCTCAGCTATGAGAAGAATTTTCCAACCACATTTACTCACAATTTTTTGTTTCCCACTCGCCAGCCAGTTGAATGAAACATGAAATAAACAAGAAAATTTCTCTCAGTTTAAAATTTTCTTTAATCTTCATCGAGGAGGTTTAAATTAAGACAAACACAAAGATCACATACGAGTCGCGATCTCATCTCTCTTTCGTCTGCTAAATATCATTTTCAAAAAAGTTTTTAGTTCATTCCGGTTCGCATAAAGGCGTTTGCCGTTTTTCACATTATTCTTGATCTGAAAATTGAAAACAAAATTTTTCTCAATTGTTCGGTAAATTTGTAATCTATTTCCTCTTCACAGAAGGAATTTATGTACATTGTTCCTAGTGACAGTTGAAATCGAGTGGAATTTTTCTGTCAAATGTGATCAATTGTTATTTTAATTTTTTTTCCTTCTATTATTCGTGAAATTGGAAAAAATATATTTTGTGAGAAAGAAATGAGTTTTATTTTCTTTTGTGTCATTGTGTTCGTGATGAAAATTTTTTTCCGGCTTCAACATATTTATTAAGAGAGTGAGAGCAAAAGCCACAAATGCAGCTCGCTGTTGTCATTGTATAAGTTGCTGTACAAATATTTTCTTGCTTTCTCTTCAGCTCTCACAAATTTTAATATTTACATTGCACCACATGTTGCCAATGATCAATCAGAATTTTCCGTCATTGAAGCTTCTAATCATATCGAAATGTAGGAAGGGAAATTAATTTTCATGAAATTATTGTTTACATTTTAGAAAAACCAAACTATTTTGTCTGTAGTTTACATTTTCATATTATAAATTCCATGTCGTTTAATTAAAAACTTTAAAATATTTTATGAACAATAAATTCAAAGGAATTCTATGACTATGATGCAAAAATTAATTAATACAAAGAATTGTAGAATATTTTACATCACATGTAAACCATAAGCTGTGTTTGAAACATGCTTTTTTATTCCACAAACATATTTCCACAAACATATTTTACATTGCTAATTAGTCGACTAGTCTTCTGATTTATTCACATGCTTCATTTATTATTTTCATGTTGATTTGTGTTGGAAATAAACCAAAATTGGCAGGAATGAGACCCGCAGTTACAGAAATAAATGTTAATTAACTCACTGAAAGGTCAGAGAAATATTTTGTTACATAAATGTCACGATGAATTAATTTTCTTGTTACTTTCGTGACATTCAGGTAGAAGAGTTTGTAAGCAGTGTTCAAAGTCTTTAACTAGGTCATCCATGAGCGATATTAAAATCATCTGCATCAAGAAATTAAACCATAAAATTCTTACGACCAAGTACTGGATACTCCTACTTTAATTAAAGAAAGCGAATTTTTTATAAACAAAGAAAGTTTTTCTCTTCTTTTTCAACTTTAATTAAGGATTTCATCAAAATTAATTCACTCTTTCTTTTTGTTTCTTTTTAGAAATAGAATGTCTTTGTTGTTTTATATTCATCTCGAATATTTTCAAGAAAAACTTTGTTTGTCTTCAGCAATGTAAATAATTAATAAAATCAAACATTTCTTTGAAGATTCTTTTTCTTCAGATTTACAAAGCGCGTGGGTCTGAAAATTTTTAACGAAAAATCAAAACAGTTTCAAAACGAAACTTTTCAACTCATTAGTTTATGTTATTGACAAGGAAATTATCAATTTTGCTGATGATTTGAAATAAATTTTGGTTTTAAATTCTTTGTTACGTTCAGATTTGAGATTAAAAGCTTTTGTTTGGTTTCCTGAATTAAATCAATTCAATAATGTTTACCTGGATATGACAGTGATCAAAATTTTCACTTAAGAGAGTTCAGAATGAGAAGCTAAATACATTTTGCTAAACGATTTTAGATTATCTCAAATTTAATTCAATTCAACATTTTAGAATTTTTTCATTCAAAAGGAAATCACAACATGTGTGTTCAAAAAGGTTTAAAATATTTGGGGGAGGTTTGACACTGAGTGAAAGAAGTCAAGAAAAGAAAACACAACTTTCATAATTTTTTTATTGTTTGTCATTTTTTAGCAGACATTTTTGACAATATGGTATCATCGCAAATTTTTTTATGAAACGAGAAAATGTGAAGTCAATGTGTGACAATTTGGTGAAAGTTTGAGCGAAGAGTAAACAGGAAGACATAAGAGACAGGCAGGCATAAATTGAACGTTGTTAGGAGGTTCCGCAAGCTCTTTTTATTATATTTTCTTTTACTGAGTCTTAATGCGTAAACGGAGGGCGGAACGAATTGTGAACTTTACCGCATACATATTTTCCAACATTAACTGTGAAAGAAAAATAAAATAATAAAAACAAAAACCATTTCAAACTCAAGTCACGGGAAGTGTAAGTGAAATTTAAGTGAAGAAAAATGTCAACACGTCGCTACGAGCGTGAAGAAGCCCCGCCGAGAAGTAAATGGTATGTTTCAGCATATCGGAATCAGACTGAAGACGTTTGATTTGAAAGCCTTAGCTTTTTTCTTTTCTATTTATATTATAACTGTCATCTAGAAATTCGATAGACTTCTCAATTTTCATATACATATATTGTATTATTTTTTACTGTTTCAGCATTTCTTGTCTTTGCTTCTCATGGAAAGTTTTCACAGTTATTTTCTCTCATGTCACGCTAATCGCACTCGTAGTTGCTTACAGCGTTGCGGGTGCCTTTTTATTTCAACGTCTTGAAGCTGAAAATGAGATAAGTGTGAGTAGAATTTTTGATACATTTTTGAAAGTTAAAAATTCTATTTAAATAAATAGACTTTTGGTCTTTATTGTTTTTCATTGTTATGAACTCCTTGAACGAAACAGCGATCGCAGCATAAGTTACGTAACGTAATCTATAAGTATTGATATGCTTACGTAAGCTTTTAACTTTACGTAAACCTAACGTATCACACCAAAATAGGAGCACGGCTTTATATACGCAGATTTAGCAATGACGTCATTTAAACTTGATATAAAGCTTGTGAAAACAACGGAAATTAAAGCCCCCGTAGTAAAAAAGGACGCGTTATACATGTAAATAAAGCATTTGCTTCAATTTTGATGTAATACGTTAAATTTCTTTATTTATAAAAAAGCTAACCGAGATTTGAAACGAAAGTAAGTAGTAGTGATAGGTGCGAAAAATATAAACATCATATAAAATCTTTAAATAATAAGAAGGAGAATAAGAAAAAGGTCAAAAATCTCCAATGGTGAGAAAATAAATCCAACCGTGTAATAAAACGTAAATCTTACGCTTAAGTCCTTAGCAAATTGCGATGTTTATCTTGTGTAGACGCATCCTAATTTTCCGGTTGATGAGTACCAAAAAAGTCTTTCCAAGCCCATCCATTTTCCTTCGTCAACTTCATCATCCTAATAACCTTTCATTGCTCAAGAGCTTTCGATAAAATCCAGTCAATATTGTCGCCTTTCATGTTGACAATAATTTTTCCCGTCTTTTATTCGACTTATTCTTCACATAAACGATGATTAATTAAAAAGATAAATCGAGACAATAAGAAGGAAAATTCGTTTTCGTGACAATGGGCGGAAGATTTAGTTGCGATGGACAGTAAAAATGTCCAGCTAATGGATTTCACTTTATCAGGAGAAAGATTTTCTTACAACTTAAGGTTTTAGTGGCTAATTTTCGCCTGCTCTAGATTATCAGCTACTTATGCTCCCTTGATAATCTGCACATTATTATTTCAAAAAATCGTCTGGTTAAAATGAACAAAAACAATGACGAAAGGAAAGAATTTCAGATTTCTAAGGTTAATTAAATTTCTTCAATCTGAAACTTTCCATTAAGTCAGAAACATGCTAATGAATCACAAGTTCTGTCAGCTTTTAAACTGCAAATTGAAAAATCTTTTAAATGAAATTCTTGAACATTTCATAATCATCATAACTTATAGAGAGGGACATGAAAGATTACTTTCATCAAAGTAAGAGTTCAAGTACTTTTTAAGATTTTAAGATTACATTTAAAATGATTTTAGGATTTCCAAATAAAACATTGAGGAATTTTTCTTGAATATTCAGACACCTAATCTAAGGAGTAAAGAAAATCCAATTTCCGAAGTTTTATAGAGGCAGGCTTGAGAATGAAGAAATTTCTGATAAATAACATTTTAAAGTGCTTCACATTGACCGAAAATGACTCTTTTTGAGAATTGAAAGTTTCTCAATTTCAATTATCTTCCCACCCTCAAGCAAAGTCAGCATTTCTTCTTATGTCTTATCCTTGAATCAAATCTCTCCACCCAAGCAACAAAGCCTTAGTCACTTTTTCATAATTTATGCAGAAACAATAATTAATTTATGGTCGTATCTTATCTTTCCTCTATCTTCACATTGGATTTAAATTTATTTCAATTCCGAGCCATTGAATTGAAACGAAACTGAAATAAATTGTGTTTCGTAAGGGATTTAAAACTTAGGATATAAAGGACGAAGTGTAAACGCATTTGTCGAAGAAAATGGAAGAGAAGATAATTAAATGAATTAACCTGCTTTTCCTATCTGATATTCTTGTCAAAGAGGATTCCATTAGAAACAAATTTAAGAAATTTTATCTTTGATCTATCTTTCAATGTTTTCATATTTCTTTAAGGGCTTTTCTTTTGATTTCAAAATAAATAAAACGAAAAAGGAGTTTTCCGAAAAGGTATCAGGGTGACTAGTAAATACATAAAAAATATTAATTCCGGGTTAAAATTAAAAGTTTTGCTTTTGACGAACCCAAACTCTTCGGAACTATAATTGAATCTATGAACTTTTGAAAAAGTTTAAATCATAAATAAATTCTTAAGCTAGCAGACAAGAGTTTTTCTTTTAATCGCTTTTGGGAAGTTTTTCAATGAAACAATACTTCATCTGATTTAGTAATCAAATATAATATTAAACGAATTTGAAGATTTTTTTTAAAAAATGCAGTTTTTGTGGTTTTAACTCGTCTGGAATAGTTTGAATCATTTGAACGCAAACATATTATAGTACAACTTTGCCTAAATATTAATTAATATTCTCAATATGGTAACCTAAATTACATGCTGTAGAATTATTTTAAAAGTATTAAACTATTACATTAAATTATGTGAGTTTTAAAACTTTTATTTTGAAAACAGAACAAGTAGATTTATGTGGGTAGACAAGGTACTAATATATGTTCCTTGAGAAGAACGTTTGTTGTTATTTTTACCACCCACACTCGTTTCACTCCTTTTACCGAACAATTTATTCAGAATCCCAACCAACGCCAACGATGTTCAATTAAATATTTATCCAATATTCATCCAAAACTTTTCTATCATAAAATGTTAAAGTTGCAAGTGCTGCTTTGCATTTCTTTTCTCTTATCGCTTTTAATGCTGAAGAAACAAGAAACTTAGAATTTACATAAATACATTAAATCATCTGACTTCTACCTAAAACGTGTGGAAAAATAAAAATTGCTACCTTTTGGCTCGGTTTATGTAAATTTTGAGATCTTCTTACCAACTTTTTATGTTTTCTGTTGAAAGCCAAGAAAACAATGTCTCTGGCAATTTTCGTTCATAAAGAATCAAGATGAGATATTTATTTCAATGCTCGTCTTATATTTGATATTATTAAAAAGAAGAAGAAGATGTTTCAAGTGACATTGCAATGAACATACTGTCGTCAACAACCGTATAAACTCTAATTTAATAACTTTGCAACGCTTATTTTCTATATCGCTAAGATAAACATTATTAACAGCGGAATTTAATTAAAATTATTGTTCATGTAGACATGTATGTGAACATATCCTACATGCTTAGTCTTTGTACAAAATTTTCCATAGGTGTGCTGTAACAAACGCGAAATCGTTGCGAGAAGTCCTTGAGAATGTTTAAAAAGTAAACCGCATAACATATTTCGCTAGAAATTGTTGTCTTAAATACATTTTGCTGAACGGTGAAACTGGAAATTTATGAATAACAAGAAACTTGATAATGTTAAACAAGAAAATTAATTAAGACACTGCTTGTAAACTTTTGAATTGAAAATCTTAATTGAGAATTTCTCATATTTTCTTAGGAAAGCTTTTAACGAAAAGCTTTGAAACAATTTCTCTCGAGACATTTCACGTTGTTTGCGAAAGGCTCAAACTTAAACATGTTGGTAATTGAAAAAACAAACAGATTTACGATTTTTCTTCCTCTGAACAAGATTAAAATGCTTATCTCCATGCATGGAAGTCATATGTGCTTACATCACGTCAACAAGATTCACAAACACTGCTTAAGGGAAATAGAAAAATCCAATAAAACTTAAATGATGGTAGTCACATGTGCTTAGCTTAAAGCATGTTAATGACTTAATGATTTTATGGTGTAATTAAATATATGTGTTCATGAAAATTAGTTTATAAATTTATGTCGTCACGATGTAACAGAGAAAAATAATTACAGATAATCTACTGGGTGAAAGAAATTAAATTTGAAACTTTATAGCATTTCTAAGAATTCAAGATAGCAAGGAATATTTAATGTACAGTTTATGTAAACATTTAGTTTGTCAACGAGGAGAATTTACTTCTTAATTTAAATTAGAAAGTTTGAGATACTTGCAAGTGTAAATGAAGGAATATAAATCCATCGCAGTCTGCAAACAGTTCGACATTAAATTATTTACTGAACATAGTTGAATATTATTGAGTTGCTGAGAAGGAAACGAACTCTTTACAATTCAGCCAAGAAAAGTTGGGAGATTTAAGGAAAATAGTTTAAATTTTAAACAGAATTCAATTGTGTCAAGCTTTTCATATTGGATGATTGAGGTATAAATCTTAAACTAAATACTTTAACTTTTCTGAATTTGTGGAAAATATTTTATTTCAAAGAATTTCACCTTTCTTTGTATAAATTTGCTCTGTTCTGAAATTTCTCAGAAGAGCATCAAATATTCAAACTAAATTGACGTCATTTATTAAGCTTTCTTCGTACATATTTATAAAAACTTAATCTTCTCTTATTCATTGAAGTAATAAACAAGTTTTGCATTTTTCTTCATTTCGCAATTCCTGACGGAAGTTGATTACATTCCAATTATGATTTCTCTCATTTCTTTTGATAAGCATTTCAATTTGCATTTTATTGTAAGATGGAATTGCAGAGCTAAAAGAAAAATCGATTTAAAAAAATGCTGAGATTCCCGCTAAGAAAATAGATAAAAATTTGATTATAATTGTTGAATATGAAAAGACATTCTAAAGATTTCTTTTCATAATAAATGCTTGGAATATAAGTTTCAGAATTTAATATGAACTCTGCATTAGTTTCACTACTGGGAGCGATTAAATGCCACATTAAACTTCCAACGAAGAATAAACTTACCCAGTAGATTAAATTCTATAATTCTTATCAATTATATTTTTATTTCTCTTCTAGGTGAAAGCAAAGATAGCGGGGATCAGAAAAAATGTTACGGAAAAGATATATGAACAGACATTGAGTAAAGTTTATCTGGAAAAGGAAGATTGGACTTCAGATGCAATAAAAAAGCTTCAGGTGTGAAAATTGTTTCAATTAACATTTTTCAATTTTCTTTTAATACTTAGATGTTTATTTAAAAGCTAACATATTTTACATGTATTAATGTTTCTCCACTTTGTTTTGTCGTGTAAATGAGTACAAGCGGGGGTGTAATGACTTTTAATTTCTAAGAAGGAACAAATGTGTTCAGAAAGATTTATGATTTTAGCTTGAGGAATCTCATCGTCATCTTTATGATGCTGAACATTTTCCTTCTTTCTCCGTACCTAACGGCAACGTTTTTAATTGAAATAAATTTAATAATTTGTCAGTTTACAACTTCATCACTCAGCTTCTTCATCTTAATCATATTAAAAATTAAGGTCTTGAAGCATATTTGAATTCTTCTTTCTGAGATGAAAATGTGTCATTGCAAACTGCTTCTGGTATTTAGTCAAGCTTTTATTTATGTTCTAGCAACTTACATTTTATCTTCATGTTATTGATTTTTTTTCGTTTTAAACTTCTAAGGATTTCGAGACAAGTATTTTGAAAGCAATGAAAGAAGAAGGATGGGACGGATATGAACCAGATGCAAATAAAACGCAATGGACATTCACTGGATCACTCTTTTATTCCATTATCGTCATTACAACAATTGGTGAGTCTCAGACAAGTTACAAATTTATGTTTACTGTAATATCTATTCGATTTTGTTGTCCTTTATTGAATCTTAAAATCCTTAAAATTGTATTTGATGTTCACAAAATAAATGTTGATGATTACGACTCGTGTAACGAGACAAAATAAAATAACATCGCAAATATAAAAAAGATACAATTCACTGTTGTCATTCAACGACATTGATGTTTAAGGGATCGAGAAAGAATCATCAATATTTCATGTTCAGCGTCTTTATTTGGCTGATTTTTCAACCTTTTTTGTTTGACTTGTTGAATCAAAGAATTGTCCTGGGAAAGGTATTGGACCTCCGAAATTAGGACTGTACGGTCCACCGCCAAATTGTCCAGGATAACCCTGACCAGGTCCTTGAATGAAAGGCTGTTGACCACCAAATTGTCCACCATGACCATGCGGCCCACCGGGGAATGGCTGTTGATGTCCACCAAATTGTCCACCAATTCCAGGACCGCCAATTCCATTGTGATGCCCTTCAAATCCCAACCCTCCATGAGAACCGTAGCCTATTCCACCTCCTGGATAACCTCCACCATAATAGGGTGGATATCTCTTACCATACGGTCTACCAACAATTCCCGTTGGGCCTCCAGGGCCGACCAAAATTCCATTTGATATATGATTACCAAGTCCTTTAAAAAGAAATTATGAGAAAAGTAATTAAAAGAATCCTTGTAAATACTATGAAGTAACCTCCCGGATGGTGCCCGCCTTGAAACTGGCCCGGATGAGGATAACCTTGAGCTCCAAATGGACCACCCACGCCGCCACCTAGAAATCCTCCGGCACCTGGAAAAGGTTGTTGCCCATATCCAAATGGTTGTGGAAAGTCATTTGATTGTTGAGGCCCAAATCGATTAGGTGTGTTTACTGAAGGATATCTATGAATAATTCACAATAGAAGGAAAAGGATGCAGACAACGGTTTAACAATTTAACTAAAAAACCTCAATTCGTATTAAATTGAGAAAGAAAAAAGAAAAAGAAAATGGAATGATTTTCCTTTCTTTTCTTACCGATTGTTGTTTTGTCCATTAACGTTATTGGCGTAATTCTCACCACTCGATGTAAACTCATCGGAGAATTCATCACTTAATGGTTTCGGTCGGTTGACTGCCGGGCGTTTAACTTGATACGCTTCAATTGGTCTGTAGGTGGAAAACATTTAATTTAAGAAATAAAATGAACATCTTAAAGCTTTCAATTTTTCCTTTCAAATGATTGATTTCGATGAAATGTCTTGAATGATGTTTGAATAGAGATTTGAAAAGAATTACATCTGAAAATGTTCTTCTGACTGAATAACTTTTGACTCAATATTTTCTGAATGACAAGCTTCGTACGAGTGATTCTTTTGGTTAAATTGTTGAAAATTGTGTGACAATTGTGAATGTCAATAACTCGTTGATATTCAGTTTAAAGGGGTTATCAACAATAAGAAGTTTAAATTCTAAAGTTAATCTTTTTAACAAAATTTCAGCGTGCATTAATTTAATCAGTTGTTGTTGTTATTTTGACGTCAAATCTTCATGATAAATTGTTAATGATATGCTCAAAAATAATGCCGATTTCAAACTTTTATAAACTATGCTATCAGGATAGGAAGAATTTATAAGCTTCGAAATAGAAAGATAAAAGAGAATGTATACCAAATCCAGTTTGCTAGAGATACATAAAATTAAAGAAGAAAACCTTTGACAACTCTTTTCCCAACAATCTTCTTTATTCTTGTTCTTGTTTTCCTTACTCGTAACGAAGTTTTAAGAGAAAAAGTGAAATTGAGTTTATCTTTAGAAAAGTTTTAAAGATGATTCGACGTGAATTAGGAGAAGAACGGAAAAATAATGTTTTTACTTCGAATGATTTGCATAAGAAAATACTTTGACAGCTTGTAAGTAAGCAATGTGGATTAAAAGGAAACAAATTTTAAAGTACTTAATAAATATTCAATGTTTTTCATTATCATCCCGAACAATCGAAAAGTTTTCTCAAATCATTGGAAAAAAATGCTTTCAAAATGTTTTCACCTTTCATTATCATATGACGTGGGCACTCTAATTCTCTCGGCTTTACCATCTCTGTTGCTGCTGTTTTCGTAGTAGATATCCTTTCGGTTGTCAGCCCGATTACGATCGTTGGGGGAGGTTGGCCATGACCATTTTTCTGATTCTGAATTTGCTAACGCTGCAGGCAAAATCATTGACAGTATCAGGAGAAACTCCATAGCAGAGTCTAAAATAAAAGACCAACAATCTTCATTGAGATTCACATCATGAAAAAAGCTTTCGATTCAATTCTTCTTTTTCTTCATCAAAAATTTAATTTTTGACCTGAAATTCTTGATAAACTTCTGAGACCCTTTTCTGTTCTTAAATCGATTCTGTATCAAGCACTTGAATTCTAAAAACAACATCATCATTTATATTTTACAGTCGAGATCATCAGCAACTTGAAGTGCCCAGAAAACGATAACAAAATTACAAATTCTATCGATGTTTTTGATTATTCTCCATCGTCCCCCAGAAGATTGCAGAATAATGAATGGTCCAAACAACAAAAAAAATAGTAATAATAATAATAAAAATGAACCAAAGGGCACGACATAAAAAGAAAAAGAACTTTTCGATAAAACTATAAACAACGAGGAAAAAGAACTTAACTTTCGACAAACATATTTTTATAACGACATCAGACGAGAAAGAGGAAAAATGCTGGGGAAAAGCTTCTTTTTTTTATTTTATTTAACAACAAGAGGGATAAGTGGTGAAAAAGAACTCGAAATATGGGTTACAGACCTTGGCAAAAACAAACTTTTTTTACTCTCTTTCGAGTTGCTACAGCAATCATCAACATTGATAAGAAGATTGAAATATTTCACTGACCATTTGTTTGCTGATATCTACGAAATGGAAGCTTTAATATACAAGTCAAGGTTTTTTGTTTCTCGAAGACGAGAAATGAAACATTTTTTCATCTCTCATAAATCATAAGCTCAGCTTTAACAGCTCATGAGATTCAGTAATTTATACTAAAGCTCTGCCGCAAACAAGAAATCCATTCGAATCTTTTCCCAGTCAACTTTTGAAGCTTAACGCTTAATTTAAATTAAGGGAAAGATTAAAATTGATTTTGTTTTTCAACTCAGTGATGAATGGGATGAACTCAATTGGTATCGAGATTGTGAACATATTTATGAATGAGATGTGAAATAAAGTATTAGAAGCAAGGAAGAAAAATAATGGAATTAAATTCTAAAGTACACAGATAACTAATCTCTGCTAGAAAAATCCCTGTTAAGTGTAAATTGAAATAGAATATCCAATGTGTAAGCAAAAGAAAGTTTCGGTGCTTAATAATTTAATTTGGGTTGGAAAAGGAATTAAAAAGTTAATAAGCTGAGTCATTTCATGTTACTTTCGAGTCGTGAATGAAATGAGATTGAAATTTACATCTGTGAATTATGTCACAACAGGCAGAATGAAAATCTCTGATTTACTTTAACAAAAACTGAAAAATAATAACAGGAAATCAAATATCTTTGGGGCTCATGACTCCCGTCATGACAGATGCAACGCAGCACAATTCTCATTTGCAAACAACGCAATTGAATTGAACAGAAAAATTCTAATTTTGTAAATTAAACGACTTTTATCATGTCTTGGGTAAAGAAGAAATTTTCTCTTTTCTTCTTTCTTCTATTTAGAAAATATTTTCTCGACTAGGTACTTTAAAAATTCATAAGTCCCGTCAGACGTCGCCCAAATGATCTTTTATTTTATGAGAAGGACATTTGTTTAATTAAAAAACTTTATTGCTGCTTCACAAAACCCCATCATAAAATGAATGTCGCGAGATGGATGGTTGACTTCAGCAGTTTTCAATATTTAAACTTAATTTAACGAGAAGCCATCGCCTTACGCTTCAGAAATTTTGGACAGTTATTTATATCATGTTACGGAATCTGTATCTTCTCTTATTTCTGCATTGACTTTGACGGTCAGAAACGAGGCTATAGCCGTGAATTTATGTCATAAACTCAACAAACGAGATGTTAATCAAAATTTAATTACATCCTGGAAAACTTCTTCCGAAAAAGATGAACTCGACTAATTGGATAAATTCAAGTAAATTTCTTTTTTTCTTCGGTGACAAATTAAGGAAGTACACTCAGCCCTAAAATGATTTTAATTAGCTCCTACAACATTTATATCGTTATAAGAGTGTGAAAAATTTTAAGAGCTTCTCTCTGATGATGAGCGGTGGTGAAGGGAAAATAATTTCTTTGAAGAAAGTTCGTTAAGGTTTTTCCTTCCCTCCAATGGTTTCACTGAATTTTTAATGCTTGAGTTTTTCTTCCTTTTAAAATTATTTAATTAGGAAAATACATAAAATGGAAAATCCTTAAAAATCTCTTCTATTTTTTTACACTCATGAAAAGTTGCTTCTGATGAAATCTCTCGTCGTTTTTGTTTGTATTTTTTATTGCAAAATGTTTTGGTTTCTTTAACATGTTTGAAAACAAGAAATAATTTGAACGAGACGTAGAAAAAGTTTTCTTTCTTTTTTTTCCTCTCTGATCGAACAGAGCACAGTTTTGTTGAACAAATTGTGTAATTAAAGAGTTGCACAAAACTTTGTTATTTTCCTTAAATACTCCCGTTGTGAATTGAGATCAAATAAAAGATTTGTTTGCTGTTTTTATACTCTACAATACTTTGTTAATTTCTGTACGCCCTTAGAAATGTGAATTTTGCATGAAATTTTCATTAATAGTGTCGAATTTAAATTGGAAAATAAAGGAAGCCATTTTTAAATTGTTGAGGTTTTCTTCACTTTTAAGCTTTAATCGATTCCATTTACGATCCCCAAACCAACATCACATTCTGTGCTTGAATTTTAGAATAAATTCATTTGAATATTTTATACGAAAGTCTAACTTTCCAACGATTTTAAATAAATGCAAGCATACATATATCCATGTTCCTCTAAAAACATGTAGATCTAACACATAAATTTAATTATAAAGTAGTTTTCTTCAGAGAGAATCTAAAATTCGACAAACTTCTAATTTTATTACACAATCAACCCCTAAAAACTTCCACTCACTAATTATCATTTTTATGTTGTATGTTTAAAAACTTTTCTGTGGTTTTTAGTTGTGATGTTACCGAATGGAAATTAAATTATAAACTAAGCAAACGAACAACAGCAAAAAGCCATCGGCATCAGAATGGAGCTGTGATCTCCTACTACTTTTCATTATAACGAGAAAAAGCGCAAAATTTCGCAATATTTTATTGTTGTATACTTTTTTCGTTTTCTGCTTTTGTCAACCTTGGGGTCGTCCAAGTGAGTGAATCCATTGATATTGTTGCATGATTTTCAGAGCTGTTAAGTGTGTGAAATTCTCTTGGTCACATTGTGAGCTTGAGATTTATTTAAGATACCAAAGTTTTAAGAAGCGAAAATTTAAAAGACACGAAGAGAATGATGATTAAGATGCGACAAAAGTCAGTGTCATTGTACCATGGCTTAGTAAACATTTGAGAAGTTTCATGCAAAAGCTAAGATTTCCTTCATTTTCATTACAACGCTCCACTGACACGCAAAGTTCTTTCACTTTTGTTCCATGGGTGAGTGATTTAAATAATTAAAACGCTTTGACTTTTGCCATCTCACATTTTATTTCTTGCTATCTACTCTCTTCTCTTTACTTCAAAACAACAACAAATAACTCTAACCTGTTGTGATGTGCGTGGGAAGTGCTTTGTGTACAACGTCAAACCGCTGATGTAACCAAATGAAAGTGAGAGTAGACAATGAAATTAATTATTAAGGCAGGAAAGAATGTTTTAAAAATTATTTAAACAAAAGAACAAAACGTGCTGTCGTATATGATGAGTTGATATTGCAAAAAAAAAATCTTTTTCCACCATCTGAGCAGCGACAAGTAAAACTACATCATTAAGCAATCGCTTGGGGATTTTCCAAATTAGGAATGTCATCCGATGAATCATTTTTCTGAAACTCCATTGATTCTGGTCGTTAAACCTTTATTATTGTAGAAAATTAATTGTAAAGAATGCTTACAGACAAGTAGACAGACTAAAATGTGTTGCGTCTCTGTTATTGCTTATTCTGAATATAAATTTTGCATCAACATTGAAAACTTGGTCTTTGTTACATATTTATTTTCATATTAGTTTGATGTTGGAACGAACTGAAGAATTGTTGGAAATAATCAAGCCAAAATCAACCTTAAAATGTGAGTTTTTAAGGAGATTTTTGAAGAAACATCTTTAAGAAAACTCCCCAGATCACTATTCAGATATCCTATTTAGTTTAATTGAGATGGAAATGAAATGAATGGTTAACATCGAACTTTATTCTATTTTTTCTCTTAATTGTTATGTTAGCAAGAAGCAAGAATATTCTGTTACAATTTCGCATAAACTTTTATTTATTTACTCTGGAGAAAATTCTACAACATGATTTTCCAATTACTTAAACAAACAAAAGATCAACAATCTGAAACAATTTTTTTTTCAATGGAAATTTTAAGTAATTTTTCTTTTGTAAGGGATTCAAATGCAGATTTTTTCTTTTGAAACTTGGTAAATGCTGAGCTTGTCGTTTAGAGAGTTTGAAGTTGAAAGAAATCGCTTGAAAAGAAGTGAACTTATTCGTATCAATACTCCGCTTTCAATCTTTTCAAGCCTCAAAAAACCATCGATATAAAAGAATTTTTTTAAATGGAAAACTTTAAGAATATTGTTCGTTCCAAACCTTTATTGAGGTTTCGCCATAATTTCCCCTTCGTTTCTTTTATTTAAAATGAGGTCATGTGTAAAGAAAAGGTAATTTTTGCAATTTATTTCAAAGAATAATCTATAAAAACATTAATCGCAGCTTGAATCAGCAGTCAAATTCAATTCAAATTGGAATTTTAAAACATTTCACTTCCTGGGTGGATGCCTAGGTAGTATCAAGTTAATAAACATTGAATTGAAATTCTTTGAAAGCCTACAATTTAATCAAAATTCGCGACATCTCACTGAGTAAAGAATGAACATTCTATAAGTATTTTAAATTGGCGTTGTAAGCTTGCTTTCGAGGTGCTCATGAATTCAATTAAATATTTACCTCAAATATTTCACTTCAAAATCGCAATGCTTCATTTAAAGCTTAAGACATCCTTCAAATATTTTTAGAAATTCTGTCTTCTTTCATGCCGTGAGATTTCCTTACAAAAATATGGCAAAGCTTTATTATTCTTTGAAGTGAAAGCTTTCATCTTATAAACATTCAGGCGATTTTTTTTTTGATATTTTCTTACACTTTCACATTGGAAGCAGCTAAAATTTCAAGGTTTATTATCTGTTAATCCTTGTAAAAAGTATTTTACAACAGCAGAAGAAGAATTTATTACGTCCTCAAGGGCATAATTTCCTTTTTCTATGTCGTAAGCAAAATCTTAAAGCGAGTGGATTGTAAAAACAAAAATATATGCAAAAAGTATGCTGTTGGCCCACTTATGTATTGTATGTAACATATGCCTTGCTTGCGTGCACGTTTCTCTACAAATTTCATTTAATTTTGGGTTTCATTTTGATACTCCACACATGTGTTTATGTGCCATTAGTTGCTTCTCTTTTTCGTTCGTTTGTCCCTGTTGCTTGTATTTTTTTACAAAAACTAGGTGAAGGTCAAACGGGTAAAAATAAACCAACCCAAAATAGATTTGATGAGAATGAATTAAAATTGAAATGCGATTCATTTGTTGAGAGATGAGTTAACTTTTCGCATGAAAGATCATTGACTGAGTTCAGCTTTTACGATTCACAACTTTGCAAGGGAAACCGCTTGACGTTGTCGTTCTCTTTTTTCCAGTTCAGAGATGTGCATGATTGCTTCCTTTAAATAATGAATGCTTTTGTCATTAGATAAGTTTATAACTGTGCTTTTGTGAAATATTAACTGCAATAAGTCAGGGAAGATTACATTGGGTTGAGAGACAAAGACAACAATAATTGATGTTCAGTTGATTCGAAGTTTTTTGTAATCTTTAAGGGAAAATCTTTCTGTGGAGATGATTCTCCCTGAAGTCACAGACACCTCCGTATTGTCACTGATAAATACCATAAATAAGACTCTCTGTTAGCTACATACATATCTATGTTCTTTTCTTCCATTTTTATTCAGTCTCAGTTTTCCCTCTCAACTAGGTTGATTACATTATGTGTTAAACTTTAATGTGCTATTTACATTCTGATCCTATTAAAATGTAACATAACTTAAGGCTAAGATATCTTGTTATTTCACTTCGTTTTTTTTGGAGTCAACAGCATAAAAAAATGATTTCTACGTCTTTTGTTGTCTCCCTATGTCAGCATTTAAAAGGAATTTTATGACATGACAAAAAGAAATGTTCAGGGATTTTCAAGATTCTGTTTCGAAAGAAATAAAAAAGTTAATTTACGTTTCTTACCTTTCAGTTGTAGGTGATGATTTTGACTTGATATTCCATTTAGTATAAAACTTTTATTACAAATTTTTGTTTCACAAATTTTGATCTGAAAATTGTGTTTTGATTATGAATCGTAAATTTATGGATAATTTTCATAGAAAATGCTTTTAGCAGTTTCTTAAGATATTTAAAAACGAATAAGGCATACTGACCTAATAAAAGTTTTAGAAACTTCCTCGCTTCAATGATTTAATAAGTATAATGAAGAAGTAGAACAAAAGTCTGTTGATAGAAGCAGAAATTCCCTAAAGTTTCACCAACAAATGTTGGTTTTGGACCTAATTTAATTTTACTTTAATAAAGCTCATAAAATTTTCCGGCGACAACAATTCTTCATTCAGAAATTTTTCTCTTGAGAATTTGATGGAAAATTAAAAATTCATGTTTGGTGATGGAAAAACTTTGGTGATAATTTTCCGAGATTGTTCTTGGAGACAAATTTTCTTCTTTCGTCATAAATGTAAACTTATGGAAAATTTTATCCCTCAAGGACCCTTTTCAAAGCGTCTCAAGATGACAACAAAATTAATTTTAATCTGTAACATCTTTTGTTTTTAATTTATGTTTCAATACCGTGACATGATAAGGCCAACAACATAAATAAATATTCACTCAAATTCAATAAAAGCTTAATAAAATCTAAAAAGCAAAATTTTCATTTCCTGAGGTTTGCTTTAAAGCGTTCAACGTGCTGAAGACATTTTCTAACATTGAATACAAATTGCCCTATTTTTCAGTCTCGTATAGCAAAAATCTTAATGAATTTAGAGACGAAGAAAATTTAATTTCATTAAAGTTCAAATAATTCTGCGTTATTATTTTTCATATTGTGGGGGTGGAAATTTAATCTAAACTTAAAGGCGAACGAAAGATTTATATTTGACGTGGCTGTGAGATATTAATCAGAAAATGTCGAGTTAAATGTTTAAAAATAAACGTTATGTGATGATTGTTGAGTTCATAAAATCATTTTCGTTTCCCTTATTGAAAGCTGAATATTACTTCATTTATACAAAAATATGAAGTTTGTGGAAACTTAATTCTGATGTTAAGTACATTAAAGTCAAAAAGTCATTCAAATGATGCAAAAAGAATTTGTCTGCTTTATTCCAATTAGAAATTTTACTTAACATTTGGTGACGCTGTCGTGCAATTTTCTATCATAAAGATCCTTTCTCATGTTTTTATCTTGGTAAAATGTATCATAAATTTCCTTGAGACTGTCAGCAGCTGAAGAAAAATAAATCATTTTCCTTTTTCTCTTTTCGGTATCAGATGACAGAGACAGTTGAGTGTGATGAGGATGATCTCGTTACGAAGCTATTTTTCAGTAACGAGGGACTTTCAGAGTGCAAGAGAAAAATACTCCATTAAGACTTCAAGATATGAAATTAATTTTAGTTGAAAGAATGAATATGAAGAAAGAAAAGCTTTCGACGAAAACAAAGATTTTCATGACTTTGTATAAGATAACATACATTTCCTTTCTAATTCAATTGGATTCCTTACAGAATTCTGAATATTTAATCTAATCTAATTTTTTTATTTTATTTCTCTTTTCAGGATATGGTAAAGACTCGAAGTCTCACTTGAAGGAATTTTTAATTTAAATTTTATCATGTTTAGGACATATTGCACCAAAAACAATCGAAGGAAAAATTTCCACAATATTCTACGCCATTTTGGGAATTCCACTCATGTTGTTATGTTTATCAAATATTGGTGACATAATGGCGAGTTCATTCAGGTGAATTAATTTTAATTAAGAAGAAAAAGCTTACACAATGTCAATATTAATCTTTAATAATCCTTTATATCACTATCCACATACATATAAAACTGGCAATAAACGGCAATTTAACATCTCTGACATAACAATTCTCTGACGAAAGGTTTAACTTTAAAACGCTTAACGACTAATGAATGTTACACTTCATCATCATAAACCATTTTTCAATTATGCTTACAATACAGCATAAAACCTTTCACGTATCCACTCTCATGATGAAAATTCTTATCCACCTTCTATGCATACGTCGAAGATATGAAGAATTTTGTTATTCAAAACACATCACATTTTCATTATGAAGTTTCACTGGCGCGTACGATGTTGGTGTGCGCATTGCAATCACGTTTCTGTTTACATACAAAAAGAATGTCGTTTTAGATGACACTAAATCAAATTATCCTTAAAATAAACTCAAGGCACAACAATGACAACAATGTACCAGGACGAATTGTTGAAAGATGAAATTGCCTTATTTATGTTTCAATTGAATTTTAAATTTTTCATTGATTACCTTAGATTTCTTTACTGGAGGGTTTGCTGCTATGTTTGTACTCGAGAACCGAAACGCAATAAAAAACGTCAAATGGTTCGCAAAGATACTTTTCGTCAACAACAACAACTTGCATTGCAAGACCGTCCAGGGTAAAAATTATTTAAAGCGTTTTATGTCTTTAGAATATTTGCAAATAATTTCTTTTTATTCTTTCAAATGTTTTGCATATCGTAGTCGTTATTCAAATCGTTTACCGAACCAAACATCGATGAGACGCTCAATGAAAACCTCTCAACGTTCAGCTGACTCTGGTTTTGATCAACGCTACGACACTGGAGGAATGAGCCATGCTTATTCGGATATGGATTGCAGGTATGTAATATGTTGGGTTGAATGTCGATTCATAAATTTTGAATTGTCATAAACAGTCATCCAAACGTGCGAGAAATCTCACCCATGGGCAATCTCGCTGGAATTTTCAATGAGAGTTTAAATTAATGTCGTCGTTTGCGGGTAACAAAAAAGAATGCAAAAATAAAATTCTGTCGACATTCAATAGACAAATATCGAGATAACAATAAACAAAATTCACCACCAGGTAGTAATCGAATTGCGAATATGCAAAGTAAAGTTATCATAAAATTTCATTTGAATGGTAAGGGAATTTAATTGACAAAACTGCATGTCTACACCAATAAAACTTCCGACATGATGATTTTCAATAATTGTTCGCTTTGATCACAAGATTTAGGTAATTGCATTTCTAAATTTAAGATAAAAATTATGATTCTAAACAAGTGAAAATTGAATTCAGTTTCGATATTGAAATGTTCAGCTCATCTGTAAGATTTTTGTGTGTGAAAGAAAATCTGATGGCCAGCTGAAAATGTGTTTTTCCCACAATTAAATATCTCAAAGAAAAATATTTGGTTTCATCAATGTGTGCGTTAAGTCTTCAGTGAATGCGAGAGAATCTCAAAAGTTTTGAGAGAACATTTTACATTTTTTATTTACAATCAACTGGTAAAAATTGAAAATAAATTAAACTTAGCAGATAATAAAACTAAGAAATTTATATTTGCTAAATTTGTGTACGATTACATAATGTAAGGCAATTCTTCTGAAGGATTTTGACGATTTCGTGTCAAATTGTAAACTTATCTAAGGCAATCTTCATAAGATGGTGGTGAATCATCTAAATTATTTCTCGTAGTTCTAATCTGTTGATTAATGAATTGCACTGATTGTCCTGTCCTAGGAACATCATACATTGGGTTTGATGACGAATTAATGTTCACAACTGTATCATAAACAGGACGAGTTGCATCAGGTTGTGATTCTTAAATGTAAACAAGTATTGAAAGTAGTTTTTAATTGAGGTTTTTTTAATATTTACTCTACCTTGACATGAAGCCCAACACATTAAGCAACACCAACTGCATAATATAAAAATGAAACATCCGAGAAATGTCAAGATAAGCGTCCAAAGCATCGCTAGAGCCATCCTGGCTCAATTCCGTACAGAAATATCTAAAAGAAATATTTGATTTCATCAATGTGTGCGTTGGCGTTGTCTTGAATAGAACACAAATGCGAAATTTTTGAGAGAACATTTTGCATATTTTATTTACAATCAACTGGTAAAATTCGAATATAAATTAAACCTAACAAATAATAGAAATAGGAAACTCATATTTGTTAAATTTGTGTACGATTATTTAAGGCAATTCTTCTGAGAGATTCTGTTTAATGCTCTTTTATATGAGATTTTCAGACGATTTCGTTCCAAATTGTAAACTTATCTAAAGCAATCTTCATAAGTTGGTGGTGAATCATCTAAATTATTTCTGGTAGTTCTAATCTGTTGATTATTGAATTGCATGGACTGCTGTTCTGCCCTAGGAACATCATGCATTGGGTTTGATGACGAATTAATGTTGACAACTGTTTCATCAGCAGGACAACTTGGTACAGGTTGTGATTCTTAAATGTAAACAAGTATTGAAAGTAGTTTTAAATTAAGGTTTTTTTTTAATATTCACACTACCTTCATTTGAAGCACAACACATCAAGCAACACCAAACGATAAATATTAAATGGAATAATATGAGAAATGTCAAGATAACCGGCAAAAAAAACATTACTATTAACCATCCTGGCTCAATTCCGTACAGAAATTGAGAAATATTTAAAAGAATAATTTTTGGTTTCATGAATGTGTGCGTTAAGGCTTGAATAAAACCAAGAATAAAACCTTGAATAAAAGACAAATGCGAGAGAATCACAAAATATTTGAGAGAACATTTTACATATTTTATTTACAATCAACTGGTAAAATTCGAAAATAAATTAAACTTAACAGATAATAGAAGTACGAAATTCATATTTGTTAAATTTGTGTACGATTATTTAAGGCAATGAGATTAAGCCTTAAAGGCAGTTTTATACGAGATTTTCAGACGATTTCGTTCCAAATTGTAAACTTATCTAAAGCAATCTTCATAAGATGGTGGTGGATCATCTAAATGATTTCTGGTAGTTCTTATCTGTTGATTATTGAATTGCACTGACTGTTCTGCCCTAGGAACATCATGCATTGGGTTTGATGAAGAATTAATGTTGACAACTGTTTGTTCATCATGACTAGCATCATCAGTTTGTGATTCTTGAATGTAAACAAGTGTTGAAAGTTTTAAATTAAGGTTTTTTTTAATATTTACACTACCTTCATTTGGACACAAACTCAATAAGCAACCACAAATGCCAATAACAATAAAAAAAAGTCCGAGAAATGTCCAGAAAGCCGTCCAAAACATTACTATTAACCATCCTGACTCAATTCCGCACAGAAATATCTCAAAAAAATGGAATAATATACGCAGTTACGCAGAATTTTCTCTCTCAAATCGTACAATTGTGTGTGTATACAGTGAATTCTCTGTTAATCAAAATTTATTAAATTTATTTTCCTCCAAAAGAATATCAATATTCCTATAACTAAACTCAGAATTTTTCTAATCTCAAATTTTTCTTAAGATTTACTTTGACAGAGAGTCTACGGTAGCAAATATTTAGCTTATGCCGACTCTTATAAACAATGTTTTTGTTATTTTCTACGAGTTTTATGAATACGGCTGTTAATTCTTTCCTAAATCGAAAAATCGAAATATATGACAAGAAATGGTTTGATTTAAAACAACGACTGTTATGTTCATAAATAATTAGATAATTGATATTTGTACTGTAAATTGTTTTATACAATTAATTAACCTAGGTACACTAATTAATGAATCATCTCTATGAAGTTTTACATTTTTCATTTTGGTTAAAACTTCTAACTTGACACTTTTATCTAAAAACCTTGAAAATTACCTAATTTAAAAAGCAAGAAATTTACTTTGGCTGCTCCCGAAACTGTTTCTGAGTGATAAAGATTAGTTGCTGGACTTATTTTGAGTATTTTGTTTGTGAATTGATTTATAAAAATAATTTAAATTCAATGGCTAATAGAATTTTGATGATGTTTTTTATGCTGCTGAATATGTTCAGGAAAATTTAATTTACGACATGATGAAGACATCACTGCTTTTGCAATTTCATATATTCTTCGTAAGATGGAAGCAAATCATCAAAATTATTGAATGAAGTTGTGTTCTGGATTGGTTCAGCAATTGTCACTGATTCTTGGATCACAATTATGTTATCTTCTTCAGTCACTCTTGGTCTATAAGGCATTGGATGTAAATTTAATTCTACTATTGTTTGATCATTATGAGCATTCTCCTGAGTATTTGCGCCAGTTTGTGGTTCTTAAAAAATAAATAAATGTCAGAAGGTTTCATATAAATAACATTTAATGCACATTACCTTCATCTGATACACAAAATACTAAGCAACATATGCAGCAACATAAACATAAAAAAATCGTAATCAAAAAAGTCCAAACCATATTTTTTATGAATTTATGAACATTAAACTAAACGCTTTTAAAAATTCTGACTTGCATTCTGATCCCATCTAAGTCAGATGTGAATAACTCTCTCAAAAGAGAAAAAGATTTTGCAAGATTTCTGTTAGGTAGGGTCAGAAATATATTTGAATGTGTGTGTGTGTGCATCTTTTCGTGTAACTCCACACACACACTATCAATGCAATTTTAGAATTACGTATTTAATCAAACATGATCCAAAATTTTTTAGATTTTTATAGAAAAATAGCGAATAAGAAATGAATTTGAAAAGAATTTCTCTACGTTCTGCTAACATTTCTACATCGACAAAGAAAGAAAGTTCAAACGAAGTCAAACATCCAAGTTATAATTGTTCAACGTTGTAATAAATTCCAAAAATTTGCATCTGATTTATGGTACATTTGTTCATATCTATGAATTTAAAGTTTTCCTTTGAGCATTAGGAACAGCCAGTTATGATTTCGTTTCATTATAAATCTCAAAACCCACCACATTCTAATTGCATTTGCTTTAATACCGACAAACATCATCTCGATTTTATCACACTTCGTTTACTTTAATGAAAATATCGAAATTTCTTTATGAAGCATTCAGATTTAATGTGCTTAATGATATCTATACGATAAGAATTATATCGAATCATTAAGTCTATAGGATGACAGCTTGACACAGACTAAAGCATTCGTTTAAAGATTCAACAACCGTCATTATCTTTTAAACATAAATATTTTCTGCGTTACATTCATTATAATGTTTATGATTTCTAACATAACCAAACAGCTCCTCCATCCTTCCGTGTAGCTATGTGAACGTCTCTTCCATGAGAGTAAATCTAATCATATTATTGACATATAAAAATTCAGATGTCGTCTAATATGCCAAGCAGTGGTTTGAATGGGGGGAAGTAAAAATAAAAAAAGAGAAAAAAGGGAAAAGACAAAACGAGAAAAGCAAAACAACAGTTGGAATTGAAATGAAATTGATCAAATTATTTTCGTCGTTGTCAGCTCAGATTTTTCTATTAAATTTTATGTTTTTTTTTTATTTCAGATACGTAGGTTTAAATGGCGGTAATGGCGGTGAACAACAGCTTTACTATGAAGAACGTGAAAAGATTCAGAGAGGAAATAGCTTTCAACAAAGAAGTACTCGAAGCCAACAACAGCCATCATCGCCACGATATGGTCCGGATCTGAGAGAGCATAGATATAGAAATGGCTACCGAGGTGCCCGCCATACCATTGACAGAGAGAGATTTGCAAAGTACAACGAACCGGAAGCCTACGATGATGACGATGATGTTGAAGAACAACAAAATCCACATGTTACCAGACGTGAAAGGATGAGAGAAAGAGAGAGGGAGGGTGGCCCACTGACACCACAACAAAATCGACATTTGATGAGACATTCTGAAGACCGTCAAATGGATGGATCACCGAGATACAACAGAGCTGGAGGTAAGTAATTGATGATGATTACCAATTTATATCTCAAGGAGACTTTGATGGAATATTTCTTTCATTTACAGCATCGCGTGTTCAATCGTTAGACCGTCGAATGATGCGTCGTGATCCCGTGATTAGTGGTTTCGAGCAAGAGCCGCCATGTAAAGCACCAATTTTCGCAAACAAATACGCACTTGAAGAAATGGATGAACGACGTGGTGATGGGAGACGTCATCATAATTTTCGGAGTCAGTCAATGCCCCGACAATCACGATTTGGTGACAGATTATATCCACCTGGTGGTCGTGGTGGTGCTGGGGACAACCGCTCGTTATACAATGAAAGTAACTTGGAAATGCAGCCAACATCAAAAGGTAGAGAAAGAAAGCGCGAGAGACCAGGTAAGTTATTTGTGCTCCCTGTGTTGAAGATGTTTCAATAAATAATCAATGAACTTTCACAAGCAACAAGAATTTCTTTACGTCATATTAAATCGATGGTAGTTAGGATTTGAATTAGAAAGTTTTGTCCCTGATTCTTTCGTAAACTGAATTTCTGCAAGTTTACAGGTAAAACATTTTTTCTATCCAATCCACCATCCATCAGCTTTCAAATCGTAGAATTTATTAAAAAAATTTCTTTGTCTCGATGACGATAAAAGAACGCAAGAATGACATTCAATTTTTTTTTATTGGGATTGAAAGAAAAATTCCTTCGCAAAGGTTTCTTTGTAAACTTTGAACTTTGACTATGTACATATTTGAAATTATCAAAGAATCTTTAGAAGGAACCCAAAAGTTTTTAATTGCAAATAATTTTTTTTGGTTTTCTGCCTTTTTTGTGGCTTCAGAAGAAGTTTTCTTCTTCATCGCCTTTTTTTCACATCGGCATACATTTTTTGATTGCTCAAAGTTGAAGCTTTGTCTTCTTTGCTTCTAAGCAATGATATTAAAGAAAGTTTTCAATTGGTTTGAATGAGGATAAAGCTCAAGGGATCAGTAACAATAGTCCAAAACCATAAATAGAAAATCTATAAATATTTCCTCAATATTTTATGTAGATTCTTCAATTTTAGTCGATTGTTGTATCGTGTTGGTGTTTAGTGGTTAAATGTTTAGTTAGTGGTTTCGATGTTGAATGTTAAATCCTATTTCTCGTCTTATTCATGTATGTTCGCCCTGTTTCGGTTCATTCTGCATCAAACAACGTCAACTCATTTTCATTCTCGAATGTGCTTTTTATTGTTTTTAATCGGAACGTGTTAGCACATCTGCACCCAAGCAAAGGAACTTTGTTATGGAAAACGTGCAATGATCATCATGACAAAAAGAACTTTTTTGATGTCTGTCATGATTTCCTGAATAACTTATTTAACTTTTCCTTCATTCTTCCTTCAATTGTTGATGAATGTGAATCAACAGTGATGAAGTCTTTGCTTAAATGATGAACATCATTGCACAACAAAAGGATTGAAATCCCCAGAAAAGAATAAAATAAACTTTTTTTTTGTACTTATTTAAAAAATTTAAAAACGGACTGAGCGAGTAATTTAATGAATGCTAAATGAAATTCAACAAGCAAAGTCAAACGTCATAAATGCATTGAAAATTTTCTCCACGTTGAATGACATTTTTATTGTGCATTTAAAAAAAGATATTTCTTCCTTATTTACGCAAATGCAATGAATTTAACATAATGTCACTCGAAATGAAAGATTAAAGAGAAAGACTTTGAGTGAAATGGATATCTTGTTGTATTGGAACTAAAATTCTCCTTTGTAGTTTCCTTTCAAGTTCTTGTCATGCAATAATTATATTCTTCGTTTCTTTCCTTAATAACTTTAACTTTTGTAAGCAGATAATTAAAATTTCATAATGGTTGGCAAGAAAACAGAAACTTAAAGTCAATTTATGCATTTTCATTCTTCGATATATGCAGCAGTTTATAAGCAACATTAATGTTCCAAGAAAATATTTTAATTAACATGCAAATGAAGATACTACAACAACTTTCATAATGTTAGCAAACAACTATGAAAAGCTTTTAAAATATCTCTCTAAAGTATTCCGATATGCTTAAAAAAGAAAAGAAAAGAAAGAAGGAAATATGTGCGGAAATATTTTTCCCTTCAAATTATTATTAGCTCATTTTTCTTTCTTTAATATTTTCCGCATTCGTTAACTTTAAAAGGAAGAATAAGAAGCTGTTTACTTCAAACGTGTTGGTGTTACTGCTTAATGCATAAGTTATGAGATGAAAATGATTTGATTATGTAATATAGGATATGAAAAGAGACGAAATGCCTTTAAAAGTATATTTGAGTGAATGACGACTTTACATTTTGGAAAGGGGGAATTTCCTTTCCCCTTTTTTCAATGTCTTTTGAGGGAACTCACGATATTGTGTCATCAATTTATGGCAGGAAGAAATGAATAAGCTCGCAAGTTAACAATTTCGCTCCGCTACCGCTACCACTCGCACCTCGCGTCTTGAAAAATTACATTTGGTTGTTTATTATTCTCCGACATATAACTCACATGATTAAAAAGCACAAAATTATTGCCGTAACACGGGAAATTACTTTCACACCGCATTATTCACTCATAATTGTAATTTCTCTTACGTATGTAGATAGATATGTACGTATTTATGTATATGATGTTGCTTAAATTCTAAATATGAAAATATTTCACTGTGTAGAAGTTAAAATTGAAACCGAGAAGGAAAAATCTTCTTCTTATGTTGAACATCATGAGGGAAAGGAACTTTCACTAGCTTGAAATAAGATTGAGGGGAGAATGGTTGTCATACTTATATCAATAGATAATTGGTAACTTTAATGATACTGAAAGCAAATCAGATTAGATCAAATCGTTTAAAATGAAGACGAAGAATTAAGAAACTTTATTAAAGTGCATGCAATCGTGAAGACGAAAATTTTCCGATGAAGAGATTGAATTTTCAATCGGGAATTCCTTTTTTCCCTTTTCTGGGGTACATTCACATGTTTCGTAACAAGATTTATTCTCACCAAAATTTATCTTTCAAGTTGAAAGTTTGCAATTTTTTTATTTGGACAAAATTGTGTGAGAAATTAACGAAATATGTGATTGCCCCCTCATTCGTTTAGTTCTCCCTACACGCTCTAATCCATTGACATGGAAAATGAAATTTTCATTTGAATTTGAAGTTTTTTTAGTTCTCTATTTTTCTCCACTTCGTTCTTCTTTTCTCTAACAATTTCCCTCAATTTTCTGTTCCGTTCTGCATTTTATTGCATCCAACATTGGTTGATGATAGTTTTTCCTTCTCTCACGCGACATTATAAAGTCATTTATTTAACTTCAACTTCTTTTTCTGTTTTCTTTTCTTTTTCCCATTTATTCTTGTCACTACGATCGTTATGACACTGTTTGAAAACAAAACTAAAGCTCCATCACCGTCGCCTCGCATCATGTCACCAATGGGTTTTGCTGTTCATCGCCAAGCGCGACACATTGCATCGGTAATGGATGAAAATTCTCTTTATGGAGATGATTATGAAGGATATAACAGCGATGGAACTTATCTTCGTCCAGTACCAATCTGGCTTTGTGTCTTCCTTGTTATTGGTTACATTATCGGTGGAGCTTTCTTGTTTAATACGTGGGAGGGTTGGAATCTCCTGGATGCTGCTTACTTCTGCTTCATTACACTCACGACAATCGGTAAGTTTGAAAATTGAGGAATAAAAGGAAAAGTATGAAAAACTTTGTGATGGTTTTAATTATGCATTTGCTTCATATCTTCATTGCAATGAACGAAGTTTAATTGCTATTAATTAAAGTCATCAAGAAAATTATCATTCTCGTCAAATTGAATCAAAAAACTTTCTTTTGTTAACTACAAAATATCCGAATTGTAGACGATACTTAAAAAGTTAATTTTTCATTCCAGGATTCGGGGATTTCGTGCCAGCTCAGGTAATTAAAATAATGATGTCACAAAGCTTCGAGATCAATTTAAATATTTCAAACTTTTTATCATGACAGGGCGAAAAAGAGAATCCCGAACAATCCATCGCTCTTTGTTCCCTTTATTTGCTGTTTGGCATCGCACTTCTCGCTATGAGCTTCAATCTGGTGCAGGAAGAAGTTATATCAAAAGTTAAAAGCATAGCAAGGCGTTTGGGAATCATAAAAGACGACGAAATTGAGGATTGAGCAGCGACAAATTTATTTGAAACATAATTTTAGAAGTTTTGAGTGCTTAGGAAAATTTAATACTTTTAAACATTTTGAAAGAACATAATTAGAAAAGAATTTTCATCGATTAATATTTAGAGAGGTGTTTTGTTCAAAATTAATATAAAAAATAAGGAAACTAGAATATTCTCATCTTAAACTTAAACATGCTATCAATTACGAGTTAAATCTATCATCAAACATACTTTTTAATGTTCACTTTTTCCCGATCTTGTTTGTTTTTAATTACAAGAGTTCAAGAAGAGCGTTTCGCTATAAATTTGAATTAGTAAAAGTCATAAATTAGTCATAAAAACATTATTAATAATCTTACAGTGCTATTTATTATTCATAAAGAGAGAGAAAAAAATGAAAATGATAGCCAAAAAATCGAAAAAAAAGTATTTGAAGCTTTATATAAAAATATTGAGATATTGTAATAAACATGATTTTTAGCGCCAATAAAATGAGTGAGCGAGAAACGTGCAACATTTTCACGATGAAAAATAAAATGAAAATTTCTGATTTGAGAATTTGTTTAATTTTTTAATGGATGAGCGGTCGTAAACCGGTGTGCTTTTATGATTGATTTGAAATGGGAAGGGTAGAGGTTTTTACACAACACACAGCACACGCAATTCATCAAAGTGATGTTCATTTCGTTTTTCGACATTCACCTCGAAATTTTCTGTAACATAGTCCAACATGGTCGGTCCAATGGACCCGCTTATATCATTCGCAATTTATATCACGTCGTTATGTCGAGGCTTTTTATGATTTACCGAAAAAAAGTGGCTGAGTTCGAGCAGGTTTGAAGAGTGAAAATATTTCATGGTGGGTGCTTCAATTTCTTTACCCAAGATTTGATTTTGTGTTCTTGTTTTTCCCTTCTTATGTTTGTAGTCTCGCGTCATTCAACGAATGCTGTATTGCTGTCGTAAAAAATAAAAGTGAACGGATGATACAAAATAAAGAGAAAAGTAAATTAAATCCGACACGTTTATTCGTATAATGATACAAAACAAACACAGAACATAACAATGTTTATTTCGTATTTTCACTTTGCTCTCATTCACTTTGCTGAGTGGCAGAAGTTTTTTAAACGCCAGATGATCGGTAGAGTGATGATGGAATGTCATGAATGATGATGGAAATCTTTAGCGCCGACCTTAGATGTGAGCCAAAAGTTATGATTGGCAACAAGTGATTCAAGACAACCATTCACATACATAAAGCTTTGTCAGCACGTTTTTGCATGCTGGGATAGGATACAACGGTTTTTATTTATCCGACAAAAACATATTTCGTGAGGCTTAAAATAAATTTTGTCTCAGCTTCAATACCGTATCATGAAATGAAAATTCCTACCTGTGACAAGCGCAAAGATATTTTTATTATTATTATTTTGTTGATGATTTGAAGCGACAGTTTTTGCTTTTAATTTGCTAATCCACATAATGTGTTACTAGAAAAATGTTGGCGAAAAACTTCGTAAGTGAAAATCTTTCACAACTTTGACATTTTCCATTCATTTCAATTTGCTTTTGCTGAGATAAATAGAAAATTTTTCCTTTCTTCCAGGACACGATATCTCCAGATCAGCTTCTGATTTGCTCAATCAGCTTCAGACAAACATCTCGGTGACATTTAAATGAAACTTCTACTGTTTGCTTTGTAGACGTAATAAATTGTTTGGTTGAATGAAATGCGATATATCTTAACATAACATTTTGTGTATGAGAAATAACGAAACATTTTCTCGACAGTAACGTTGAAATACGAGGAAAACTTTTCCCGTTGGTATTTTTTTGGAAAATTAAAATTCGTGTGTTTTCCGCTCTGTTATCTCTTTCTCGCTCTCTTGCTTCTGTAAGCTGATGACGTGAAAAATTTAAACAAGATACAAAACAAGATTAATTATCGTGATCTTGGCATTCAATTCATGTGAGTTATTTTAAGTGGTGACGAAAGCGAATTGATATCATATCTTCAGTTTTCATTTAATTTCCTGCTTTGTTTAATATTACAAAACGTTTAAGCTAAATATATACAACCAGGGTTTGATATTTATTTCAACAATCTACGACAAGAATGAGTAACAAATTCGAGTCTTGTTCAAATCATTGTTACAAACATAAACTTAAATTTCAATGAATAAGCTTTTTGTTTCTATTGTAATTCTTCATATTCGTTTAAGATTTAATACGAGTGACGTCTGCATGCTTGATACATTCAAACATGCCACAAATGTCAGAAAAACTCAAATGCGAAATTTCTCTTTTGAAAAAAAATTGTTTTGAGTTTTCATGCTTTCCAGTTTAAATTTAAGAAATTCCGCTAAGATTTCTGACGCTTATCTTAGTGAATAAAATGCATTTACAAAGTCAAAGGTGATAATTTCCGATTTTCTTTCAGTTTTCAGAAAAATTAAGATTAAAGAAATTTCATAAAATATTTCATCAAGTTAATTCTTTAAAATTTAATGCAGAACATCAAATGGAATAAGAAAAAAGTTTTCATCACATACTTAAAAGTAAATGATCCCATTTTATTATCATTTACTTTACTAAAATCCTAAAATCACTCAAAAATAAACAGAAGAGTTAAGGACTCAACCACAGAAAGAAATTAAAATATTTTTAGATCATTTTATGTAATAAATAGAGCTGGTTTCAAATGGTTGTTTTCTCAGTATTTTTCTTGACTTTATTAAAAGATAAAAGAGTCGTTAAATTAGTTTTTTGGGCAATAAATTTTGATTGTAAAATATTAAGAGTCTTAAAATCACATTTCTAAGAAAAGCGAATTTTCATAAAGAATGATTTGCAAACCACTAAATCCTCATAAACGTCTCAACTTCAAACTTGCTAAGCAGCCGACCTAACGCAATAAATTGTCAAAGTTGACAACATCAAAATCTTGATCAAAGCTCAAGCAAGCACTTCATCTTCCCACAAAGGCCACAGCACTTAGTAAAGCCCGAAAACATGCAAAAGGAAAATTTCCACTGAATTTGTAAATAAATTTGTTTTAATGAATTGCCTTTTCCAACAATTTTTCATTTTTAATTGCCATTTTTTCTTATTTACTTTTTCTCTTCGACCATCAAACTTAAAAAATTTTGCCTCACAAAGTGGAAAGGCAGAAAATTGAATGATATGAGTTAGAGAGTCACGGTTACCGCCTTTACATACATGTGAGTGAAATTTTGAAATGTTTTGAAAAATATTTATTTCAGTAATGTGAAAATTGACCACAAAAACGGTTTTCGACATCGACTATAAATTAAAAGAATTTTCATTCCGAGAGGTTTCACTAAGTTTGACGGAAAACAAACAATATTAAAATATTAAAACATCACTTCTAATTAGTTAAAAAAACGAAATGGTTTCATGAAAAAGATGAACATTGCTGCTTGACGACGTGTTCACCGTCGTTCAAAGTTCCAAAACATAAAATTGTGTTTCAAGAAAAACTTTCGTCATCATGAAATCGATTTTTTATTCAACTTCGTTGAGATGGAAGGAAGGAGATTGAAGGAAACTTTAAAATTACAGAATTATCGCCTAATCCAGATGATTCTTTAAACATCACAGTATAAGAGATTAGAAAGAAAAGAGAATTGATCGGAAAATGTTTTCTTTTCTTAGCTCATAGCCAAGTCGATTTTAAGACGAGAAAAGAATGGAAATATCGTGTCACTCTGTCGTATTATATTTTTCATTAATCATTTAGTTGTCTCCTTCTCTCCATTCATCAATAAAACAATTTTCAACACAAAACAGCTGAAAAGTGTACGAGCAGGGAAAACGAATTGAAAATTCCACACTGATGGGCTTTACCACTGATGAATAGCTTTCGACAAGCCTTGAACAAAACGAAAGAAAGCGAAAAGATAAAAGGAAAAAAATAATAAGAAAACTTTTCGCTTGATATTGAAATTGGTCTTTGAAAGTTATAGCTTTTCCTTGTTCATAAGTTGTCAACTCGTCGACATCATTTCCAGCATATTGTGATGACTTTTTCGACTTCACTTAGAATGTGTGTAAGAAAAGATAGCAAGCGAAAAGAGAAAAGAAAAAAACTTTGAGGCTGCTTACTGATAAGAAGCCAACAGCAGCAAAAACGAAAACAGCATACGAAGAAGAAAAGTTTATTGCCTTTCGACGAACTTCAAGCACCACAATTGGAAAGATGGAAAAGCAAAGAGAAATGAAAAATTGAACCATAAATTATACACGCCAATGAATTATATTTCTGTAACTTTCAACTTATTTTTGCTTTCGTGCCGTTACACTATTCGTGTGCTTTCCTCTTAGTCCATTCATGAAAGTCTCATGTGTGAAGTCATTCTTAATTAGCCAGAAAATGTTTCTTGACAAGCTCTTCTTCTTGAAAAATTAAGTAACAAGCCATTGCATAAGTTCATTGCATAAGCTTCGAATATTTGTACTTACATAAATATTTAAGTGAAATCTATTCAAAAAGTGACAAAATAAGAATACCTCGACATGTCATTTGTCAAAGCAGTTGTCGTTAAAATGAAGAATATTCAGGTAAGTCATTAATTATGATAAATATTATAAGAACCCACCAAATAACTGAAAATTTCTTCTAAAAATAAATCGTCGGGATCGTAGAACTTTTAACTTATTTTCAGCGATTTTCATTCCATCTCATTCCAAGTCAAAACAAATAAAAAAAATTAATCTTCCGATAAAAGAAATTGATCTAACGGAGTGTTAAGACCTGTTCAGCATCTGTTTTCTTTTAATTTTGTCTTTGTTATTTCTTCATGATTAATTAGTCAAAATTCTGTTGTCTCATTCTTCACCTCCCTCCCTCACACCATTTTTTGAAAAATTGTTTGATGCTTGCTCAATGTCAATGGCTGATGACGAAACATTTTCTTTTTCTTCTCCTTAACGCTTCATGGATTTTCTCAATAGTGAATGACGTCAAATTCAAAGTGAAATTTGTATCGAGAACAGTTTTATGTGTGTTGCTTAAAAAATCTGGCAAATGAAATTAGTGTTACTCGTACAAGAAACAGCGCAAAGATTAAAAGGCCTTTCTCATTGAATTATGGTCTCAGTTAATGTCTACCCTAAATATTTTCATTTTGGTGTTGAATCTCAACCACGTCTAATTTCGAAATTCTGCTATTCATCTTAATTTACGTCAAAAAGAATTTTGCTCGCATACTTTTTCTTATTAAAAAATGGTTTGGAACATTGAAAAGGAAGTAGCATTAATTTTATTTCCGGCAATGTTGCAACTTCCGAATTTATTTTCTGATGTTTAGATACTCATTTTAAATTTGAAACAGAATAAATAATGAATATTTAACATTAGTTGATTAGTTCGGTTGGAGAATATTTTTTAAGTTTAGCTTTAGTCGTCATGTTGATTTTGTGTTGTTTTTGTGTTTACCAAACAATGTTTAAACAGAAATTTGTTTCGCATGTTATGTGTAGGAACGTGTTTCCCAAAATTAAATAACTTTTAACAGGTTTTTCATATGATGTGGATGGCAATTTATAGTCTCAAACTAGCAGGAGACACAGAACTTTATCTGTAATCTATGGAATAGTGTTCGAAAGTTTTCTCTTCCTTTAACACGATAACTTTTCTTTACAGCTTCATGAAAAGACGTTTCATGGTGCAAAGCAATGTAAATAAATTATTTTATTTCTTCTTTCTTCAACTAGTCTTTTATTTTAAGTACAAATTTAAAGTGAGATGAAAAGTTTTTCGCTTAATTCTTCATTTCTATTTAAAACTTTATTGCGAGATGAAGTTTCTAACTTAACTAAACGACGAACGTGAATAAAGAGAAAAAAGTAGTGAAACTCATCAAAGAACTTTTCTCAACTCGATAGATATTCATTTCCATTCATTATCTACACGATTCTGCTTGTTAGTTCTTCTCACATCAATTGGAAAAGTTTTTCCGGTGAAAACTATTTAAATTATGCAATGAACGTTCAATGAGATTCTTTTGATTTCTAATTAAAGACGAATGATAAAGACTTGAATAGACGAAGTTGAATTACTCCACAAATATTTTACCTCGTTTCATTGTCAATTTGTTGTATCAATTATGTGAGTGCATATGCGATCAAATTCATATTATTTTCAACATTTCCTTCCTGGAATTGTGAATAAGTTTCGCTCCATTTACTATGGAAGAAAGTTTTTCTATATTTTATATTTAATATCCTTCTTGGAAACATAAAAATGTATCATTCAGAAATATGCGATGCATCAGTTTAAAACGAGTCACATAAATTTATAAAATGAAAATTCTTTTTCGCATAAAGAAGATTAAATTTGATAGCATATTGCAATTCATTCTTGTTGCTTCTATTGTGTTTAAAACTTAGTACAAAGTTCTATTTTTTCTTATTCTTTTATAAGAAAAAGTTTCACTAGAGTATCTATTCAATTTTGACTTTCATTTTAGATGATTTTAAGACACATTCGAGAACTCTGGCAGATCTTGATGGTACTTATTGAAAATTTAGAAATATAATTTGGAGATTCATGATAATGTTTAAGAAACAATTAAATTTATTGACGAATTTATTGAAAATTATTTGAACCTTCCTTTATATAATTAGAACAACTTTCAATCAAAAGGAGTCTTGATAACAACAAATGTTATCTTAAGAATAGATACGGAAGAAACTTGATGAAATTTGCTTGGAGTGATTACCATGGAGCTGCTTAAAATGTCTGCTTATTCAATGATTTAATAAGTGGAACTAGAACAAAGACTTTTGTCGCTTCAACAGATGTTGGAAACAGATTTCATAAAGCAAGTTTCTCATATGTGACTTTGTAACATTTTGAATTCTTTTATAAATCTAAACTAAAATGAGAAAATAAATGTTTATGCTCCATGTTTAGATTTTGAGAGTTCATCTTGTATAGTTTGTCACATGTGCAATCAAATATGAATCAAAAATTCCATAAACAGATAAGATATCAATTCAAATAATGATATCAATCAACTATCAAGGATGTCAATAATGAATAAATCGTTGTTGCAATAAATATAAAATCTGAGCAAATCTTTGTAGAAAGTTGTTTAATAAATAATTCGTTCTCTCATGAAATTGTCACATGGAGCATTCCACGTATAATGTTGAGTAAAATTAAAGAGTCGTACATGTTTCGAAGATTTTATAATCAAAATTAAATCAAAACAAAAGTTTATTTTGTGTTTATAAATACATTAAGTCATGTGACCAGACTGAACTTTCTTGAGATTGGTTCAATTCTAATAAATTTAATTAAGATTGAATAAGAAATCAACATCGAGTGTTAATTAATAAATTTCAGAAATTCAAATTTAATTACAAACAAAATTTCTCAGATTTCTTCTCATCTGATTGATGTAATAAAATTTTATGTGCAAAACATTTCGTGAATTTATTATCGAAGAGTGCTTCAAATCAAACAATAACAACAATAAATACTTTCAAAAGATGAGAAATAAAAAACATTGACTGACAAATGGGAAATCAAGAATGTCAAACTGCAAGGAAGAAAAATGAAATCGAAAGACTGACAGAAGAAACAATACAAGTTTTTACGACATTTTTCACAATAAAATGAATTGTAGCTATAAATAATGGGGGAATGGGCCAACAGAATGACCAGTCAGTTGTTCAAGAGGCCATCATTTTACTTAAATGAAAAACTTTATTTTATTATAAGTAGCAGATCGAATGTTTTCTATGGCCGATAATGTTGAGGTTTCCCATGAACGTCCCATTTAAGTAACAAAGCCCCAAGCTCAAGTTAATAAAAAGACTTTTCGCATTCCTCGATGAAAACCCGAGAAATAATTTTAGAATCGAACAATTGAACAAGCCGCACATAAATTAGGTTAATGCAGAGTTTGTTTTATAATTTTCAAGAATCTTGCTTCAAATACCGTCTCATGAATTGAAAGAAAAAATATATAAGTTAGTGAATGCTGAAATATTCCCGACTTGACGTAAATTAAAGAATTTACCTATGAAACAATTTCAACAACTTCCTTGCAACACACTTTTTGCACGTCTGCAATTATTTCGAAATACTTGAATATAAGCAAAATGTGGTAGACTGAAAATTAATTAAAATAGTTCTGTGCTTGGTTTGTTACGTTACATGTTTCTCTCCTTCCTCGAAACACTCGTGTTTGTCTCTTATGCCCGCTTAAACGTGATGAATGATTCTGCTTAATACAAGTTCGTTGATTAAATTTAAAGAAATATTTCATCCACTTAGTCATTAATCTAATTCAACGACCTAATCAAGCTTAGAAATCTCATCTACGGCATAGCATCAGCGAAAAACTGCAATTTGCAACGTACAATTTGATGTACAAAACCTCACTTCATTTGCCTTTTAACTTGTTGGCTTACTTAAGATCTTACTTCACTGAAGGAGAATCATAACATTGTAAATTCCTTTGGTTATATGAGCTTCACATTGCTGAGAGGCGAAAATTAATTAGATTTGTAAAAAATAAATAAATAAACAGCTTGATTAATTAGTATTCAGTGCCTCTCTAAAATTATTTTCATACTAAGTCTAAGAAGAAGATGAAGAAGAAGTTTTTAATGCTCTTGTTTTTCTTTTTCTCTTTTACAGGCACCGACACTCGCTGGATATGCACGAAAAGTGTTTTTCAACTTTTAAATTTTCTTCTTCTTGTTTAACGAGATCATCCTGAACATCGAGAGTCGTGAGAAATTTTTGTCTTCTGTCTATCTTACAGATTTATACCAAGGGGCAGATCATGGTAGTGCTTCTGCCCGCTGCCTCCAAGTGATGCTTCGAAAATCACTAGTGCTTTTCAAGAAAAATGGCCTTTTTCCAAGAATTTGTTTACTTTTTCTTGGAATTTGTCTAGTGCTTCAATGCAGCAATAGTGCTTTTGCCCTCCAATTTTTTCCGATGATCTGCCCCTTGATTTATACAATCACTCGAGAGTAGGGAGCGCGCGAGAAAATGATATCGGTTGGACTGGTAACGATACGTTTTCTTTTTGACTATTGAAGTATTAGTCGTCGTAGTTGAATATTGATGACGACACAACTTTCTAAATCGAAAGACTTTCGTTATAACGAGTCAAGTCTCTAGCCAAAGATCTTCTCTCGCTCTCGAATTGTAAGCATCATCGTGAACGTAATATATTTATTTTCGAGTACTTTCACACACTTTTAACGATTTATAAGCAGAATAAAAGAAAAGAAATGGAAAAAGAAAAGCCGATTTTCTCATCGAGAGAAAATTATAATTTTAAAATAAACAAGACAGTAGAAAAAAAATGTAGAGGAAAATCCCAGACGATTTCTCAGTCGATGAAAAAGAATTTTTAAGATTTTTCTTTTCACTAGCGTGGCTTACGAGTCTCAGTATGAATTTTTCATTTTAATAAAATGGATTAAATTATTTGTGTTTTCCGCGGATTGAAATTCATTTTTTCTTTTACTTTTTTTTACGCTTTGTATTACGGGAAAAATAAAATACTTCGACTGTGTGTTGTTGAAAGGTTTACGCGCTGGAATCCACGGAAATTCCATCTTACCACGAAAAGACTGAAAAACATTTATTCAGCTTAGTTCTGATAATGAAAAATCATTAACAAAAACATTTTTTTATAATAAAGCGGGGTACGAGAAGAATTAAGAATTTCCGCAAAGTGAAATTGTTGGAGTGAAATTTATATAATTGGCAGTGAAGATCCGATGAAGTTAAACTAAAATTTATTGTTATGAATTAAAACAAGCAGGCAATGAAAAATACTTTTCTCGTTGGTAACATTCTACGTTTATTTTTCTAAATTTTAATCGCTCTCGAAGAAAATTACCTAGAGAAAAGAAATAATAACCAGAAATAAAATAAATAGAAATAAAATCAGATTCTCTGCTGTGGAAAGACAATAAAGCTGTGAATATTCTAACCACCAAAATAATTTCCAAGTTTGAGGAAATGGAAGAAAAGTTTATCCTTGTGGATTTAAAATTGTTCAGTGAAAAATAAAATGAATAGTTCGTGATTTTTCCTCGACTATCACTCACAAATCAAGAGTCTTGATGTCTTGATTAAAGAGTTGAGAAGAGTCAACCAAAGCCTTCTCGTTATCAACCCAAAGCTTCTTTAATCTCAATCAATAAATCTTTTAAAAGTTTCATGACATTGTCAAAGAGATTTACAAGTTAAACTCGATGAAAGAGAAGAATGTTGCCTTGAATGCCCAGCACTTTAATAATGGTGTAAAATTCATACATAAATATGTGATTCGACCGATAGCAAACAGTAAGAAAGACAATCCTGGCGCTTTTATGACATCTGAAACCAAGTTGTTGCCATATCGAATAGAAATATTTATCTTGTGCTCAAGCTGCTGCTACTTTAGTTCTTTTATTCACGTCGACAACACATGCGATTTACAAATCTTTCGATCTGATAAATTAAATTTAGCCTTTGTCGTCTGACTAAAAGTAAAAGACAACTCTTGACTTTAAAGATTCAGAAAAGAAAAAAAGGTAGACAAAAGCAAGGTTTTTCCACCCCCTCAGATTCTGTTACGAAATTTAATAAATTTTCCAATGTCTGAGCTCACATTAGATCATCAACTTTGAATGATGTGATCGCATTGTATGTACACATATTCATACTTATACATATGCAGGACTTATGACAACATGAACAACACTTCGTCTTCTTCGTGCGCTCATAGTTAGTCTTGGCCACTAACGACTAAAATTAGATTTTTTTTCGTATTCATTCTTTCGATTCCTTTTCGTCTTCTTCTTATTATTCTTTTATTAAATGATGTTGATCATAAAAAAAACTTTTTTTTTGTAGAAACGAGAAAAGAAAAATATTTATTTCTATTAATATTTTGTATCGTCTCGTGCTGTCGGGTCAGCAGCAGCAACAGCAGCAATCGTCAGTCTCTTTCTTTCCCTCGTATCATTGACTTGTAAATTTTACTCAATTTTGTAATGTTTGTGATGTATAGTTTTGGTTCAACTTTGGATTATAAAAAGGCTTATCATACTTCACACAATACATGCCCATAAGGCTTTTTTATTCCGCTTGATTCAACTTCTTTTTCCATTCTGTAGAATACTTTTATATGTGAAAATTTTATGTAGGCGAAGTAAGCGGAAGCATTTTTGTTTTTACTACTTTGCGGATCATAATTTGCCCCAACGGTGAATCTGTGCAAGTCATTCTTGTGGTGTTCTTCCTTTCCTTCAACCGTAAAACAACTTTAGCATTCCATGCTATCTAAATTTCTCCACTGTTGTTCATCATAAGAGACATTTTTGTAATAATTTCCATGTGGGAAACATTGAATATGTTGCCTCAGGAATTCTAAGATAACTTTGATGTTTCACGCTTCATTAAGATAAGAATTTCTGCAAAACATTCCCCCATTGAATGTAGATGTAGCAAATTAAAATTACATTTTCTTGTTTCATTAGTGGTGAGATGAAAATTAATTTTCATCAAAGATCAATCAAAACAATTTTAATTTATTTGAACTCACAATCACTTTCCTCGAAGCTTTTAAATAATTCTTTTAATGAAGATTCAGGATGAATATTTTTATTTAAGAAAATAAGAAAAAAGATTTTCATGCATTTTCACATTTCAAAGAATAATTTTTTCTACATTTTCCGTATTAGTAATGAAAAAATTTTCAACGCTTGAAGCGATGGGAGTTCATTTCCCTTTTAAACATAACTAAAAAGAACAAATAATCAAACATTTGTTCATGAACATTAACGAGAAATGTTGGGAACTGATACGAATCATGGCCTAATGCAAAATCAAAGGCCTTTGTCGAAAGCACTCCCGAGTTGAAGAAAGAAAGGAAAAAAAATCATAAACAAGAAGATAATTCATTAAAAATTCGTATTTCTTGATTTATTTCTGCTTCCCATCCAGTAATTTTCATGATCAAAAGAAAAACGAAATAAAAAATTGTCGGTAAAAAAAAATGATGAAATCGTAGATAGAAGGAAGATGATTTAATAAATGACTGCGGCTCTTCATCGTACAAAATATGCTTTATTTATTTGCTTTCCATAAAAAGATTTCTTGATCTCATTTTGCAATCTCTTAAAAGTCTTCACAGAAACCATGAGAATTATGTAAAATCTGAGTTTGCTTTTCAGCGAACTAAGCTTATTGATAAGACCGAGTGTTGTAAGCTTATGAAACCTACACCAAAAGAAAAATTTTTAATTTAATTTAATTTAATGTTCTTTAATGTAGCTATGAGATATTTATTCGGTTATGAGTCAAGTAAATATTTATTGTTGGAATCATTTATGTTTATGAGAGCAGTGAAAAGTTTTGTTACAAGAAGCTTTAGGCAGACACGAAATTTTCATAGATAAAATATCATCAGAAAAACAAGAAATAATTGAATGAAAGTTCTTCAATAAATTCGTATTTAAGTGAAGAAATTCTTCCATCGTTGCTGACTTTCAAGCCTCCTTAAATATTTGATGTTATGACGTGACTTTTTCGCCTTCAACTTCATTATTCAATTACTTACAACTTGTAAGCTTCATTCCATTGTCTTTCCTCAAGTTTTTTTTTCTACATTCTCATCAAGTCAAGTTTTATGAGGAAATGGAAGAAATATTTTTTTTTATCTGACAACATCATAAAAGCGAAAGAACGATTTCAGAATATCCAACTGCTTTCGACATAAGTATTTATGCTCGTAAATCGAGGAAAATCAATTTTCAACAATCATTCTGAACTTTTACTATTTCTGTTTGACGTTCCATCATGAAATATGCTTGCGTAATTGATGTTGTTATCATCTCGGAACTCAAAACGAATCTCTTCAAAAAGCGAGTTAGAAAAATTAAATTTCATTCACAAATTCACATCCATCTCCAATTTAATTTAAATTAGATAGAAAGACAACAAAAAGAAAGAAAAAGATTTAAAAGATTAAGTGACTTAATTCCGTCCACAAACAACCAAAGCACAGCCTGTAACAAACAAGACCGAAAAATAATGACAAAGGTAGTGCCAACATGAAGTACTGATTATGAAAAAGTTTTACACTAAAATTAAGACCAGAATAAAATGTGCCATCAGTAGTGAAAGTGAATGGAAGCCAATTTCAATCTCACCGTCTCCGTTTTGCTAAAAATTTTGACGAGGGTGTGTTAGATATCTACGTAAAAGTTATTAAGTTGGATATTGTGTAAGTGTGTTTGCAAAAGTGAGAGAGAATAATTTGCAAGCAGCACACATAGCACAGACGAGTGTCCAGGGAAGGGTAGCAGAATGGAACGAAAGCGGTCAATTCGCCGGAGGCCAAAGCCACCTTTCGAACGTGCCAAGGATCACTGTCGAGCGTTTACAGCATTTATGTTCTCAAATGTTGGAATCACATTTCTCGTCGTTCTATATACGATTGCTGGTGAGTTTAATCTGTGTGGGCACACAACAAGCATACTCATTATGTTTCAGATCAAATCGTAAAAAAGTTAAGAACTTTCTTTTCCAGAACCCTTTTTACCCAATCTTTTCAATAAACTTTTAATGTATCGGTTTTATCATCTGTTTTGATCTCATTTATGTCCGGAATGTTTGCTGCTTCTTTTTCCAATCAACTTTATACTCGCGTACGACCTTCGAACACCTTCTTCTTGGACAACATCAACTACTACTTTAATACGAACGTCATCATATAAAAAAAGGTTCATTTATGTTTATCGCTATAGAGGGTGGCGAAGCTGGTAAGCGGAAAGAGACTGCAGACAAGGAGCGTAATGAAACTCTAACACGGCTCTGGGAGATTTCATGCTGCGATCAAAATGTCTATTTGCACAATAAAACAATTTACATATCAGCGTAAGTCTCATTATGTTATCATTACGATCTCAGCCAAAGTTTCGCCTTAACTTCAATTTTCTTATTCATGTATGCTTGCTAGACATTCAGGGATGGAAGGAAATATTTTTATATTTAACAAGACAATCTTCACTTATATTCCTTCCTCAAATTCCATCTCTGGTTATTTATGTTGTGGCAAAGAAAAACATGGAAATGACTATCGATATGTACACAAGTATTTGCCTTTTGGATATTGCAATTGGCAAAAGAAAACGTGAAGAAAAAAATCGATTTTCATTAGCATGAAATTGTAATTTATTCGGCAAAAACTCGACTCATTCTAATTGAGAAGCTATTTTCATGGGATCGGATTTAATCGTAAATGATGTCCGGTATGCTTCTAAATACTTTCGACGCATCTCCTTTGAATAAACGGATGTTATGTTAAATATCTAAGATTCCTAAGCATGAAGAAGGAATGTGGAAATAGAATGAAGACAAGCACGAGAAGCAATTTTAATTTTTTCGATTATGTCGCTCTCATTTTACTAAGGCGAAACTTTTAATTCCTTTCCAGTCATTTTAATCAGAAGTCCCTAAAATAAAGCGTAGTTAATGTCTGATTGGTAAAGTTTCTTTTTTATATCTTTGTTTGCGGTTTTGTTTTCTTCAAAAAGTGTAGCAAGCGAAATAAAGTCGTATCAATCGAAGCTAATCGAACGACAGCGGAAAGGAACTGTCGAAGGTGATGAATCACAATGGAGCTTTTCAGGAGCTTTTCTTTTCTCACTAACTGTCATAACAACAATAGGTGAGTTTTCTTATTCAAAGCGAAAAGGGAGTTTTTATTATCGTCATTAACCGCGAAACCATTATCTTAATTCAAAAGTCTCAATCTTCTTAATGGCATCATTCGCGTGAAAGTCAGAAATGATTTGTTAGCTGTAGACGAGGTTGCGGCATACCAACACCAGATTGTAACATTAATAAATTTCCTCAACTAAGATATGAATGAACAACACAAACGATTATCACTCTTAATTGCCTCTTGACAATAAAATGCTTTTCAAGCTCAATTAGAATTCTGATGGATCCGCTTCAGTCGATTATTTATTATTATACGAATCGTTTAACTTTCCTCACATGATTTTTTTTCTTCTCTCCTTCTCCGCTCTAAAACATGGAACTGAATTTTCTTGTTATGTATTCTGCCAATTTTATAAATTGAATGTTTGTAGGTTACGGCAACATAGCGCCAGCAACAGATTTGGGAAAAGTAGCAACAATTTTTTATGCAATTATCGGGATGCCTTTGTTCCTTCTGTATTTATCAAATATTGGTAACAAACAATGGCAAAATTCATGGGAATGTTGACTAAATCTTTATATAATTTATTGCAGGTGATATTTTAGCGAAATCTTTCAAATGGATCTATGCAAAGTGCTTTCTATGTCGCATTTGTCCAAACATCGCACGACGTCGTTTAGCACGAGAGAAACATAAAGAAAGACTGCGTCAGAATGATGGAGAGGATCCGGTATGGGAAATAATTAATTTAAATTCTTTGTTTATCTGAATTTAATTTCAAATGCTTTTTCATGTTGATTTCAAATGAAATTCAATTTGAAAATCTCATCATTGCATTGCTTTAATGTGCTGCCAATCAAAGTTTTTAATTAACCTTCCAAATTTATTACTTTTCACCTTTCACTCTACACCGGAATTGATTGCATATGGTTCTGAATCTGTGTTAATTATGATTTGGGAAAACTAATTTTCCGATTGCTAAACTCAGACAAGAAATTAAAATTTCCATGGAACAATAATTGGAAAGCAAAATTATTCATTTTGCAAGCATAATTGAAGAAAAGTTTCAAATTAAATTAGAATTGTCTGATGAATGACAGATGAGGTTCATTCATAAATAATTTCTTGATTTTACAATGACATTCTATCGAATAAAATGATTGCAATGAAAAATTGTCATCACTTACAAGAAATATTTAATGAAACGAATCGATTTTTATAAACTCGGTTGATACAATGCGCCTAATTTATTTAATTTTTATGGTTGCTGCTTTGATGACAGACGCTGTCATTAAGAAGGAAAGAAACTCATAATTATAATTTGCTCTCATTCATCGGCATGAAAACAACAGCAGACAGGCATACATCAACTTCCTTTGATGGAAAATATGCTTCGCATTTTGTGATTCGAACACAAATTTTAATTATGATTTATAATGTTATTCAACCATAAATCAGTGAACAAAAGACCATCATCGATGATATTTATTCTATTTTCCATCTCTAAACCAAACCAAACTTCAATCATTTCAGAGCGAAAGTGGAGGATCTGAGAGTGGCAGTGCGTCGTCGTATACAAATGATTCGGAGATTGAAATGGAAATTAAACAGGATCCACAAACAGTAACCGTTCCCATTACCGTTTGTATTTCAATCATGATTGGGTGAGCAATAACTTTGATGAGAAAGTTTCTTTGATGATGAGTTTGAGAAAAGAAAAGCTGAAGAGCAATGAATAATCAAAGCTTCTTTTACGACTTGTTGCAGATACATTCTTCTAGGAGCATCACTATTTAAAGCATGGGAGAAGTGGGACTACTTAGATGGCAGTTACTTCTGCTTCATCTCATTGAGTAGTATCGGCTTCGGAGACCTCGTACCAGGAGCTGCTGTAAGTTCTCTCAATACAATTTTCATTTTCGATGATTACATTTTCTCGTTTCCTCCTTTTACGATGCACTTCAATTCATTCTTACTTATTTCAACAACCCATTTCAAATAATACAAATGCTCACCAATAAAATGTTGTTGCGATAATAAATTGTTTATTTTATGTTGAATCATTTAATGCGGTTGTTCATGTGATTTTTATAGCATCTTCGTGTGTTGATGCTTATGAATATTAAAATTATGTAAATTGTAATTTATTTTAAGGATCATCAAATATTTTATGCTTGATATACATTCAATATTTAAATAAATTTTAATACATTTGTTCGTCTGTTTTCTTCTTCACAAGAAAATCAACAAAAAAGTTTGCTTCGAATTCACGATAATTAAGTCGTACAAAGTCACGTTACTGTCAAGGAAACAATTTCACTTGATTCAATCTCACATTTCATTAAATACTCAAATGTCACTAAATATAAATAAAATAGGAATTCCGAAAAAAGGAAGACACAAAAAAACATGAAAAATGGTGATAAAAAAAGAGAAAAACAATTTTCCGAATGCATTCATTACATGGGGAAAAGTATAATAAAATATTTATGATGCAATATTTTTTCGTTGCAGCTACAATTTTTTAATGTTTAATCCTACAAAACGCCTTGCAAAGCGCATTGCTTTTTTCGAAATGAACAAAAATTGTGTACAACATTTTTATCCCACTTTAAAACTGAATGAGTTTTGAAAAAACACGAGTTGGAACTTGCAAGTTATAGATATGTTCACATCGGGAATGAAAATTTCATAAAAATAAAGGAAATATCTACCAGAGTTGGGATTTGACTGACTGACTGACAGACATTGACTTGTCGGTCTGTCAGTCAAACGACTTGATCGGAACATTTATATGAACGTGTCCCAACAAACGAATATTTTTGTTCGCGATTTTTACTGACTGACTGACAGACATTGACATGTCAGTCAGTCAGTCAATCGAGTTGAACGGAACATTTGCCCATCTCTGATATCTACTAATGCATTGAATTACATCATTATATTGTAAGCGCCATAAAAAAATATTGCAATAAAAGAATTTTTAATGGACGTCATCATTTAACATCATTTTTCGTTTTTATTCTCCTCCATTTAATTATCTGTTCTGTTGGAAATAGGAAGAGGAAATTGAACGTTTTGTGTAATGAGAAAATGATTAACATCGGAAAAGTGCATTAAATAGATTTTAAGTTTAGCTATACAAAGACTATAATTTATCATCTTTTCTTCCTTTCCTATTCATTTATCAAGTTAAAGTTCAACACGAGTGTAAAGTCATACAATGTTGTGGAATTGTCTTTCATCTTCTGCTCGGTTTATCTTCTACTTGGGATGGCTCTTATTGCCATGTGTTTTAATCTTATGCAGGTATGTCATGATGATAACATGTTAATGCTTAGTTGAATATCAAAAGAGATATTTCTTTCTTTTCCCCATTAGTAGAGATTCTATTTGAAAGTTTTTAAATGACCAGGTCTTGGTATCCTTTGAGAGAAGTTTGATGTTTCCTTAGAGTTCTCAAACTAACCTCCGACCAAACTTTTAAACTTTTACAAAAGAAAATAAAACTTTCAAAGTAAAGTTTTCGTTTGTTCTTTTTCAGGAACAAGTCATCTACAAATTAACAAATCTAAAGAAATGCGCCAGTCAGTGCTTCAAGTGCAAGAGGTAATGGATGAAGTTGCTAAATAACAACACCAGTGGAAGCGGATTTTTTGTTTTTCTTTCTTGATTTTAAATTTTTTTATTTTAAGTTTGTTCTCATTTTTCGTTTATCTTTTTTAAAAAAATTAATTAATGAAGACAAGATAAAATAATAAGTTTAATTAATTCAAATTTAAGTTTTAAACTGCAATCATTTGCTTTTGAAACGAACCAAGAAACTTTTTAGGTTGAATAATAAAACCTTGTGAATGAACATTCCATGAAGAATAAATAAAAAAGTTTTATAATTTTTTTAGGTAGCTAAAATAAAAGTAAAAATTTTACAGCATGTGAAAGGTCACATGAAAATTGATTTCAGAGTTATTTGCAGAATATCAATAAACTGCTTTGATGAGATTTGATTTTTCTGCTTGATTAGAGATTTCGATCCTTTAACTGTTTTGGCAGCATGGAGAAGCAACGATGGATTAGGGAAGAGTGAAAGAGCATAAGTAGATAGAAAAGTTATAACAAACATTGACAGATCGTTAGGATTCAACGATAGGGGGTTTAATTTAATCATCTCAAACGTGGAAATGAGAAGCTTGGTGTGTAAAAGAATTTTTATCTTGATTGGAAAACCAATATCTAAGCACATCATATTACACGCGACGTTACTCTTTACATTTCCTTTCCAAACGTTACAATTCAAGGCAATGGAACACCTGACAAATCATTTCAATTTAAACTTAGATATCAAGTCTAGTTGTCTACCAGTGCAGTAATAAAAAGCAAGAGAAGACTTCACTTTCCATGAATTTCCATGAAGAATTTCCAACTTAATCCGGAAAAGATTTCAATTACGATAAAACTATCAAAGGTTATTGGCAAAGCTGCTTATTGAGAGCTTGTCAATGTGAAAGCAAATTTTTTGTAACTTACTTTCAACGTATTGAATGAGCGTTTTACTTAGCTTATTAACATCAAGATAAGAGTGCTTGTTAAAATTAATGAATCGAAAATTTTATCTTTTTATACATGATTTTGTAAGAGTTTCATACACACTGAAAACTTTTTCCACTTCACTTTATACTTCAATAATTTTTTGAAGTATTATCAGATGCAGAAGATTTCTTTTTTTTCGCCCTTCAGATCTGTAATAGATTGTCAGTATAAACATTTAAGTTTGGAAAAATTGACATGCATATCATTAAATTCTTGTTATACGCTGCTGATTGTGCTTGTAAGAGCACACTCAAGATTGCAATCATTTCCTCATTTATCTCGTGCACACTCAGCTTAGCTCTCTAACGATAGAAAATTTATTGTATATTTCAGAGCAATATCAACAAAAATTAAATGAGATTCTTATATCAACTTCGATATTATTTTTGTTTTCACTTTTTTCTTTTGTTCGAGAGCGTTCAAGAAAAACGTGAAGCTTTTTTCCAGGTATTTTACATGTTTTATCTTTAACAACAAGAACAGAATCTTTCAATATACGATACAAGACGTTGGATTGAGTTTTATCTTCTAAACATAAAAGGAAAATATCGATGAAGTCAAATTTAAGTTATTAAACTTTCCTTTTTCACCCTCAGTTCATGAACTAACTTTAGGGCCATGAAAACTCTCATGAAAAATAGTTTCCAAAATATAATTCAAACACGAGATATCTCATAAATTTTCTGATCCAATTTTCTCATTTTCAGACAATTTTCTTTGCGTGTGAGTTGAATAAAATTGTTGAAGCAAGAAACATGCATCGTTCGTGATGCAGTTTTCAAACGAAGCACTTTTCAACCGACTGTCTGGGTTATTAGTTTCGAAAAATATTCTTTGGTTATTCATTCTCACATATGTGACAGAACCCATTGAAAATTGTTCAAAACCGAATTCATTCAGAGACTTACACAACTGACAATGTTAAATAATTCTAATCCCTTAACGCTTTTGTAAGAAGTTGGATAATCTAATGCATCAATTTTTATTATTGTGATGATTCTTTAACACAACATCTGTTTAGGATTTTTTTTAAAAAGACATTCTTGATAAAAGCTTTTAGAAAGTTTACATCAGCGAGTGAAAGAAATTTTTAATCGAAACTTTACTGATAAAAAATATTTCAGCAATGAACTTCAGTCACAAAATTGGAAATAAAAATATTTTGCACTCAATAACTCAAATTTTACATGAACTCTTGCATGAAACTATGTCATGCATACATTGTTCACTGTTGAATTGAAGCGTAAGCTTAATATATCGTTATCACGTTTGTTCATAACAATTCAGATGCTTTGTCGACCGACACGGCTAGACGATAACTTCCCTCCATGCTATTAGTTTTCACCCGATTGCGGATATCGAAAATGCATCTAGATTCTGGAAATTAGTTTTCCTGATTGTTAGAAAGTTTCATGTGAGAAATACATAAAATTCTATTGCAGACATTTTCCAACTTTTAGCTTTCCTTTGTTCCTTATCTTTTATCAAAGAACAAATTATTTATCATGAAATTACATTGAGACTTATGAGATTTCATTGAAAGATATCAATAAGTGTTTTGTTTTATCACACCACCAAATGAAACATGATTTGAGTTGTTAACAAACATCCGAAAGCAAGAAGAATTTGAACTTGTCACACTTTCATTCCGAAGTCCCACAAAACATTTGCTAAGAAAAATTTAAGAGAAAATTCTCTTTCGTTGAGTTTTCCATGGAAAATCTCCTCAATTTTAAAATCGGAGAGTAAAGCTCAGCATCCCAACTTAGAGAAAAAAGTTTATTGAGAAATTTTCTTTAATTCGCAGTTGTTTAAATTATCCAAATGGAATTAGTGAAATGTTTTAAGTTAAAAATTCAAAAAATAAATTAAAAAAGTTTAATGAATGTGTAAAAAGTTCAATAAAATTAAAAAATGATAATTGAATATCACGCAAGCGCTTGGAATGATATAATAAACATAGAAGAACTCTCTCAATTTCCACTTTCCACTCACAGCACATTTTCGTATACATTATCGAAATTCATCTCTGTCAGAAGGAGAAGAGCTTACACTAGCAAGAGGAACTGGATGAAAAATTATTCCATTATCTTCTTTTCTATGTGTCGGAGTTTAACGAGGGAGAGAAGGAAAAGAAAAAGCTCGCATCGCTGCTAAGAAATTATCAGACAGAAAATCAGTAATTCGTGAGACACGAAACAGTCTAATCCGCATTTCAACTCGGTCGTGAAACTAGTTCATTTATCATTTCAATTGGATACAGAAGAAGCTTCAATTCGTTGCACAAGTGAATTCACTGAAAGTTGCATGAAAAGTCACACAATTCGTGTTGCAATCGAATCATGATAATCTCATTGCTTGTCAAATATTCACATACGGATTAAACTTTGTTTGCGAAAGCTTCCAGATGATCCTCCAGTAAGAATGCGGAAAAGCGAATAAAAGTTTAATGGGATTTATGTAAATAATTTCTCACGAATTAAATATTTATAAGAACGAAAAGCAACACTGAAAAAAGAAATAATTTTTTTTCATAAACATAACCGAAAGCAGAAGTAGAAAAAAAGGGTAAAGTGAGTCAATTTATGTTAAAGATTCTTAAAGTGTGAAAACATAATAAAAATTCTGCCTAAAGCCAGCATGTAGATCTCATCATCATTCCAATAAATTTCTTCATATTGTGGAAGACTTTGTCGAAAACGACATTAAGATAAATTGATTAAGGATAAAAATATCACAGTCGTTAATCATTATCAATGAAATTACTGAAACAATCATTTGTGTGTTAATTGAATTTTTCTAGCATTAATATGTCATTCCACAAAACTTGATAATTGCTTCAAAGGAAAGTGAAATTCTTCCTGAACATTTTCAAAGGCATTGATGCAAAATTTATGTGAAAACACAACGCATATAAATCTCCATTTATATCCTATCAACCATCCAGAGAAGACACATAACAAGCTTGATAAATCTCAACAACGCATTAAGTTAAAGTGTTTGGTGGTTTGAGTCGTGATTGTCTCGCTTTTCGTTAATGATTTTATGTGTTGTATGTATATGTGTGATTAAGTGATATTAAAAAGCATTAAAAGCCAAGATCTATCGGTAAAGAGAAGAATTGAGTTAAGTGACTATTTAGAAGAAGAATTATTGTGGGTAAAAGTTGGGCGTATTGCAAGATAAGAACGAATTACGCTTTAGGCTTAGAATCCCTCAAACAAACACCCATTGACGGAACAACTTTGTCAAAACCATCATAAAGATTGAGAAATTAATTGTCAGTCGTAAAAAATAAGCATTTAATCATCGTTTTCAACTCATCAAGCTACATAAAAATTTCAGCATTTTTCGGTGAGTTTTTTTATCCTTTTTTTCTCTCCATGACACATGTGTGGAAATTTTTATAAAATTAAAGAACTTGGGCTGAAATTTGTAGATGACAAAGTGAACTTAGACCACACATAAATAACTTCAAAGCTTGTAGCAAGTTTTTCATGGATTGCTTGTTGTGTTCGTGGTCGCTTCTGCAAATGAAACGGTGATTTAATTTAAATTTCAAAATTGAATTCGACCGAACCTTAATGGACACTCACATGACATGTTTATTCGATGAATTTTCTTCCACCTTTTTTGCTTGCGATATCCGAAGAGAAAAAAGAAAATAAAAAACAAAAACAACATAAATTCTGCCAAATGTCCTATCCAATACCCCAAAAGATTCTCACATTTAATGTGATGCCTCCGTTGAACATTGAAACGTTGTTTACGCTTTCCAAACGAGAATGAAAACGAGCAACCACAATTTTTTTTTGTCGTAGGTGCTTTTGAGGAAAAGGCTGGGAAATTGATTCAATTTTCGCACATTGCGAGACATTTTGTTTGGGGGAAAATAAAATCAAATTACGATGAAAATTTTCAGACGTCTGACGAATGTATGTGATCAATTTATAAATGACTCGCTTAAAGTGATTAAAGATAATTTTAAGGATCAACATGTTGGAAAATATTTTATGATAAATCCTGAAACGTTTTATTGGACTTTTGGGCTCCGACCATTCATGGCCACAATTTGTTAATTTTACATTTGACTACAGAATCAACAAAATTTTCCAAGGAAAAATGTTTGTTGAAACTTTTTCGTCCTTTTTACAAGAATAAAAAATTGTTCAAATTTTTGGTTTCTTGACGAAACTTTTAACATAATTTTATCTGAATTTATAAAAATTTCATGTTTCTGAATCCTAATTGAACGGAAATTCCGACGAAAATAATTAGCATTATCTGTAGTTGGAAATCCGACAGAAACCACTCATCATTTGTTCAGTAATAAACGCTGATTATTTCATCGAAATCTCATTAGAACGTGACGGAACATGAGTCGACGGAAGTGGCAACAAGAGCGTAAATCAATTTGAAAACACCTCTGAACTTTTCTCTGCTTGTAGATAAAATGCTAAAATTTCTTCTATTTAAATAAATTACGGCCAAGGGAAAAGAAGCAAGCAGAAGATTCATGAGTCGGTGCCCAAAGTGCGTAAGAAAGGAAAAAAGACGGAAGAAAAAAAGAAAAGAAATTTGTTAATGCTCTTTTTTTCCTAAAAGAAAAAAGAAGCTTTTCTCACTTTTCTGGTTCGCTTTTCATCTGACGATGTGATGCCTCGAAGAAGAAAAAGAAAAAAAGAAAGGAAAGTAAAAGCGCCTAAAGATATTACTTCCATCATACAAATTGGCCTCTCAAGTGGTTATCGATGGCTGGCGAAATGGGGGGCCGAAAGGAAAAAGAATAAAATAAAATCATGAAAACGAAGAAATTGAAACAAGAGAGCAGTGGAAGAAACGGAAGTTAGAAGAAAACAAAAGAAAATTAATATTGCTTCATCTCGAGGACTTTTCCGTGTCGTTAGAGAATGTTTTGGTACTCGCTGTTGCTTCTTTCACTTCTCTTTATTGTCACACGATTCTTCCAGAATTCAAAAGAATCAAGAAACTTTTCCATTTGCTTGTTCGTGACTTTTTTATTGTTTCAATCATTTTCCTTAACTTTAATGTTTCGCCCTTTCGCTTATTTCATAGCACCAGCAACTTGAATGCCGTTGAATTAAAACTGCTCGCTCTTATGAACCCTCCAAGTAATAAAATTAATGGGAAGTTGAGTACTTCGAAGCCACAATAATGATAGCAGAATGGTAGCATGCATGAATCTCTGAAAACTAATTCAATTTGTAACCATCCGGAAAAAATACTACGAAAATGAGACACTCAGATGAGACGAACATAAAGTTTTATTAGAAAATGTTATGAATAATTTACGCTAATTTTGTTTGCTACTTTATCAGTCGTCGACCGAAATGTTTGGTGAATGTTTTCTTGTTCCTTCCTTCGTTTCATTTACGGATACCTCGTTAGAAAGTCAAATAAAAAGAACGATTCATCACTTTTATTATCGCTGTTGATTTTATGTCGCGTCGTATTTTCCTTCTCTCTTTTACTTTTCATTCTGATGAAAATGTGTCAACTTAGTTAAATTTCAAGACAAGGCCAACATAGGCTGTTTGTCGCATGTCAAGGCTCTTGTCGTAAAATTATTTGAGGCTTCCGAAAGCTGTGCAAACTCGGAAACAGAAAGATTTCTCTCGAATTGTAATGTTGTCTTATTAATATTTGAAAGTCTTATGTTTATCGCCTGAATTCTTTTCCCACTTCTAAGTATTATATCTTTAGGGACTTTTTCCAAATATATAAAAATGTATGAGAGAGAAGAAAATAAAGAACAGTCGAAAGCGTGTGCATACAGAGAATATTCAGCTATATGTTAAGTCTCAGAAGATTATCTCATAAAATATTACTTTTTGCTGCCATTCTAGCTTGAAAGCATTTGGTTTTAGAAGAAGGATTTTATTTATTGAAGCACAAAGGCTTTGAGCAAAAGAAACGGAAGTGTATAAAAGGAGATTTTCTTAGCCAAGGTATATATAGAAGAAAGAAGAAAGATTTGGCTTCTAGTTCGAAGAGCTCCAAACTCTTTGAAAATCAAGCTTATTGTCTCATAGAATACGATTTCAAAAAAAGGTTTCTATAAGAGATTAACGAACATATCTATGTTTACGCTTGAAATAATATGATATATGTTTGGAATCTAGATTAAAGTAGTATCACGTGGAAAACATTTCATACTTTCGCATAAACACTCAACTGAAGCTTTTATGCTTGACCTTTTGCATAAGTTGAAGGAGCAAAAAATTTTATTTGGAAAGAAAAGCTTTCAAGGAGATTTTCACATAAAGTTTTGAGTGTTGAATATACATTTTATGCACGAATGAATAAGAAGAATTCATCCTTCATCTGAATACATTCTTTGCAAAAGCTTATAACAAAAGGACTAAGAGCATTACACCAATTTGTAACTGCCAAAGTTTTTGAGCGCTCTGAATAAGTTTGTGAGCAAACTATTTTCCCACAAAACAGTAAAAAGCAAAGAACTCCCAAAGTGCTTAAAAAACAGCAAGAATGAAGGAGAAAAAAAGTAATCTTCGAGTCATTGGCGGCAAACATTGTACGAAAATGTTATGTTAATATACACAATCATGACATGACATAACAAACAGCACAACATATGCTGAGAAAAGCGAAACAAAGGTGAATGATATAAAATGGAAAGCTTCATGTTGAAAAAAAGAAAAGTTAAAATCATAGACATAAACAAAAAACTTTCTCACAACATTAAACATAATATTAAAGTGCGAATAAAAAAGCTAAGAATCATGATGAAGTTTTCGACAGTAGCTGAGATGATTTTCTTCACAAAGAATTTTCCTAACGAATATGAAAACAGAGCGGAACTTTTTCGCTTTGAACCCCCTTGTTAAAGGATTTTCTATCCTTTTTCGCCTTATATTTGAATTCCTTTCTCAGCTCAACATACACGTACTCTTTCATGTCATATTTATGTCGTTCTTGTTCATCGTTATGTCTTCCAACCAACTTTCCTCGCGTTGAAAACATTAAATTAGAAGGCAAAGACAAGAATAACATTTTTCGTCGTTTAACGAAATGATTTTTTGAAACTTTTATTTTGTTCAACATTTCTTTTCCCTCATTTAAATTGAGTATCTTAAGGGAAAGCTACATGAAGAAAAAGTAAAGTAGAAGTATGCGAGAAATGTTTACAACATTCACAGATGATCTGGCAGAAAGGAAAGGGATTATAAGATTAACAAAAGAAGTAGCTACAAAATGTTGCTTGTTAATTTGAACACTTTTTATGATTTGGCTCACACATAAATATTTGGTATTAAGCATGCTTATTAAATATTTTTTCAATATCATGGCATGACATTTCAAAGAATTGCTCAGACGATAGAAAAGCGCTTTGCTGAAAATTTGAGATTTCTCTTGAGCTTTTCCCTTGTCAATCTTTTTTTCATTTATTTGCATCGTTTAAACTCTCTAAAATGCGATTAAATTTAAGGTTTATGACACTTTAACGATGCTAAGACTCACAAGAATACTTATTTTTTAAAAGGCATCAAAATTGGATGATTTTGAGTGTGAAATCAAATTAAATTCCGGCTTCTGCTGAAGCATGTGCTATGAGCTGTGTGATATGTAATCGTAACCGCCTAAAAGTATATCTCAACGTACAAGCGTTTAAATTGAGAACGAGGAGTGAATTCGATCATTGATAGCATAGTCAACGTTCAAAAATATCTTTTAATGGTATTTTTATTCTGAAAATGTATATTTATCAAAATGTTACCTTTTCGCATCAACAAATTCCGACGATTTTCTGAGAAGTCATCCAAAAAAAACAGCAAACTTATAAATAATGACAGTTTTCCTCACCGCGACGAGATTTTACAATGAAGCCGACATTTAAATAAAATGTAAATCGTGTGGAAAAAGGTCCTATGTACATTAATATTTTCCTCAAACCGTTTGGCTACAAATTTCGGTCGATAGGGTGGGAAAATATGTACACATTAAATAAATTCACGCCATCGTATCTTCCTCAACAGAAATATGTTCAACGGACTAATAAACGAATGTTTTGCTAAAGTGGAGACAATCTCTTCATTTATATAATTAATTAAATGAAATATCATCCCAGTTGTTATTTTGTCTTTGATTTTAATTTGTTTTTTCTTTTTTATTTCCATATAAATGGAACACTTTTTATCATTCAATGTAGTTGAAGTTTTGTTGTAGAGAGAAGACAGAAATATAAAAGAGAAGCATTGCATCTTCATGAAATCAATAAAGAGTGAAGTTTTTCATTTAATTTTAAATCAGGTTTTGAAACTAGTCCAAAAATTGATCCATTTATAGGAACTAGTACTCCATCTAGTCCATTAAACTTTTTAGTACTTCTTAGATTTAAAGATGGTTTTCCTGTCCATTCCAATCCCTAAATATAAAATATTTTATCTATTTGTGCTGTGAAGAATTTGCTGCTGAACTTACTAATTAACTTAATTACATGAAAATATCTTATCATGTCGAGTGAGAAAAATTGCTGACAATAAAATAAGTTTTATGCTTAATTTACAAAGTGAATAATTTAATGAAAAAAAGAAATAAGAAAATAGAGAACTCAATTTAAAAAGTAAACAGCTTTTGCAAACTTTAGCCTCACCCTATGACCCTTCCATTGCTTCGTCCTCTTCACACAAAATCAGTTTCTAATTTATTTGTCTAACTTATTATCATCCTACGGAAATCAATAAGAACAAAACATTCACAAGTTATTTCCAACCAAAACTCTTGAGTAAAATGGAATGAGAATGGAATATTCGAATATTTAACGCTCGAAACCTAAAGAACAATTGTGATACAAGCAGCCAGACAAGCATTAATATTAATGAACGATTTATTTCTTCGACAACAAGAGCTATTGATACAATATAAGTTTCAATTCGATGCGGAGCTGAGAATAAATGGCTAAAGAGAGGAAAATGAAAATAAATAAGAAGGAATTTAATTTCAGTTTGTAGAATATAAAAAATAATAAATTACTTAGTAAAGCTGTCAAAGCATACTGAAAGTTATATGTTCGTACGGCAAGTTGAGTACATATTTAATATTATTATCGATTTTATGGTTTGAGTGGTAAAAGTCGGCAAAAAGAGCGATTGCAAGCGCTTTTTGATTGCGGAATGAAATTTATTTCTAGATAAATATTGAAGCTTTTTAAAGCCATTTAAAGTTTTAAGATCTTTGGTTGTTGGTGAAGTTCTGTAAAAGTCAAATAAAAATAAATGAACATCAATTTGATCCACTTAAAAAAACTTCCGAAGTCTTTAATGTCATCTCAATGACAAACTTTCAGACGCCAAACAGCATCAGACTGAAACTGCAGTCAGTCTTCATTTAAATTCGAGACTTGTTTTTGTTTTTCACATTACGATTTTCTTCATGCAATCCTCGTTCATTTAACAACAACAAGAAATCATCGTAAATCATTCCATAAATTTGTTTGCTGTTCAGAAGTCATTCCACGATATAGCGATGATCGAAAGTCGTATAGTTAATCAGCGTTTAAAAAAATCTCATGTCACATTCACATATGATTGCATGTTCGTTTCGTTATAGACATTTTTCCCATTTTTTTCCTCTTATTTGCCATTTGCAGAATAATAAAGTCGAACAGTTCAATCATTTGAATTAACATAATGCAATTATGTAAAATTAAACAACAAACAACCGCCATTTACAGATTAGCGAGAACGATGTGAAATGAGCAATGGAAAACATGGAAAAATAAAATAAGCAAGACATGAATGAATGAAAAATAATCTGCTTTGATTAATTGAATCAGTGAGATGGAAGAAGAAGCAGGAGGAAAAGCGGAAGAGAAGTGAAAACAGAATCATTAAAGCAACATTTTTCACTACTTATCATAATTACCCAAGCGAAATGGGCAGTAAGACTGTGTTGTTCTGGGTTGAACATAATCGTTTGCTTTCCATTGGACACGCGATATCTCACGAACTATCTTTCATGCTACCAAATCCACAGAATGCATCTCAAGCATCCTGATTTATCTCTTAAGCAGCTCAACCATCAAACTGCCTGTTGTTTAGTAATTCAACGATAACAGCGTGATATCTACACAAAAGAAACCATTGAAAATCTCCCTTAAAATAGCCACAGGAAGCGTCGCTTGTGAATGAAATTTTAATGAATTTTCATCGTTTGTTGTTTTTCTTTCTTCTTTTTTTCTAATTCTCATTCTTGGATGGCGATGGTTAAGAAAATGCGCCCATGAAATAATCTTATAATAAAATTCTTCATAGCGAAAGCCGCACGAGATGAAAGTTATGATGTGGCATAAAACAAGCTGCCAAGCTTGTATTTATTTAATGGTTGTAGATTTCACGATACTTTTTGTTGAAATGAAAGCATGTAACTCAATTAAATAAACGTAAGTACACCACCCAGCCCCGTTTCATCTCGCCAACTCAAAACTTTTATGCACGACGAAACAAAAGGATTATGGATGGAATTAGGTGAACTAAAGGCATGAAAACGAAAACGTTAAATGTCATCGTTGGCATTTTGTCCTTTCATGTTATAAAAAAACTGAAAACACGTTGCCAAGGCGAACTCATTGAGACATTTTATGATACCATTTACATGCTATCCTTTGTGCTTTTGCCTTTCCAGCATTTCTCGAAACAAGCAAAGTCAAGCGACTTTCACATAAAACACACACATATAAAATGATGAACGTCTTTTTATGTTTACTACTTTCGCCTTTTTTCCTTTCTTTTTCGAGATCCATGTTGGAACCAAAGAACTCATGTGTTGGATTTTAAGAATGCTCGAAAAGGAATTTACTTCAAAACGCACAGAATTCTCGTCATAAAAAAGAGTAAAGACTTTATTTATTGTTTACGATTAAACCGCAATTCTCTTGAGTTATATGTCAACATGAGATGGAAGCGTGCATGTATGTATGTTCTCCCATAGCAAATTCCATTCCTTGAATTGTAGAGAGTTTGATAACGGGAGCGACGAGTCTTCTTAAATGTCAAGACTTCATGAACACATTTTCCTTATCTTTGCTTTATATTTCTCATCTTACTCATGATCTACAAGCACTAACCATTGTAATTTTCTTCATTTATTTATAAGGAGCGCTATCATCGACATTTTGCTGCAGAAAAATACTTTCAGTGCTTCTGTTCATGGCTATGAAAAATGTTGTCATAGTTCCAGCAAATATTTGTTATCTTTATGATACTTAACATTCATTTAACGTTAAGAGTGAAGGTAGAATTTAATTCATTCTTTTGACTTCAGGAATTTTATAGAAATGTTTTGTAAATTTTGTAGTCAGACGGATTTTGATGTAGTCAAGAAAGAATTTCGAACGTTGATTATCTGCAATTAAGGTTGAATTTTGGTTTTTTTGTTTGTTCTTGTTAAAATTCTCTTCAATGATTAAATTTCCTTGAAATCTTTCTTGCAATACCTACTAACAAGAAAAAATACTCGGATAATAAGAAAGTAAATAATTTCAACATCAAAGATTATTTTTCTATTATTTTTTGTATCTTTTTTCAAAAAGCTTTCCAAATAAAAGAAATCGCATTGTAAGGAATGAAAAAAGAAAACTTAAAATGGGTCACTGAAGCTAAATGAAAAATAGTGTAGGTGTTAAAAATGCTAAGCTTTTATTTCTTATCTTTTTTTCTCTTCTGATTCGTGCCTTTGAGTAACACTTTTTGTTTAAAGTGCTGCTTGCAAACACAAGAAAAATTGCTTTCAGGAAAATGAAACATTTTATACCCGATTCATATGAGATAAACTTTTGAGCTCGTAACATTTTTCAAAACCACTTTACGGCGGCACATGCATTTATACATATAAAAACAACCTATCTACATATGTATATAGTGCTTTTATTCTCCCATGATGACGCTTGTTGTTTTGGGTGTTCTTTAAAACTACGCCATGGAAATAAATCGTTGTGGCTGCTGAACGACATTTTTTTACGTTGAACTATTATTTTAGACTGAAAGCAATCACTTCTTAGACCTTAATTTGTTTCCATTCATAGAAATTCATCAAAGAGTTTAAACTAGGTAGCGATATGAAAATATTCGTAATTAAATGATAACTTGAAAGCTATTTTCAGAAAATTATTTGTTTCCATCAAATTTCTAACAAATTTTCATGAAATTGAAATCAAGTCTTGCGCTGTTTATTTTTAGAAATTCTTTCTTGAAATTTTCTCCGATAAGGACATTAAGGAAACCAAAGTGAAATTAAACAACCGAAAGATTAGATGAATGTCTTTGACGTGGGTCTTGTAATTGGTCAAACGAACTTAATGATTTTCAGATCTTCCCAGACATTTAAATTTAAATTGAAAACACATTTAAAGTTGACCTTTTATGAAATAAATAACAAAATATTGTCTCAGTGGTTTCTAAAAGTTTTTTTGTTAACCGTTTGGCAAATCTGAGCAGACTTTGAAAAATTAATTTTCAGACTTTTTTTCATTTGTACTCCAGTTTTCATTGAAAGAAGTCGCAAAAAATTTAAAGTCAGGAATTTTCAAAATGGCAGGTTCAAGAAGTAATTGAAAAAAATACGAAATAACGAACAATGTTTCCGAGCAGCATGAAACGAAGTTTTTAATAAATTCTTTCTGCGGTTATTTCGTCTACTGACAGCCGCATAAAAGCCAAATGGAAATAAGTGCTGCTCGGAATAAGTTATCAAATAAAAGGGTTTTCTTGACTACTGAGTTTTCCACTGCCAACTTTCAACAAGATAAATAATCAAAAAAAGCGATGCAGAATATAGTGAATTGTGAAGGCCATTTAAATCTGGAATAAGAACATCTGAATTAAATCCGCCTTTTGATTTCACCATTATCTGCATTGGCAATTTTCGGTTATGTTCTCTGATCATCTGCTTGTCATATAAAACCTCCTTAATAAGCAAATAAATAACTTGCTTTAAAACTAAATCATTTTACAGGAAAGAAGAATCGCAAAACTCCTACTAAAAAGAAGAATTCAAAAAGACCTGTAAAGAAGTCGAGCACTACTAAAATGAAGCGACCAACCAAGAAGTCTGGTAAAAAGAAGACTACAAGAAAATAGAATTCTCCTCGATAAATCTTCCTCAAATGGATTCATTAAAATCCCTAGTGAATAAAGATTAATATCTTATTATGAAATATGAATCCAGCTTTCATTTAATTATTAAAGAAGGGAAACATGTGAAATCATTGCTTACTTGCTAACTATCTGAAAGAAACTCGTTTAATAAGAATTTATCTAATTTATGTAAGTTCAAAAGTTTGATAAAAAAAGTTCACTGCGATGACTCCCAAAAAACTTGGATGAATTCTCCTTAATTTTGTTGTCAGACTTTCACAGTCTGGTGTCTTGAAAAACTACAATCATTCTCCAATATTTCAAGATTTCTGGTCATTGCGATAATGTTCTTTGGCTAGACAAGCTGAGAGGATACAAAAATGATTCGAAAATAATTTTCTACCAGCTGCGATTTAATACAATAATTCAATTTCTTCTGAATAATTCTCCATGATATTAAAAAGCTTTTCACAAAATTATTTCATTCTAAATAGTAGTCAAACGGAATATGAAAACTTTGTGACAGTTCCGTGTGGAAATTTTTTAATTAATGTTATAACTTAAAGCTTTGTTACATTCTCAGTTATCTACAAGAGTCTTGCAATATGACAAAAGTTGGAATTATGGAGAAAGTTTCGTTTAGCATTGTCTTCAAATTAAATGTGGGGTTGAAAACAAAGTTTTGTCTGACTTAATAATTCTTGTTTTTGATTTTAATGAGTAAATTTGTAGTTACAGAAACGTTTCGTTATTAATTTATTCATCCAACACACACTTTGAACAACATATGAGAACGGTATGGTTTTCAAATATGTGAAAATAATAAATCCTTTCCGTTAGACATGATACAGTTCTTGCCCCCATAATCTATATTTTCATATTTATCTTTGTTCGAGACAAAACGTTTTGACTGTAGGATGTAACAACGGTTGTGAAGAAAAAGCTTTTTAACCACACGTAATACAATGTAATAATTTCCAAAATGTGAAATATAAATCAACACATTTCACTTCCTTATTTATCTTTGAGCTGTTTTTTTTCCTATCCCGATTTCCTTTTTATATAGTAAATGTATTTATTTCTTCTTATTGTTCTCAACTTTATGTTTTCCTTTCTTTAGGCTTCGAAAGTGAATGAAAAATTTCGCTACGGTTCCAGAAAATCACCGAAATAAATCAGCTGGAAATATGAGAGAAAATAATAAATAAGTATGTAGGAATAAGGAAATATATTCAGTTGATTGCAGAAGATCAGCAAACGCCACTACATAACATACTTAAGATCACGTGATTTATCTTCTGTTCTCACAGAAACCGTACTCAAGTTGATTAAAAGCAATTTTGAGTAGAGATAAATTGGGTCAAGATAAGCGTTTGATTAACTTGATTTTTACAACATAAACTTTCTCAAAAGATTGATATTTATTCTTTCAAACGACTACTAACCCGATAAACTTAATAAACAAAACTCTCTTTTCAAAAGCGCTACAAAAATAAATTCTATCGATTCTTTTGTGAACAGTTTTCTCTTTCTCCAACGATAAATAAGCCCAAGAATCAGCCTAAGCCTCATACATGAATAGATTTTATTTCAGAATAAAGAAAGAAGAAAGAAATTGGTTAAAAAGCTTTTATGTTTCTGCCGTCTTGTTGGAAATGAAATGAAAACTGTCTCAAATTGCTATCGTTTTCCGCATGTTACTGACATGGTTTTTCACAATGTTATAAGGAAGAAAATATAAAAAAAAAATACAGGAAGAATACATTTTTTTGTTGGTAGATCGTTTACTTTATTTATAGCTGAATCATCGTTTAGCAAGCACAGCTGTAGCTATTTTCAAGTGGAGAAGAATCCTCTTTCTGTTTCAATGTTCGCTTTCTTTAAGTAGGAGACACCAGAAACATGTCAAGTTCATTTATAATCTAATCCTTTGTTATTGATTATCAAGAATTAGTGGTAACTTGAGCATGAACATGTTTAAGATACCACGAAATGTCTTCGACGAAAAGTCATAACAAAAATGTGTTTCATAAGCAGACATACCAGACGACTTAAAAAACCTTTGTCATTCACTTACTTATGAACCAAAGTGGATAAAGTAGAGTAAAGAATGTCAAGAATGTTCACAATTGGAAAAAAGAAAAAACTTTTGGGACTAAGTGCGAATGGAATGTTGTGAAAAGTTTTAGCGCAAGATTTTTGAACGACTGAAAGCTTTTCCAGGTGAAAAGGGTGAATTTTGTCATTTAACTGAGAGAAAATTTCTGAAATTATTTATTGCTGGGTTGCTAATTAAGTATTATTACTTCGAAGCCAATCAAACACATATTGTGAGAAATAAAAATTACATTGACTCGCACATATTTGTTGTCTCATTCTTAATATCATCAATGGAATTTATGGATCATTACGTATACGTATTGTCATCTTATTTTCCATGTACAGCGGATTATTTCCTGAGCTTTCCCTTAGAGAGAATGGAAAAGCATATAAAAAGAATTATGTGAAAGTATGGCGAAAAAATATCTTGCAAACGAGCAAATAATGATAAAAAAGCAATTTATGTTTGAAGTGTTAATGACATTGGCAGTAAGGAAGAAAAAAGGAGAAAATAAACCCAAATATAAAGAAAGAAATTGTGGAAAAGTCATGAGGTTGAGAATGTGTTTTTCTTACCACATTACACAAGAAAAGGAAGAAAAAAAAAGCCGCAAGCGTGATGCTAAAACAAATTCGACTTTATTTTGTTGACAACTGTTACGATTATTATTCTAAAGCACTCCATTTTATTATCTTCCAAAGAAGCCATCTAATATTGATCAATTTTCATTGAGTTATGTGAAGAAAAGCCGTTCCCACATCATTAGAGGAGGAGAAGATGTTGGAACTCGTTAAATTTATCTGCTTCGAGTGTGATTCGTTATGAGGTGCTCGAATTGAAACAAAGCGAGATTGCTCGAAGATTCATTGCCTAATTTACCTTTTTTTTCAATTCTTTCAAATGATACAACAAACGCTATAAAGATGTAGAATGAAACAAAACGTAAAAAGATCCTTAACGAGCTTCAGTGGAGGGTAAGTGAGTTTTCAAGGAAAAAAAATAGATCGGGCGGTTGTTTTGTTTGCAAATTCAAGCTCACGTAATAAATTTGATTTTTTCCCACTCACTGCGAAATAAAAACGAGCAGTAATAGACGAGACAATCCGTGAAGCTGATAAAGCATTAAATTACTGTCTTGATTATTCGGCTCAATTCTTTCAATCAAAGCGACTTAAAAATTCGAAGAATTGAGGAAGAGAATGAAGAATTTTTATTTACAATTTACATAGAAGTTATTTTAAGATTTCGTCGATTTTTATTTCATTTACTTAAATTGAAACTCAATAATGCCTCGTGCTTAGAAACACGAGAAAAAAACTTTCGTTTTTGCAATCATTTTTCGTGAAACGTTTTTAATATCAAATCAACTTGAAGCATCATGCAAGTGTGCTTTCCTTGGGCATTGGCAATTTATTACTTTTCAAAATCAAATTATAGCTTTAACGATGTATCCATAAAAATAATAAAACGAAATGATTTGGAACAAGACGAACAAGAGAAAAAAATTATTCGAGTCTGCTTTCAATCTTCGGGGTAGATTTGAAAGTAACTTCACCAATCTTACTTTGAGTGAATGAAAGTAAAAGCAAAGACATGTCAGTGTCACAATCTACAAACCAAACACTTCAAACAAAAAAATCATTTTCCATGAGATAAAAACGAAAAGATTTTCCATAAAAAATTTCTCCACTCGATGATGAAAAATGTGCGGCAATTTATGTTTCCAGCGATGAAAAAGAAAGAAAAAGGAAAAACTGCTTTCACTCTCATGCTCCTGCCATTGAGATGGTAAAAATATTAAATTTATGTTGCTAACCCTAACAGAGCATTCAATTGATTTAATGTCTTTGGTGCTGGTTCTTGCTTCAATAAAAATGACTCGGCTTTGGCTTTCAATCTTATCCATTGTGCTCTCATTGGAACTCACTTTTTTCTTCCCTTTCCCATCTTGTTGGCAATATTTCCCCATTTTTCACCTTTTTATAATAATTTGTCATCGAAAATGATGATTTATTTGTGACACATTCATGTAATGAACATAAATTCCAAGTCTTCGCATTCCCTTGACTTGTTTTATCCCCTTTTACGCCTTTCATGTCTCGTGATACTTATGAATGGCAACGAGTGGAAACTTTCACCATCAACTCTCATTAAACGAGAACAAACTCATGTTTATCAACTTCATTTATTTTCACATTCTGAGTGCTAAATGAAAAGCTTTCTAATATTTATGTAAAGAAAGGTAAGTTTAAAAAATACATAAACGTCATCATCCAACTAAAATGTAAAGAAACATCCTTGAGATGAAGGAAAAAAAGTTTTTCTTCGCGAAGAAATTATTTTAATAATTTATTTAGGTTGCGAAAGAATGAGTAATTGCAGCGATATATCATCGTCCGCGATAATGTTAGGAAATATATTACGAAAGGGAAATTTTTGACGAAGTAATCATGTGTGGGTGTATTTTCTTGTATTTTATTTATTTATGTAATCGTTTGATTTCCTTTATGAGACTCGACCATGCGTCTACATAAAACCTCGACGGAAACAGATAAATTTCACGATAATTAATTAAGTGATTACGCGATGAGCTTACAAAGCTGATGAATGTTTGCATTGCTTTTTCTGAACGTGAATAATTAATTTGTTCTGAGATTTTCATTCAATGCAAGCACTGAAGGATGTCTTCGTATATAAGTTTTTGGGAAAAGTGATTGTAAATTGTGTGCTTTACAAATTTTCCTAACAAAGGGTCTCATGAGTTTCAAGAGTCATTAATATGTATTTACTATCTAACTAAATTCCTCTCAACATTGAAGAATCTCCAAGTTTTTTATTCACTACGAAGATGCTTAAGTAGCTAGCAAAACTAACTTCCACTGAAGCTTTTGTGTTTATCTGAGCAGTGAGAAGAAAATGAACAAGCTTTCAAATGAAATCAGTCCCATGTGCCTTGCTTTGTGCAACCAAACAACTTCACTCACAAGATAAAGTGTCGTGAAACTTTCAAACATCATGTTGTGCTTTCTATTCACTAAGAGTTGATATAGTAAAAAAGAATAACAATGGAGATAGTTTTATTGTGTTTAATTCTCCCTGAAGTCTCAATTTTGAATTTACTTTTTCTTTTCTAACCTAAAAATTTTATAAAGTTTCTTGTTTCATTCTTATTTGTGCTTGGCTTAGTTATAGCTTTTCAGATATTTTTTATATTTTATTCAATGGAAATCTTTTAAACGATATTTTTATTTCATCGTGAGATATGAAAAAAGTTTTCTCATATCGAATCAACGAAGGGAAATATGTATCGTATGACAAAAAGTACATGAAGCAGAGAACATTAGAAAATAAACTTTTTTCTTGCTCTTGATATTATTTTTGTCTTCGACGAGCTGCTTCCGGTATTTTATTACACTCGATGTCTTTCAGAAGTCATCAGTGTGTAGCTGTGGATGAAAACAAAAGAACAAAATTAACTTCGAATGAGCAAGTTAAATAAGAGCGAAAAAGTTGGCATTTCTTTTCTAACCAAAACATTATTTTAGCACACCAAGCAAGAACAACAAAAGATCCCTTCATTTCTACGCTAAATGTAACAGCAATAATAAACAGAATTTTTAAAAATATCAAAACAAAGAGCTTCTGCTTTCGACAATGCTTTTATTTTGTTAACTGCTGAAAACACGCTTGGTTAACTCATTTTAATGTCGTGAAAGAAATTACACGTTCCAATGTCAAACGTTCAGGAGAAAATTTTGTTTTCTTTTTCTTCTCCTTGATGTGTTAAAAGTTTCCATTGTTAATTAAGTTGGTTGTTAAACAATCATTCGCAAATGATCCCCTGAATACAAACTTCAACCATATGCTTGCTAAGTTGAAATGAATTAAGACTTGAAGAACTCTTTCAACTTCTCACATTCCTTTCGCATCTCATTTAAGTGGCAAAAGTTATCACAATTCGACAAATAAACTCACGTTTCGAATCCTTTCAATCGATATGAACTTGAAGCTTTTCATCCTTTCTCGTTTGCCGTTTTCATTTATATACATCGAGGGGTAAAAGGAAATCTTTTCTTAATTTTTTTACATTGATTCTTTGAAAGCTACTTGATAGGAAATAGAAATCGAACTCAGATTACATGTACATACATAAAGAATCTTTGATGCCTATCAAGCTTCTTAAACGAGCTTTTCATCTTTCACTTTGCAATGTCACTAACAGAGTTCCGCATACAAAAATTCTTTAACGTAATGGAAATTAAACGTTTTGTGGTTGCGACATTCTATTGATTTTTGACATTAAAGTGAATTGCTTGTCACTCAGATTAAAAATGAAGATAAATTGAATTTTACTACGAAATTCTCGATGATACTTTAACTTTTTCCCTTTCAAACCCTTTAGCGCCTTCCTTTCATTCTTCTTTTCGCTATCATTTTTCGTAACCTGAACTCAATCTTTGATAAAAGATAATGAACGAACTTCTTGACAGTTGGGATCTGATTGCCAAAGAAACAACGGAAGGAAAAAAGCTCGGAAATGAAAAATTATAGATTTTCTTTCGTTTTGAACATTAGGCAGTACTTCAGTAGAGAAAACAATCAGGTTGATGAAGAGTTGATAACATGCATTGAGTGTCATTAAGGAAGAATTTTAGAATTAAAAAAGTTTCTTTAACTGACTTTATATCGATGAAGTTATTAAGTTGTTAAATAAGAAACGAAGCAACTTCAACTTTCAGCGAATTTTCGTATAAATATATGACAAACTTAAACAAAAGCTCTTAAGCTTAGTTTCAAAATCTTTTCTGACTTATTTTCAACCAATTTCTGTGTCTGTTTTTAAGCGAATTTTTCTTTCGTGCATTTGATGTTAAAAACTTTTATGAACTTTTTACTTTACTTCTTTATAAAAATGTTTATTTGTCTTGAATTTTCTCAAAAAAACTTCAATTTCAATTGAAAAGTTTTTAGCTCTTTTTAATTTCAACAATTTTTCTTTTGCGGCTATTTGGAGCTTGAGGCAGAAGTTTGTTACGCTTCATGACAGAACTTTCGATAAACCTTTTATTGTTGTTCTTATTATTGAACTTATAATTGAAAATCTTGTGGAAGGAAATCAAGAAGTCTTTTATTCTTGTTTCATCATTTACAAACTTCATTCAAGTCTAAACAAGGAGATCCTAAATTCTTATATCTCAGAGAATACAAGTATCATCTAACTTTGTTTATGTAATTTCATCCCACGAAGTTTATTACTTATGAATATTTTGTCGTCGAGATTGTTTCCTTGGTAAATAATTTTCATTTTTCTTACATTTATTTATTTATTACAGATAGCAGATAGGGAAAAGAACTTCAAAAGAAACCTTCAAGAGCTTCTTGATAATTTTTGACAAAATACTGTCGGGCATGTGCGGTGGAAAAGATTCAACGACCTTCATCGATCTTGATGGTTTACAGAAATGAAAGATAAGAAATTTGTAATTTGTGAAAAATCTGGCACATGAATTTATGAACGTTGAAATATGAGTAAATCTCAAATATCAATGCCATCGTTTGTTGGTAACACATCAAGTCAATCAAGTCCACCTTTGTGTTATCCACCACCGAAGGTCGACAAAAGTGAAAACCAACAGGTGACACTATGTGGTTGCAGGAAAGCGCCACGTTCTCAATGTTTATCAGCCATAGGTAAGAAAATCTTCAATTTAAATGAAAGAAATTTTAAAGTGAATTCAAATATATTCAAAGGAATATTTTATTCTGACAACGAGCTTATCTTTAAAGCCTTTCAAAAGCTCAAAAGTTCTATTATAACTCAAAATCAATATCACAAATAATTTTAAGTCAATTCATGCTTCCCAACATATGCATACATTAGAAGAAAGCTATTCTCTCCAACTTTTTTCTTCTTAAGATCATGAAAAAGAGTTTAAACCTGAATCAACAAAATCCATCATGATTGATGTCGAATATCCATTTTTGGCTTATGTTACATATTTTCTATTTCTCAGATTTCCATAAAATGGTAATCATTTCTAAATTAGAATACAACATTGTGAACATACATTTTGTTGCCAGCTTTTTCCATAAATATTATATGTGAATGTTTGAAAAATACTTTTGATCGATTACTGACGGTATGCATGGAATTACATGAAATTGTTTTATAACAGCACCAAACTCTTGTTTTTTTGTTCATATGAAATTATTGACAATTTTTTTTCTCTTTTGTTTTATATCCTCCCCCACCCATCAATAATTCTGTAATGAGCTTTTTTTTTGCTATATAGAAGTGTATGTTGAGGCTATAAATGATTGGCGAAAATATTAAAGAACTTGAAGGCATTCATTAAAAAGCAATGAAAATTTAATAACGTTTATATGTTTGTTCATTTTTGCAGGTGTTCTCATATTAGTGCTCGTGTATACTGTGATGGGAACAATATTGTTCGTAAGTCTAGAAGGTGATTTGGAAGAAATGGATGGAATCGAAACAGCTGCTTCAAAACCATATCCTAGAAATAATGACATGATTTATGCTGAACTTAGGACGAGGTAATATTTAACTCATTAATTTAAAGTAAAGCTTTCCGGCTTTCGCTATCATTTGAATTCCACGTCAATTTTTTTCTTTCTATTCAATCATAATATTTCATTTTATTTCAAAAAAGACTTCAATGTCGCATTCAATTCCGTCAGTTTTGAAGAATATGAAAACATAAAGAAAGAAATTATTAAAATTAAAGATGATAAATGAATCAACTTCAATATTAACCAAACCCAGTTAGACCTTGTTTACGTGATGTCATGGCATGGCAAGAAAAAGAGCACCGACGCTATGAGACTTAAAATTTGACAATCTAAATCCCTATGTCACCATTTCTATTCTTTAAAATGGTTACAAGAATATTAACAGCGTGCATGAAAAGCAAAACACATCAAAAATACTCCAATGAAGTGGTGAAATTTTCCATCTCATGCTATAAATAAACTTTTTACGAGAAACATTGAATATAATGAAGCCATTGCATTGTTTTAAGAATTTATGTTGATTTCTCAGTTGTATAACCATCAGTCAGTAGAGCTCATGCTCAACAGTTAAATAAGAAAGACGAGAGGTTTGTTTATGAGTAAAACTTTATATTTATATTGAAGTGCTAATAAAACATTTTCATGCCACCTTCAAAGGATTGTTAAATTGCTGTAAAGTATAGTGATAGTCGTAAAATTCAAATGGCAAGTGTTATATTTATTTTCGAGAATGTTCATTATTGAACAATGAAGTCTCATAACGTAAAGTGATGAGAGAGAGAGAGAGAGATGGAGAAAGAAAAAACTTTGACATTTTAACATAAGCTCTTTAGTATTTATGCTCGTCACACATATGAAAAGATATTCTTTGTAAATTATTAAAGAGAACTTTTTGTTTCTAGAACTGTAAATCAACTATGGTCAATAACAGAGGATTTAAACGTTCTCTACAAAGATAATTGGACTCGGTTAGCTGCTCAAGAAGTGAAGCAATTCCAGGTAAGATTTAAATGTTTTTCTATTTGTTTTTCTCTTCAAATAAATCTCCTTTAAGCTGCACTGAAATAGAAAAGGCAGAACGAAAGAAATTCCGTCCTTAAGACGTCATGAAATGACAAGACTTCAGAAAAAGTTTCAAAGTATTTTCATGTTGAAGTAAATATTTGAGGAAATATTTTCTGCAAAAGAAATGCAATTCTTTAAATGCATAGTTCAAGTGAAAGAAGAAAAGTTTATTTTATTTTTAAATATTCCATGAATATTTCATTAAGCACATTCAATTGTTTGAAAATCTTCGCAATATTTTTCCAACTGCTGTCGTTTCTGAAATTCCTTTAATATTTAAAATTAAATTTTAAACTTTGATATTTTTCACTTTATTTTCTATGAAAAATCTTATAAAAACAAGAAGTTTATTTAAATTAAATTTTAGGCATGACAAACTAAAATAAATTTAAGAAAAACAAGAAGAAAATTTATTTTTCGACTGAATAAGAATAAATATTTGATAATATTGTAAATTTTCTAGGAAACGATTCTTCAAGCCTTAAAGCTTTCACGTGCGCAACAAACACAGACTGCCAAACAACCTCCAACGCCCTATAAATGGACTTATAGTTCAGCATTTCTCTATTCGTTAACATTGATTACAACGATAGGTAAGAAAACATTTTTCGCTCATTAAATACTTAAATACAATCATTGCCACTTTTCCTTCTCCTAAAGATATTTTCATGGCATTAATGAAGATTTTAAATTGTTAAATATGTAAACAAAATGATTAAAACCCGTAACTGCCCTCAGAAAAATTAAACCCATGAAAATGAATTACGAAAGAGATTTTTCAAATGTTGAATATGAAAGTGATACTCATCCTAAATAAATAATATTAAATTTACCTTTTTTTTGGTAAAAAAGCAACGGAATTTTATTTAGAAAGGAGATAAAGAAGGAGCGAAAAGCGAATCCGATGAATGAGTCAACAAGACTGTGATACTTATAGAAGATGAAAATCTTTTTATTCCTTCTCTTTTCCTCACTCTTTCTCTCTCTAAGTCAGTGTAAATGTTAAGCTTGTGGGAACAAGAAATGGTCTTCCGACTTTTCCTGATCTTTTTCCCATGACTTGAAAATAGACATGATAAAGAAAAGTATCCTCGACAATTTTGTTTTGCTCCAAATCGGTGCTTACATTAATGTTCAATTGCATGAAAACAAGACCGAACGATTGTGAAAGTAAATATTATGGCAAACACTTTAAGACACGAAGTAAGGAAGTTGGGAGTGAGAGCGGGATGTAAGTGTGGGGTAAAAAAGGACGATAGTAAGGAACAATCAAAAGAAAAATCATGGGAATTGTTTTCAAACAATGCTTCTGTTTTTGCTTTCGGTCTCGTACATGACCATATAAACATGACGACAGCACATTTTTTAGTTGAAAGCACAGCATGCGAGACGACCATTTATGATTTTTCTCAATCGACATTTTTTTTCATTGTTGTTAAATAGAATGGAATTCAATACAATAGAAAAAGCAATTCAGCTTGACCTGACAATTTTTTGACCCTTTTTGTCTTATCACATTATTTATTGAATGCTTTTTAAGAATTTCTTAATGAGGTTTTCACGAGAAGACGTTTGAAAATTTACAATTTTCTTCTTTGATTTATGTTTCAGATGAATTGCATTAATGAGTTGTTGAAGTTAATAAAAAAATGTTTGCTGATGATATAAAGCGATTGATAACAAAGAACAAACAGCGCCAAGACTTCATAAAAATAAATTTTCCCATTAAATGAGGAAAACGTTGCTGTTGGCAAAGGAAAAAGAAAATCAAATCATCAAACTTTTTACTCATAAGTTTTGCTCATTTAAATTTTCTTTCTTCTTTTTATATTAAATAGATAACGATATAAATTAAATTGAAAGTAATTGAAAGAATTCAAACATTCCATTTTATTACTCAAACCAAGACTCAAATGATGACGTTATTTACAAACAAATCCCAACTTACCATTTTCTTTCCTTTCAATTGATTTTTAATAGAAAATTTCCCCCAACAAACAATGTGAGTTAGTCAAGAGGAACGAGTCGATAATTGATTGCAAGTCTTATGAATATCTTTAATTTAATTTAAAAGTTATTTGCTTGAAAGCACTGATTTTATGAAAGATTAAAGAAATGGAATGATTATCATTGAACATTGAGGAAAATTAAAAACTCAACTCAGTGGAATGCAATGAGCCAAAATTACAGTCATTTGAGTAAAATGCCCAAAGCGATTCTTATCATCTTTCGTTTAGGACTTAATTTAGAGTAGGAAAGAAAGCGTAATAATTTCTTTTTTCTTTTTATCTTTCACCTCACTGACTCAACAAAAGTGAGAGTTATCAATTATAATGTGAATTGTTTTTCCCCCTCCAACTAAGTTGGATCCCTAAGGGAGAAATGAAAAGTGTTTGATGAGTTTCTTTCGTAATTTTTTCTTCACACTATCTTCGTTGAATTTCGGGATGAGATTTCTCTCACCTGAGCTGCCATCTTTTGAAAGCTTTAAAAAAGTTTTATAGAATAAAACGAAACGATGAAAAAGTTTGAAGAGAATAAAAATTTATTGCCGCAGTAGAATCAATGCGATATGGGGCGATGAAGTTGAAGATTTGTGGAACACAAAATAGTACGAAAACGAAACCTTTCGGATGAGCCCATTTTTAGAATTCTTTATCGCTAATGTTGCTGCTTCTAAAAGTTTCCGTTAGAACTTAGTTAGAAGAGAAGAAGACCAAGTCAAACTTTTCACTTCCTGCCTCTACTCTTATTCTTGAAAGAGATGAGAACGAGATTTTCCCAACTGTACATTTAGCATTGAAAAAGTTTCCCTTTATTGCTTTCGAACACTTTATCATTCGGCTGATTTAAAGGCTTCTCATTCAACTTTTTTTTTATTCTCATTCTTCAAATAAACCCTCAATCTTCTACTGCTCTTTGAATTGATCTTGTGTTGGCTTTCAATGAACCCTGAGCAATTTTTTTTTTCAATCCCTTCTGATATTTCCTACAACGACTAAATTGATAAATTTATTACAATAGAATGTTCGCCCCTTTTTTCACTTTTCCTTTTTCTTCCCTTACATAAAATAGCAAACTGCTCCATGAAATTGTTTTAAAGTGTAAATGTTTGCCTAAAGAAGCCAGCATTGCAAATGGTAAAAGAAACCAGCTGACAATGTTTTCATTTTCTTCTCCAAAGAGTGTAATCAAAATAGAATAAAATTGAATACAAGGAACACTGAAGTTGCTAGGAAGCCCGACCCGCTTGGCCTATATTTGAAGTGAAAATTTGCCTTTTCTCTCGAAATTCTTTATTATTCAAATATTTCCTTTATCACGTTCTTCATCACAATCCCCAAGTATTTCAGTATAATATTTGCAATAATATTACAATTTGATAAGGTTATGTTTTCTGAATGTCAATTCAGATGAGACTCAGACCATATAAATATGTACAACGTACATGAATGAAGAATCAGTGGAAGAAGAAAATATGAAATCAACTTGAAGCATTGAGTCAGCCAGACGTGCATAAATGTTGAAAGGCGAAGATTCTCTCGGCTTATCATACAGTGATAGCTGTAGATATCCTTCCGGGTACAAATATGGAAGCCCAACATTTCAATTTTAATGAAATTGCATCATTCGTAAGCGCTTATGATGGTACTTCCAATTCCATCAGTCGACAGCTCCTTTCTTTTGGGCTTTTCCCAGAAGTATCGAATGGAATTGAGAATGCGGAATAATAAAACGAGTTAGAAATTCTTCGAATAATCATTGCGGGCCTTTTCCTTTCTTCTTCTTTTTATTCTTCATCGATTTATTTTGAAGGGTATCAAGGATTGATTCATGATTAAGATGATGATGATGATGATTCTGATGACAATGGTGATGATGTGTAGAAAATGAAAAGAGAATATTAGAATGTAAATCAGATCTAAACGAGTAGAATAATAATTTCCGTAAGATTGCGATGTTTACCGTAAAAGAAAATCATTTCTTCTTCTTATTGAGTGAGTTATAGTCAGACGACAACAATTCTCTAAGTAAAATAATTAGATTATATTATGTTGAGCTTTATTAACATAATTTATGCATGTCTTCATTTCCATTTCATTTCTTAAGCATCAACATTGGAGACGAAATTTAATACTTTAATTAACCAGAATCATGCGTCTCATATCATTTGCATAGTGAATAGACATCTATACATATTTATGCTGAATAAATATTTTCAATATGTTTACTTAAATATTCATGTCGTCAGTAAAATGTTATTTTATACTTTTATAAGACTCTTGAGGAAACTATCACGTTTCATGGGATGTTAAAATGATTTCTGGGAGTTTTCTGCTCTAAGAAATTTCGCTGACTTTTGAGAAAGGTAGCAGCACCCTCTCCGCATGACTGAATATGAATTGATGAACTAAGTAAATAAGTTGGGTATTTTCCAAATAGGATACTATTTTGGTATGAAAAGCTTAAACGTATTTAAGAATGTCTAAGGATCTTAGCCACAGATTGTAATCTCAAATCACTTAAGGATGTTAAACTGTTATGTGAAACATGACTTTAGAATCACTGAAATTTCAATAGAGAAATTCAAGCACAGATTTGGTTAAAAAGCTTAATTTTTTTATATTTTAAAATGAAGAACGCTTCCTTTCATTTAGTAAACATAAAAATCCCTGAAGCTTTCCGAGAATTTTAATTACGCATTCAGATGCTTACGTGATGTTTCTCATTCAAAATTATAACTCTCTTGACATCAGACATCCGCCCACGCACAAACATCCTAAGATAAAACAAAACACGATCACTTTCATAAAGCTTTCCTTATTTCATAAATTAAATGGAAAGATATTTAAATTTATATAAAACGTTCAAGCATAAAGAATGAGTGAACAACAATTGAAAGATATTTTAGTAGATATCTGAGAAACTGCCTAAAATTCCATTTCAAGTGGAAAAACAATTTAATTAATTTTAGATTGCTTCCGTCTACAAGAATTTAAAGATTTATTTCTCTTAATAAATTACAATTTGAAATTTCTTTAATGAAGAGATTAAAAGCATGTAAAAGTTTTACAGTAGGAAGAAATAAATCTGTGGTTGTTTAATTTACTTACATTAAATCATCATTATTAAAAATTAATCGAATTTCTCACATTCTTTATTTCATTTATAGGTTTCGGTGGTATCACGCCAAGAAGTCAATGGGGTCGAATTGGTGAGTATTAAAATAAAACAGAGAAAGAGAATGAATATGTTTTTAGACTTAAAGATTTAATTTAAATTTTTTCCCATCTCTCTTTATCAGCCGCTCTGCTTTATGCACTTTTTGGCATCCCAATAGTTCTACTTTACCTCTCAACTATGGGCGAAGGACTTTCAAGTGCAATGCGATGCATTTTCAAACGTTTACGATCTTCATCGTCATCGAAGAGTAGTTCAGGTTCGTCATCATCAAACTCTAACAGTTCATCGTCATCAACCACAACTCCTTCATCATCGACAGCAAATAACATTCTCGGTGAAACGACAAATAACAAAGGTAAAAGTGTTGACGCTGAAAAGAGGCAATATGGGAGTTGGAATCACAGCGGCAATAGTTTACAGCCGCAGCATTTCCATAATCCATCGCTTAGTAACTACAACAACAACTACTTATCAAACAGCATAAGTACGGGTAATCATCATAAGAAGCAGAAGCAGTCAGCTGTGCCCATATCGATTTGTGTTATGATTCTCATCTGTTACATCACATCAGGAGCAGCACTTTTCCATGAGCTTCAGAAGTGGGGCGTGCTGGAAAGTTTATATTTCTGCTTTACCGCATTAAGCACGATCGGCTTTGGTGATTTACAGCCAAAGGACGACATTGGAATGTATGCTGCAAGTGCTTACATTATCGTCGGAATGGCCATCGTCGCCATGTGCTTTAGTTTAATACAAACGGAACTTATAATTTGGCTCCGAAAGTTCGCTGTGCAAGAACAATCTCCAGACGATGATATTGCATTAGTCAATGTTGCAATAACGCCAATGAAATCCTGACACAGACCAAATGATTTACTGCTGAACGATTACAACTCATTGCCACGAACCCCTCGTATCAATATTGGAACTGGCTTTCATCGTAATACGCCAGCACGTCGCTCAACCGGCATACTTGAAAGCCAAATGGAATATTTTGTACCGAGAAGTGTGAGTGAATTTAATTTGTCAGGCGTGGGCGATTTAGCTCTTCCACCACCACCGAAAAGAATTCAACAAACTATTGTTCCCATAACGCCGATGACACAAACAACACTCTTAAGCATTCAAAAACCTCGTGAAAAAATGGTCACCTTTGAAGATGAATCGTCTATGCAGAAATGTCCGCACGGTGTGCCAACTACACCATCAAGAAAAAGTGGTCCGCAAACTATCATCGGAGATGTTTTCATGTGACGTGATGAAGATGATCGAAGTGAATTGTCTTCGCCACTTGACTTTGACAATGGCAATGTGATTAAAGTGTGAAAAGAGATTAATTAGAAGCATGAAGATAAATAATGAGGGTAGAAGACAATAACATAATCGAAGAAAAATGTCTACATAAACAAACATTCATCTCATTAGTAATGGTTTACAACTTAAATCATTAATCTTTTCTTCTTTTTTTTCTTCCTGTCGAAAAGTTCAAAGGTCGTTGTCGTAATTTTGTCGCATCCTGAAAGCAGTGATTTGATATTCAGATGCGATGAAGAAATTAATAAAAAACTGTTCAATTAAACTTTTTTTTATATCTCTTTAGTTATAAGATGAGATTTCTCGGCTTGATGTCATAGTCGTCATAGAAAATGTCTCTAATTGTTTAATTAAGTAAGTTGATAAAGGAATGATTCGTCAAAGACGTTATTGCTTTAAAGTTAGACGAATTTCGAGATAAGATGAAGTGGAAAATATTTTTATAAATTTAATAGATGCAAAATTTATTCGCAGCAAGATTTTCTTTTTTCACAAGCAGTTTTAATTGCTTCATTTACATGAAAAGGAATAATTTGTAATATTTTAATCAAATATTCTTAGCAACTTTCGACAGTCTCAGTTCATAAAATTTCTAAGTTTATCAACATTTAAAAGAAATTCTTCTTTAACATTCACATTCTGTGATAAGAATCAAAAATAATATTTTTGAATACGTATCGAGGTCTATAAAAAATCTTTGTATCATTTATTATAAGAAATTAAATATCACGTTAATTCAATTATCGTAAATCTTAAATTTTCACCTTAAAAAGCAGAAAGAAAGGAAACGATAAAAGTTTTGTTTTCCCAAACTTAAGACTCATAGTGGTGGAAATAAAATAACTCTAAGGAATGTTTTTCTTCGCCAACAGGCAAAGAGTCATAAAAATATTTTCAGTACATTAAATTGTTGAGTCAAAATTACGGCAGTAAATTAAAAGTTTTTCGTGGAAAGTTAATCGATGTTTTCTTTTTCTTTTTAACAACTTTGTGCACCTTCGTTAAGAATCTAATTACACGACGACATCAATCTCTCTGTTAAAAATGAAGTGTCCCAAAATAAAAATTATATCCCATTTTTATGATTACAAATATGATGAAAACGAGTGGGCGATGAGCGTTCTTAAAAGCTTTTTAATTGTTTCATAAAAAAAAGCAACGCAAAACCTTTACCGTTGAATTACGACTAATTTACGTTTGTGAAAGTTTTATGAGCTTTCTTTGAAATGGAACGAAAAAAAAAGTTATGAGACAAAAGAGAAAATGAAATGTTTGCGCTTAAGTCATAAATTTAAATGACTTAGTTGAGCACGGTAAAAATTTTGCTGGCGATGGTTTTTCTGTTTCATTGCAAACGTTAAGCCTCAGAAAAATGGTTCATGAGACTCATGACGATTAAAAAGTTTTAACAAATCGTATTCAAACAGGAAGGAGAAAAAGCGAACCCTCATTATGAATTCAACCAAATTGGAGCAGGAGAAACAAAAATTCAATTCGTCCTTCCTTTTTCATTCCTTAAGCAATGCGATTAAATGAGATAACAACATAGCTTCTTCACATTTACAAGGTTTTTCTCCGAAAAAAAAAGGATTGGAAACGATGACATTTGTTAAAACTGCCAAGGGCTTTGGAGTAAGTTTAGAAAAGGTTTTGGGGCTTTTTTTTCGTTTCCTCTCGTTCTAACAAATATCCAATAGACCAGGATTTAAAAATAATAATGATATGAGACGCAAAATCTTGCCGATTATGACAAAGAGACTGTAAGATTATTTTCTGTTGATCTTGCATTGCGATAAAACCTTTTTTTACTCATTCAGAACTTCACTTGAGAGGGCTTTATGGTAAATACATAAAAAATGGAAAGCTGTACATTTGTAGTATAAATATTTGATACGATAAACTTAAACATTTGATAACAACTCAATTTAGATAGCATAACGTTTTAATCTTACAGTATTCTTGCTAAAGGACTTCAAAATTTGTTAGCCAAATAAGAAAGAGAAAGGAAAAGTAATATTTGTTGACGATCTTATATGTATCTAAGTTGAGAAATCTTTAATATGTATTAGAAATTGTAAATAAGAAATAAATAGAAATAATCTTAAGTATCAAGAAGAGATGACTGTCGAACTCACAGTCGAAGTAAAATTGAATAAAATCTTTTTGAAAAATTTCACATGAACTTTCAAAGAAGATTTATTGTTTGAAATTGTTTTGAATTTACTTTCCAGGTAATTTAAGAAGTTATAAAGCAAACTTTTCAGGTGAATTGGAAATGATCAACAATTTAATTTCTTGTTTTTCAGTTATAAAGAAAATGTTTGAAACTTCAATTTAATGATCATCCGAAAAAGGAATTAACTTCTTAGATCAAACCAACAACTGCCTACATGCGATTCAAGCAAATGACGTAAATAAAGAGTAGTTAGAGAGATAGAAATCCCTTTTCCTCTTTTGGGATTTATCGGTTAATGGAATCAGATCGGAAGAGCGTCGTGTAGGG